ACTGAAAAATTATTTAGGGACAATTTTCTTGCTCCCTCTTTCAGGAAGTTTATATACGACAGCACGAACACTTATAATGAAATCGGTCATCAGTTAGCACACAACTAGATTTGTAAATTAAAAAGTTGTAAGTTACAGACAGCATGTAAGTCGCCCAAATTGATAACCATTTGGACGTGCATCAAATGAATTACCACAGAGATGTTCAGAAAGTTCTTGTACTTAATTTCGAAGATAATTTCGCCCAGCTCAACTCTGAGCGCTAAAAATGGAAGAAATAAATTCGTCTGAATAAAAAATTTGCTAATTTATAGGTAGAAAATATAAGTAATTACTAAATCAACCGCTGCGCCGCAAAATAAAAAAAAAACATCAATATCGAGAACCGACGATATCGTGCAGGAAACACATGAGATTTCTCTTGTCCAAGGCCAACCAACGAACGGCTGGAAATCGATGAGCTCATGAGAGTCATTAACGAATAAACGTGAGTGCAACACTGCAAGGCTCTGAGTTCATTGAGCAATATACCGTCATTGTACTTACGCGTATACTCATTTAACGGGTGTTGTTTAACATTTTGAAGTTCCGTGGAATTTTTCCGTATTTGATGTATCTTACGGCTAATCGGTATTCATTATAGAGATTGCGATTTAGTATGCTGATGTAGTGGATTTTACAGCTAATAGTTGAGGACTTGTTCATGAGAGAATGTCTCGAATTTTCGTTCGTTTACGGAAGTTGTTCCTTGGGCATGATCAGACTCATAAGGCACGACCATGTAATAATCAACACAGGATTACGGGTCTCCAATATAGAATGAAGGTCACGAGGCTTGTGGCATGACGGCCTGAGAATGCCAAGGGTCGAACGAAAGTTAAAGTTAGAACCAAGTAGGAGGGAAAACTTCCCAGCAGTGAAGCGAAGTCAAAAGAGTAGAGAAGTCATCAGAATTATGAAGCAGGTTAAATTTTCAAACAACAATTCAAAACATGCTAGTTTAACTAATTACTATCCATAAAGAGGACCTCTTTAATTTATCGCAGACCCATTGTGAAAAAAGTGATAAATACAAAAAATAGGAGCACTGAAAAATAACATAATAAAACACAAAAAATGCAGGACAATGACGTAAATAGTGAGGAAGACTGACACTGAGAGTTGTTATACAACAGTCCTGAAATCCGCGAATATGTTTCCAAACAGACTAGAACACACAGTAAATTCAGCAATTAAATGAATAGCCTTGAACAAATTATTTATCTGCGCTCTACATACTTCCTTGTGGCGACTCTTTGTGAACGCATCTTATAAAAATGATTATTTAAAACTGCATCGATACGATTACGATGCCAACTCAGTTGCATAGACTAACGTTCTAGGTGGTCGCCTTACACGAAGCTTATCTGTTCATCAAGGGTACAAACATTAGCTGCAGATAAGTCATTCACAGGGCACCTTCGGTCAGGAGTATGAGTTTTATCTTGCATTGCCATCGCCATCTCAGACCACGAGATAAGTAACAAATAGATAAGGATGTGTCATTAATGCGATAGTCAAACTTATGAAAATTTTACAGTCGGTTTAGAAGTATGTAGATGAACTCGACTGCAATAACTGCATTGCAGTCCAAGGTTATTGGTACCTAAGCCCTCACTAACGCTAAATAAAAAACAAAACCATCTAGTTTCATGCGTCTAAAGATTAAAGTAACGTTTTGACATGTATACATAATACAGATTTGCCGTGTCGTGCATATTTACCAATCGTAGAAGTCTCAGGAGTAATAATTTTGTCTGCTTTTATTTAAATTTTATTTAAAAAGTTGAAAATACACAATCAGCATTCTCACAGCAGGAAAAAGTTAATTGGTAAACTATTAGAGTCTGACCAATCTTCCATCAGATTGGAAATTAAAAAATCTAAGTTGTCCAACGTCACTGCTGCCACTGCAATGTTAATGAGATTCATTGGTTGCATCGGAATCATGAACCGCTGATGCAGCAGAGAGGATGAATCCTGTTTAACGGTTACACAGACATAGCGAAGACAACATCTAATGCATTTGCAAACATCGGCAAACAAAACATCAACCAGCAAGACATTGATGCAACGATAACCATAAGGGCTTGCCAATAACTTGTCACTAGGTAGAAGGTGTCACAGGAACGCCTAAGCACGTACGATCGGCGTTAGTTTCGACAGAAAAACAACAATGCTTAAATCAGCCTAACTACAAAAAATATTAAATAATAGTGTGCAAAGCGAGCAACGACATGCGTGAAGCAGCACCGGCCTCATCTCGACAGGACGGTGACGAAAGCAGTAACGTAATCAGAAGGCTGACAGCTGGGCACTAGTGCAATACTGCGGCTTGACGAAACTGGGTGATAAAGTTAGATATATTTTGTCTAATAAGTACTAGAAGAGAGAAATGATCAAACTGCCACCATGAACATTTTCTAAGTACTGCAAATGAAAAAAGTAAAGGAGTATGGGCGTCAGATTCAGCATACAAAGCTACAATAATAAACCATCGAATCCCCTTTTTTAGCAGGAATTTGGTTTGTTGCACGATGAACACACAACTAGTGCAATTAATTTATAGCTACAAATTAATTAATGAACATCAATATATTATTTGATTTTCACCGTAATAGCTAACTCAAGGAATGTTTTTGCTACCGAAGTAGCCCGTTTCAGCGCAAAAAAACGGTTTCCTCATTTAAATTAAGAATAATTCGAGAGTTAAATAGCCAGTGCGTTTTCTCAGCCATGAGACTAAAGCGCGTGCTGTGATAATGGAAATGTTAAGCCTTCCTGGCCTCAACGGTCAAAAGCTGTACATGATTTCACGTTACGGCATGTATGTAGTCTCTAAAGTTTTTCCGGTGCGCAATATATTTTGAAAATCTTGAAAATCACGCACTATATTGCGCAACCTATCATTAAGGCCCCTAGACACTCAATATTATTACACAAACCGAAATATTGCGCAATAATATTGTGTGTAGTATAGAGACTGCTTGAGAGTGAGACCATAGTAAGGAGAAATGTTCAACTCATTTATCGTCCGTAAAAGACTATCAGATTAATAGCCTGAACTACGCATTTAGTAGAGAAATGAAGTGGAGAAATGAACTATAGCGGAGAAATGAAAAAGCAAATAAAATTGAGAGTAAGTTGGGAATAACTTAACAAATCTAGAAAATCGACGTACGTATCTCCGCCGTATCTGTAAACATGCACTGATTCACTGTCTCAAGTCTCAAACACGATCGTCATTGTATTCAATAACGGAAGCAAAAAAAAAAAATCCTCTTAAGCTCTTTTAGTGTAAACCTTGAAAGCTTCATTTAGTATCAACATCGTAATTAGTAAGTATTTTGCCTTTTTTTAGATTTAATCTCCTGAGCAACGACAAAGAGCGCACAGTTTTCAAAGGATCCTTTAAAGCGGATATCTCAATTTGTCTTTGCTCAGTCAGCAGCTGAACACTGAGTAGGACACTGGTTGCCTGGGTGCTACAGACCGAATAATACCCGACCGTTAGTTTGCCGTCTAAAAGTTGTCGGTTATTGAATAAGTTCATAACGTGTTTCTTCATTCTTATTTATAAGACACAAAAGAAGGAAAAAAGCAATGCACTATAAGAACACTGATAAAATGCTTCCGTCGATGATAAAGGGATTAGGTCACTTGTGTTGTGAAACACTGTATGACTGTCGATGGTTTTGGTTTAAAAAAGGATAGTCTTTCATCTTTAGTATAATTAACAACGAAAGCAACTAGGCACTGCTGTTAAGTGACTCACGGCGCCAAGTGTAGAAACGAAATCAATATTGTTTGACAGACAGCCCGTGAAACATGATTACAGTTGACAATGTGACTGTCAGTCTGTCTGGTCATATGATTAGGATTTAGGGGGGCATAACAGTTATTAGAGCTAATAACATTAAGTCACGGTTAATGAGCGCTTCAATAAAACAAATATGCAAAATCCATCACGGCACCAACGTTTTTTACACTAATCAATAGCAACGTCGTTCGGTATTGATCTCTAGGCGGGGAGTGTGCACGCACACACCCACCTTCGTTCGTGTCTGTTGCCCAACTGTTCAATGTTCACATTTCACAGCGGGAGCCTGTCGTGTGATATGATGCTATTGGCATTTTGCTTTCTTTCCCCGACGTCAGATGATTACCTACATCTTAATCCTTTGATCTTGGATACATTTACCGTCTTGAATGCTATTCGTACTTAGTAGCTGAGGACCGACAAATTTCATCATTCACGAAAGGGACCAAGGCCGTTTTTTTCAAGTGTCAGGATTCAACATTGCAAATTTATTTGTGCTGAACAAGTTTTCGTGATAAATTCTAAGCCGGTTCAGTATTTAACCTTTGCTACCCATTTAGCCGAGATACGATAATTTTTTTATACTTCGTATTCAAACCAAAATTATAAATTACAGACTTGGGCCATGAATGAAACTAAAGTGTGTGCAAAGTTTGATGCAAAGGTCCTAAAAAAATTAGATCAGTTCTCACTGCAGTGAGTGACAGAGAGCGAATTTTCTCGTCCGTCCGTCCGTCCGTCCGTCCGTCCGTGAAGTCACGGACGGACGGACATGACTAGCACAATAGCGCATTTTTTTCCATAAATGAGAGAATGCGTTGAAAAGGATTGAAAATATCGCAGGATAGTATGACAAATATGAAGCTTTGTTGCTAATCAGGTCAAAATCGCCTCCGATTTGACAATATTATGCTTCAAAAGTTTGCTGTATGAGCGCTAAAAATATTCGGCTTAAAAGTATCTTTTTAGACACGTAATCAATTATTCAAACACTATGTCTCATTCATAACTCAATCTCAACCGTTTAAGTATTTATGATAAGTAATGTTATATGTAACTTATATCATATGATCAATTATCTGTAAAATAATTTCATCTATTTTATTAAGGAAATTCTTTCCAGACTTGATGGTTTTCCCACCTGCAATGAGCATCTCTGTAGTATTTTTGTCTGCCTGAGGTGTCCATGTTCAATACCGATGAGGTGCTGGAGCTGGCGAAACCGGCGTCACCTTCGGAAGTGGTCATGCATTTGTCATGGGCATCCATTGCTGGAATTGGTAATGCAAGCGGCACAGTGATGGCTGTGAGGAAAAATAATGTTACATTTCATATTGAGTGTAGTGTGTAAACACAATAAGTTAGCAAACTTCCTCCAGGTGCAAATTATATGATCACGATCCTGACGATACGATTTATTTTCTTCAGGTTTCTTGAAACATGCATTAATTATGTACTCGTACAATGAAAGTTAAGCAGCTAACACTGACATGAGCGTGCACTACAAAAGTGATATGCTCACTTGTCCGTAGCCTTGATACTTGTTATTCTGCTCACAAATCAAACGTTCCCTACTCGCTTTACCGTTCAGAAAATGACACCTCTTAGAGCGAGGGAGATTTATTTATAGCCTTTATTTTTGTAGGGCTTCCGCTTCATATTTCTCTTTTACTAGGTCCTCAATAGATTAATGCGATTCATAATTAATGACAGAGCTTGATCCTGGCTTGAATAATAAATATACCTTTCGTTCTCACCTGAAATATTTTGACGTTACCAATCGATTTCTTCTGTCCGAGCTTTTACAGGTCCGTACGTTTCGTTAGTTTCATTTGAGATACACTGTAACTGAAACTTTCTGCTCGTAAATATACACACAGAGAGGAAATATTTCCTGTTCAGTTGAATGGTTTGCCGTTTATAACTTCTCAATCGCATACACGGCAGGCATTGGCACTTGTTGGTAGCACGGATACCTGTGGCACTCTGCTACCCAATGTCACGTCAGAGTAACACTACTGGCACAGCTCGCAAGCACCTGCCCCGTATGCCCAGCGAGATCGTCACTTCCTCCTGTAGTGTACTGCTATTGTATGCACGTTGCGACAGCGAACTAAAATAATTAGTATTTTGAATCAGCGTCAGTTACTTGTATGTGCATGTTTTTTTACGTGCGAAGCATTATTGTATTCAATGATATAATTATCAGGAAGAGAACATATTATAATTTTCACGCTCTTGTTAATAGATGATGAAAGACAAACATTTGTAATTGATGTTATATCGTCATGGATCACAAAATAAACGCTTTCGATAAAATAATAATATAATTGAACTTGGTATTTGGGAATAGAGACTTTCAACTATTTAGTAATATTAGTTAACTTTACAGTTATTCAAGTTTTTTCATTAATAAAACTAAGCATAGAGCGCACCTAAATGCTTCCTCAGTAAAATTTTCAATGCATACAGAATTGGAAATTCGTGTGCGACCTAGAACATGAACGAAAGCTTTTTCCGCTGAGTAATTTTTGTATCAAAATAATTATTTACACCAATCTGCCATTATATAATCTATATATTATCAAGTTGACTAAATTTATGATACAGACATCTATAGTATGTACATCGTGTTATGTTATATCACGAAGGGTTTAAATGAAAACATTTCAATAGAAAAGGGATGAAATTTTTCAGAAATCTGCATAATGAGACAAAATACTACAGTCACCCCAACGCAGTTTTCGTTCTCGTTGTCATGACTACGAGGAGAAACTCTACAAACAAACAAATAGCCAGTACTCCGTATGGCAAAGACGCGTGTTCGGGGTACCAGGGTCTTTGAAAATGTTATTCTATCGACAGATTTTTACACGAGACGAGTTCTTTGCACTTTTTCAGTAGCCTGAGTGTGACAGAACGTAACGAAACTCAACGAAACTACTTGCGTGAAGCGTGATTAGTGTGATTATCCCTGATTGTATAAGCACCTAACAATAGAAAAACTGTAAAAATGCGGACCGTTCCAACTTGGGTAGACAAAGTACACGACCGGGACAAAATTGAACAATGGTGAGCAATATCCAATTATATCCATTGGTTTTAACAACTCGATTGGCAACCAGAGTCAATGACTCGACTTTAATCATCAATGACTGCTATAAACTTGAAGGTCACGGAAAAATGCTTCTGTTATGATCGTGAATCACAAAGTCCATGAATTATTTTGTGAATCAATATCGATTCGCAAATAATTCATTTGAAATAATTTGATACCGTGACGCAATAACACCATGACCATCCATGATCTTCCCATAGCATCTACGACCTGTGCTTCTGCCCCGACGGTTCACAGCTGATAGTGGCCGCCGGAAACCGAGTTCTGGTCTACGACACCAACGATGGAACTCTGCTGCAGCCTCTTAAAGGTAATAATGTGAACCGCCGTCTTCATACCGCATTATAGAGACCAATAATTCACAGTATTCAGATTTTAATTTGACTGGCTACACGGTTTTGAATGTTTTTTTTTTTTGGTTCGTGAGTCGTACGGAAAGACCAGTTCAGGTAGCATGAATTTCTGAGTTATACAAAACTTGGAATTGGCTAACAAATTAGTTTTGGTTCGTTGATATAGAGTAATTACATTGTATCTCTATAGTGTAGTGACTTAATAACTACCGAAATGAAGAATTTGTTTCCATCATATATTAGTTCCCTAATTTTATAAGGAACTGAAGATATAGCTGAATAAGAAGTGTATTACCATAGGTCACAAGGAAGCTGTGTACTGCGTGTCGTACAGCAAGGATGGCAAGAGATTTGCGTCCGGCAGCGCTGACAAGAGTGTTATTATCTGGACCTCGAAGCTCGAGGGGATCTTGAAATACTCGTAAGGAATTAAGGAATTGCAATATTATTGATGATAAAGCCTTTAAAAAGTCGCGTACTATCTGTAAAATTTACCAGCACAATAGAATAATTGCCATGGAGATGATATGAAGAACTCCAATTCACTGCGTTTTTTGTGGAACAATAAAAAGTACGCAGGAATAAAATCCTTCATGCAAATGTCTTGCACCAAATTTTTCTTCCTATACACCGCGACGTGTAGGATCTTCGGCGCAAAATACATCACGGCTTTATGAAGCGCTTGAAAACCTACTATTACTGCTACTGAAAAACCACTGTTACTACTACTGAAAACCTACTATTACTACTACTGAAAACCTACTATTACTACTACTGAAAACCTACCATTACTACTGAAAACCTACCATTACTACTACTGAAAACCTACCATTACTACTACTGAAAACCTACTATTACTACTACTGAAAACCTACTATTACTACTACTGAAAACCTAATATTACTACTACTGAAAACCTACTATTACTACTAATGAAAACCTACTATTACTACGTACTACTTCAAACCTACTATTACTACTAATTTTAACCTACTATTACTACTACTTTAAACCTACTATTATTACTACTTTAAACCTACTATTACTACTAATGAAAACCTACTACTACTACTACTTTAAACCTACTATTACTTTTACTGAAAACCTACTATTATTACTACTGGAAACCTACTATTACTACTACTTTAAACCTACTATTATTACTACTTTAAACCTACCATTACTACTAATGAAAACCTACTATTACTACTACTTTAAACCTACTATTACTTCTAATTTAAACCTGCTATTACTACTAAATTAAACCTACTATTACTACTGCTGAAAACCTACTATTACTACTACTTTAAACCTACTACTACTTCTACTTTAAACCTACTATTACTACTACTTTAAGCCTACTATTAGTACTACTGAAAACCTACTACTACTACTACTTTAAACCTACTATTACTACTACTGAAAACCTACTATTACTACTACTGAAAACCTACTACTACTTTAAACCTACTACTACTACTACTACTACTACTTTAAACCTACTATTACTACATCTTACTACTCGAATTGCGTTTCTGTCGCAGCCACAACGACCCCATCCAGTGCCTCGCGTACAACCCTGTCTCCCACCAGCTCGCCTCGTGCGCTCTCAGCGACTTCGGGTTATGGTCTCCTGAACAGAAAAGCGTACAGAAGCACAAAGTAAGCGTTCAAATATTAAAATAATAAGTTATATTCTACGACAGTTTAGATATTACCACATCAAAATGCGTAATAAAATCAAATTCAACTCTTCCTTAAATCTAAATAGAGGGATTAATATCGATTCAGGGACCGAGATTCGAATGCATTTACGGTTAATTTGAGAAATAAAATTCTTCATCGATTTGATTAGTAGATGAATTATTTTACACCGCAACACAATTGATACAACTATAAATAAATAACGATAGCTTTCGCAGCTAGAAGCTTTCTGACCTCACATTTGATCCTGGATTAGTTTATGTTTATATGGATTAGTTATATTAGTTTATATTAGTTTAGTTAAGCTAAAAAAACTACGCTGCAACTTCTCCACGCGACAAAATTTCTTCTCGCTTCGAATCACCGACATGTGGAACAGCCTCCCCGATGACATCGTTGGCGCTCAAAGTATGAACGCGTGCAAGAGCAGACTAGATAAAGCTATGGAAAAATATATGTTCAGATTTGAAATGCCTAGCTCCTTATTGAACCCGGTGTAAGTCGACTAGCTATTTCAAACTATCGTCAGTCATGAAAAGATCCGGTCAAATGACACGATATTAGATCTTCTGTGAACAAGGCACGAAAAGATCAAGAATCGGTGACAGGCCACATCAGGCCTACGCTTCAGCTCCGACATCACTATGTAATGTTTTGTTATGTTATGTTTACTGTTAGCTATCGTGCTGACATCAAAGCTTATTTGATAAAATTGTTTGTTTTATCCCGACTTAATTTGGATGCATTATTAATGTGAAGCAATTTCATTATTGAAATATTTTATAATTATAATTATTTGTTACTAAACATTTAACAATATTATTGATCAGATTTTGCAATTATTTTACGTATAAATTCCCTATTTATCTGTATAGTTTTGAACCAAATAATCATTCTAGCAGATATTATAATGTATTTACCTCTCAGAGCTCGAGTCGCATCTACAGCTGCGCCTGGACAAATGACGGGCAATACTTGGCACTCGGCTTGGCAGACGGCACGGTCTCCATACGAAATAAGGTTCATAGTGCATTACGAAATAGGGTTTACATTGCTTTACGAAATAGGGTTTATATTGCTTTACCAAATATAAGGTTTATATCGCTTTACGAAATAAGGTTCATATTGCATTAAAAAATAAGGTATACATTGCTTTACGAAATAGGGTTTATATCGTTTTACGAAATAAGGTTTATATTGCGTTACGAAGTAAGGTTAATACAGCTTCATAAATAAGGCTTAGCTTGCTGTATGATATAAGATTTATATTGTTTTGCGAAAAATGGCTTAGGAAGAGTTCCGAAATAAGGTTTGCATCGCTTTGCGAAATAAGGTCGCTATATAGTTTTACGAAATAAAGTTTTCTAATTGCCTGTTCCAAAGTATTCTTATAGCATGGTTCCCAGAGAGAAATGCGTAACTTTTTGCAAATTGCGAAACTTTTATTGCACTTCTGTTGGCCATCCTATCCCAGTTTGACCCGACAAAAGGGTGTATCATAATTACGTATGTTCAGAAAGTCTGTCACTATTTCTACAGTAGGACTCATTAATCATTTTCAGTGTATTCTTTAGCGCATTTTCTCATTTATGGAAAAAATGCACTATTGTGCTCGCCATGTCCGTCTGTCCGTCTGTCTGTCCGTCTGTACGTCCGTCTGTCCGTGACCTCAAGTTTTTGTCGACGAGAAAATGCGCTCTCTGTTACTCACTGCAGTTAGTACTGAGTTATATTTTTTTACTATGGTTACATGCCACGATGGTGCGTTGTTCACGCGCGCCTGCTTAAATTTCTGTCGTTCTGAAATAACATGTTCATTACCGGAGTTGACGGATCGACGTTATATTACAGAAATACGAAAAATTTATTCCTTCTGGTGCGTGAAATATCAATGAAATTATTGGATTCGTCATGAAAATCGCTTTGGTACGCTATGCAGTGTCGCAAGTTTTTGTGCTCCATGCAACGTAATCAATTTAGAGTGATTTTTTAAATTTCTTCACATTGCAAACATATTGGAGCAAACAACGTTTGATGAAAAATTTTATCCCTATTAATGGGATTTTCTTCTATAGCATTATATTGTTCGGAATGAAATATTAAACAGGAAAAAAAATTTGTAGTAAACTTGAATTTTTAGCAGCAAGGGACAAAGAATTTCCATTCACCGGCATTTTACCTAGGCTCGAAAATCCACAAATGAATTATCTCTATTTTCAACGTTGTAAATATTCTTGACTTGAAGCTGTGTTTAGAAAAAAAATTTAAAATCTTTCTAGAAAATGTACGAATGACCGAAGTTTGTTTGAGCAAACAAAATATCTGCAGTTTAGTTTAATAACAATAAATGAAGCCTTGAGTTCTTTGGCGTGATTAAAAACAGTATCGCAAGAAGACTTCACAATAATACTTTTCCTCTCTCCAGAGCGGAGAAGTAAAGATGCGCATCGACCGAGGAGGAGCAAACTCCCCCATCCGCTCATTGGCCTGGAACCCGTCCAAGTAAGTTGGAGGGTCGGCGAGTTCAGTCTGGCTTAGACCGGAAATTTCGCTGCGAAATTCAGATTTTTGGGAGACGAACCGACACATTAGTGAAAAAAGCTGGCAAATCCGGGGCAAATAATAAATTTTTCGATATGGTTGCAGCTAATAATTTTCAAGTATTTTTCATATGATTATGTTTAATCCATAGCTTGATTTAACTGATATATTGCGGAAGAAAGGTGTACGCTAGCTGTCTCGCGAATCAGTAGCGAATAAATATTTTTATAATTAATTTCAGCATTCTTTTTAATTTACATGATGTCACAGAATGTTCTCCCAAACACCATGCCAAGTCGAAACTTAATAGGAGCTAACGTGAATTACCATCAGAATTAAGCCTCACATAAAGTTGCAATGAGGATTTACATTAAATAAACTTCTCTGCCAACGTTTTAATTTTGTATGAAGGGAGGAGGCGTACGACATCCTTTGCGTGGCAGACTGGGGACAGAACCTCTCTTTCTACTCGATGAATGGAAAACTGGTGAGAGATATGAATTTTTGGCAGTTAAATCGTTCATCCACGACATGGATGTCGCATGACGAAACCTTGTTTATTCTTCAGAGATATAAAGTCAGTAGCCACAGTATTGCTTTAAATATTTGTTTCTTTATTCAAGGTCTATCCATTTTTAAACAAAAAACATATATTTTATAATTATTTTTGGTAAGAAGAGATTTATCAGTATTTGTTGAAGAACATATGTTTTTGATGGGCCAATTGCCTCATTTCAACAATTTTATTTCGGTTAAAAATTGTACTTTTTAAATTGCTGAGACTATTTTATGAATTAATCAAGAGGATAAAATAAATGTTTCAGATCGGCAAGGAGCGACCCTTGGGTTTTGACCCCTGCTGTGTGAGCTACTTCAGCAAGGGCGAGTACCTCCTAGTGGGGGGAGCCAACAGGTCGTGCAGCCTCTACACGAGAGAAGGAGTTCGTCTTGGCTTGATATGTGACCAGCAGTCGTGGGTGTGGTGCTGTGAAGCTCATCCAGACTCTAGTTATGTGGTGAGAAAACTTCTTCGCCGAACACGGAATATGAAAAAATAATCATGGCTATAAAACGTTGTCAAAACTATATGTCATTTGTGTAAGATGATAAGAATTAATCACGGGCAAGTGTTAACAGATAAATAACTCCTAACCAACTCCGTGGGTAGAAATTCAACTCAGATTTGGAATGATCTATATACACGTAAGAATCACCTAAAAGTTCTTAACAGTCGGTTGAAAGTATGAGCCTAATATTTTGAGGTCTCGGAGTCTTACCTCAACTTTGACAGTGAAACTTCACTTAATGTCCCTACAAGGATCTTATAGATATATTTGAGACAAGTCGCTATCGACTGGAAAAATTTAACCTTTTAAACCTTTAGTTCAACTGTGAGGCCGACGTGTTGCTGCTATATAAAATTTCTTCGATCAGGCAGTGGGATGCCAAGACGGGACTATCGCGTATTTCCAGCTCGTGTTCGCCACTGTGCACGGTCTGTACAAGGAGCGATACGCGTACCGGGAGAACATGACGGATGTCATCATCCAGCATCTCATTACCGAGCAAAAAGTGCGCATCAAGTGCCGGGACTTGGTAAAAAAAGTCGCCATTTACAAGCACAGACTTGCAGTAAGTCCGGAAGTTCTGTTAAAAATGATACAAAATTATGATACGTATAGAGTCAAAATATGTACTTTTGTGGCCAAAAGAAATTGAATTGGATCCAAATTATTTTGTAGAAAATGATTTTTAAAAAAGTCAAGGTTAATTATTACGAGCTTTTAATGAGAAAAATTTTATGAATCAGCGTTATTTTTTCCGATGTCAAAGGCAATAATGTGTCAGAACTGTAGCAAGATTTTAAAGCAAGCATAATACATGATTCATATTCAGAAGAAATATATAAGTACCAATTTGTTTAATTACAAAGTTTTAAACACACGTAGAGGCATCATAATTGAGGTCGGCTTCTATATATTGATTTACAGGTTCAACTCCCGGAGCGCGTGATCGTATACGAGCTCTACTCCCAGGAAGCTGCCGACATGCACTACAGGTATTCAATTCTTGCCGTGCTACCTAATCCTGGAAATCAAGACAATCTTGCTCCTGGTATCCGATTTTGAGCATGGATGTTCTAAAAATAAAGGCTGCAGGCATCCGATTCTGGGCATGGTAGTTCTTTAAATGAAGATAATAGTGCTACAGGTCTTTGATTCCGGCATGGATATTCTGGAAATACAAATTTTATTGTTACAGATATTCGATTCTGAGCATGGTAATTCTGGAAATGAAGAAAATAATGAAATTTTTGCCAGAGGTGAAATTCAACTTATAGACCTTCTCGGAAATCCTTAATTGCTGTTATGAAATTTCAAACAGTGCATTGAAAATTACATAACTAATATTATTTTTAAATTAATAAAGCCAAGAGTCTTTGTGGTGCTGCTTGATTGAAAAATATGGCTTTGTCATTTAATTCATTGCGTTTCCTTATTGAGGTACTGTTTTAGAAATCACTGATATCAGGTTATAGGAATAATTTACGTGAATCAATAGGTAGTGTATTAAACCCTGTATCACACGAAAGAAATTTTTCGCCTCAAATCTGATCGTTCTTTACACTATTCGTTCAAAAATATTTAAATATATTTACAACCTTGAAACAATACGATTGAAATGATTTATAATACAAATTTCTCAAAGACGAAATAGTTGTCTAAGTTTTGCATGACATTTAATTTTATAATTTCTTATTTCTTACTGATAAATTGTTGTAAAATTGGTTTTAATTTACATTAAAAATGTTTTCATATCAATATAGGACGTTCTTTTGTATTACCTACAAATGAAGTCATAAAGTTTGGTAAGTAAAATATAAGTTCAATGAAGGAGACGGTACAGACGTTGGAACAGCACTTGTCATGTGCAACTGCAATATGAGTAGCGGACTGAGTTTCGACGAATTATGACAGCTAGTCATGAACATCACGGTCGGTATCATCTGAAAATATCCATTATTCATGACTACCCGGATGAATTTTCCGCTTAACATTAAAAGCTTTTGCTTATTACATGCCTGAAACTTTCTCATTACTTGGACATGTTTCGGAGATACATTGCATATTATTATTAACAATCAGTTTTTCATTTATGTTCGAATCAAATAAAATATTGGGATTGCTATGAGACGAAAGAATTATGGGACAATCTTATTACCTTAAATACATTTTGTAATTTCAACCTAAATTGTTAATTTTTAATTCGATTGGATACAAATAACATGTAATAAATTCAATCATTTATTAACTGTTCCTGTTTTGCTGCAATTTTATTATGTCTTGCAGCCTTTCGGCATTGAATTAATCTTTATCATTTCCATTTGATGGCAGAGTTCGAGACAAGATCAATCAGAAGCTGGAGTGCAACTTGCTGGTCGTATGCACAAACCACATCGTCCTGTGCCAGGTGACCTGCACTGGTTTTTTGAAAAAAACACCTCAACGATCGACAAAATAATGCACTATTAGTTGCAGCACTCAAAATTAATAGTGAAATTAACTAATAATATTTTCATTGATTGGTAATACTGTCCAAAACGCGACACACTTCTTGCCCGGAACACTGATACGTTTTTTTTGCCGAGCCTAACAGGATCAGATGGTGAAAAAAATGACAAAATGTTTATCTCTCGTTTGTTTGTGTGGGAATTTGTTCTTATCAGCAGCGCGGAATTAATAAAAGGGCTGCTGGTACATATTTGCAATTTATGTTTTACAGTAAGTATATACATATATTTACATGTATATTTACATATATTTATATGTAAGTTTTATAGAAAACTGTGTTTTATTGATAACTGGTTACGAACTGAGAGCTGGAGAACAAAGGAGAAATGTTTGGAAAAGGATTACAAATTTTGCTGTCCAAAATTGCGTAGTTTCTCCACCATTATCGATTATTAATGGTGGAATGAGCACAATGAAAGGAGACGAAAAGAGAAGTTGTAAAATTATTTATAATGACATTGACCGCGAGAGCAACATTTTACTTCTTGTTATTTATATAGACATGAGAATCTAAACAAATTCGACCAAGGAAATGTACATTTCTTTGGTACTCGAATACTATCGACAGAATAAAAATCAATCACTGAATAACTATCATGCAATCATATCTATACTATCAATCATAAATGTAATAACTGCCTAATACGTTCAGATATTAAGCAACACGATTGCTCTATTTAACATGGCAGGATGAACTACTAAATTCAACTAATTTAACGTACAGGAGAAGCGGCTGCAGTGTCTGAACTTCACGGGCCTCCGGGAGCGAGAGTGGCAACTCGACTCTATGATCCGCTACATAAAAGTGGTGGGGGGGCCGCCCAACAGGGAGGGGCTGCTGCTGGGGCTCAAAAATGGACAGGTTAGGATTATGGTTGAACTATATGAGGTTAGGTACTATAAGGTATTAGTTCAACCAAGGGTGAGGATTCTGAAGACTATCAAGTTGATTGTTTGATAATTAGGCGCTGAAGTGACTCTGCTTAGGATCCGGTTCAGTAGTTTATGGGTTTAAACTTTAACTTATGCTTGGTCACACCGTGGAAAAGTTAGTTTGAACTAACTAACCACTTATTATAAGTCATATTTTTCCATATTAATGGCAGGTGCTGAAAATATTCCTGGACAACGCGTTTCCCGTTCACCTGCTGACGGTGAGCTCGGCCATCCGCTGCCTCGACCTGAACAGCTCGAGACACCGCCTCGCTGTGGTGGACGATAACAGCGATCTACTCGTCTACACTCTACCTGAGGGCGAACTGCTCTACAGTGTGAGTCTACTTCTGTACTCTACCTGAGGGCGAACTGCTCTACAGTGTAAGTCTACTGCTACTCGCTACCTGAGGGCGAACTGCTCTACAGTGTGAGTCTACTGCTACTCTCTACCTGAGGGCGAACTGCTCTACAGTGTGAGTCTACTTCTACTCTCTACCTGAGGGCGAACTGCTCTACAGTGTGAGTCTACTTCTACTCTCTACCTGAGGGCGAACTGCTCTACAGTGTGAGTCTACTGCTACTCTCTACCTGAGGGCGAACTGCTCTACAGTGTGAGTCTACTTCTATACTCTACCTGAGGGCGAACCGCTCTACAGTGTGAGTCTACTTCTGTACTCTACCTGAGGGCGAACTGCTTTACAGTGTAAGTCTACTGCCAGTCTCTAACTGAGGGCGAACTGCTCTACAATATGATTCTACTTCTACTCTCTACCTGGAAGCATTCTGATGCTGATGTACATTGTAAGTCAACTGCTACTCTGCACGATCAAAGGTAATGATATTTTTACATAAAATTTTTCAATAATTCGTTCTGTGTAAATGCCGAAAAATCTTGGGAGTTTCCGAATAAATAAATTCTCATGAGTGCAAAGGAATTTCGGACATTTCAGAATTGTCGGGGTTACAAAAAAGTTTCAATCGAATAGCATCAAATACCAATTTTGTGTCAAACTAGAAATGTTATTAAAGGTTTGTGTTGAAGATTAACTTGTTACACTCATGAATGGACTAATTTTCTAATTGGTATTGATGCGTACTTTTATGATAAATCAAGTGATTGGTAAAAACCTCATTTCGAGGTACAAAAATAAGAACGTCGTCAACTGAACGTACTTTTTATCATAGGATTGACTCGATAAGATTTAGAGTGAAACTTAGTAGAACGAGCATGCAAAAAATGTTAACAGTAGGCAGTGATGCATGCAATATTTAGTGAGTGATTAAAAAAAATATACTTACTGCAGTGAGTGACAGAGAGCGCATTTTCTCGTGGACGAAAACGTGAAGTCACGGACGGTCAGATAAACGGACGGACAGACGGACATGGCGAGCACAATAGTGCATTTTTTCCATAAATGAGAAAATGCGTTAAAAATACTCTTGTGATTCATCACTTACTAGCAAAGTAAAAAAAAAATATCACTGAATTAGAGTAAATTCTAATTCGAAATAGTGATCGCGATTTCTTGAAGAATTTTATTTTGTAACTCCATTTTTAATTAATATTTATTGCATTCAATTCGAAATAATCAATGCGACCGAATTATGCCAAAAATAGTTTAATGGCAGCATAGCCATTCTACCAACTCTGCTGCCTAAATTTTATTTGTCTACATTTTGAAAGGTGTAAATTAGAAGTACTTAAAATTTATAAAAATAATATTTTTGCAATCAAATTCATTAAATCCTTTATTGAACAACTTCAGAAGAATGTGCACATACTTAAAATTTATATCCGAAAAATCAAATATAGATAAATCGAGAACCAAATATATATGGGAGCCTTGAGCATGATACAGTACTTTAGAAGAATCAGTACTGTACTTTAGAATTACAGTACTTTAGAAGAATCGCAGTACTTTAGGAATCAGTGCTTCTTATAATTTTTATAATGTATACTTGTTTGTTCGGCAACGCGTTAACACACAGTCAAGCGCGAAGGAGATGAGTATTTGAAGATCTTAGACTTAGAATAATAAGATTGAAATTAATTGTCTCAGTTGTGGGGGGTTGAGTTGTTGCGTAGGCAGGGCAGTTGCGGAGTTAATTTATTAGATAAGCTAGCCAGTTGTGATGGAAATTGTGTAGGCAGATCAGTTAATTGTGTGGTTAAGATGGGATCATTATATAATTTCCCAATCATTAACCAGAATTGTACACCACTAAACCAATGAACGTAAGAAAATCATGGCGTTAAATTCGTTGATGGCGTCGACGATATCTTGTCCAAAAATCATACTAGTTCCGTTGTGCCAAATGCTTATTTTCTTCCTAAAAAGAAAACAATTTCCTTAAATATCAAAATTTACGAATCATGTAACGACAAGCTTTATACGGAGATTATTTCTTAATCTTCTTATATATGTTAGGAGAAAGGAGCGAACAGCGTGGTGTGGAACACGAGTTGTGATGCAATGCTCTGCTATTCCGGCAACTCAACATTCAACATCAAGGCTGATAACTTCCCTCCACACGAACAGAAGCTGCAGGTGGGACGATGTGGTGTAGAAATGAGTTACGCATTAATGGATGTGATGGAAAACGGGATACCATGAAATTGCAATGATGCACATGCATGTAATAAAATATGTGTAATATGCAAAAAATCATTTAGTTTTTGCACAAAAGTAAGTTACCAAGACGTCGTCCGGGATAAGTAATCCTCGCATTTTTCAAATCCTGTTATACCCGAATCCTGTCATCCTGAATTCTGCTCGTATTCAATATTCTGTCATCCCGTGTTTCGTTAATAATTTTGGTCTTATGCGTGTTCATTATTCAAAAAAGTGTTCTCCCAACGGATATTTTCCATGGAACTCATAATTGAGTCCCAGTTTTAAATTCGGGAAAATTTCAATTTTAATTAAATGCGACGTTTTTTTTGTTTTAATTAAATGAATTTTTAATTAAATTTAGACGCGCCGAAAAAAGGTCACGTTTAATTCTGGTAATTTTCACAGAATTTCTCATTCAACCTCCATCCCTTCATTCTGTAATACCTAACACTCCCCCAAACTGAAATGGAAATTTTAGGACCCAAATTGAAAATCGATATTGTATTTATATACTAGTGTGTTATTGAAAATAAATTTAGAACTAAAATGAAATACCATTCGAATGTTGTAACTGTAGTTAAATGTGAATTTTACATGTTCAATGTAAAGTGTTAAATGCGAGTTTGAACAGGTCTTCCTATAACAAGCTTACATTAATGTTATTCATATTAACAGAATTAGTGGTAAAAAGCTTAAAAAAATTATAGATCCCGGACAACACCGGGTTATTCTGCTGGTATATAATACATAATGACAAGAGCAATGCTGCAAAGTTATGACAAAACATTTTTGAAATTTACTTGCAACGTTTTTAATGCTGGCACCAATATGTGAATAGAAAATGTGTATGAATTTAATAGCAGTTCTGCTTAAAAAATGTTAACATGAAATTGTACTGGGCTCATTGAACTGTTATGATATAGTTACAAATAGGTTAATTAATTTCTAAACCTTATCCAGTTTATGCTGAAATTATTCCTATGTTATTCCAATTTCAGGGTTTCGTGGTGGGATTTAGCGGCAGTAAAATTTTCTGCTTGCACGTGATCAGCATGTCGACGGTGGAGGTGCCACAGAGCGCCCCCATGTACCAGTACCTCGATAAAAACATGTGCAAGTGAGGTTTTCTTCTGTTTAAGCCAAATTCATTTAGTCTGCTTACAATAAATAGAGAATAAATAATTAAAACTCTAAAGATTCAAGCTTCATTTTTCAAAAAACAAGAGACAACCAAGTACTCCAAAACAAGAACATAGTCTGGTATGAGGGCTTTTCATTCATCTGAAATATTTCGTAAATATCTTCAACTTGGTTTTCGTTACTTCGACTACGGAACTTTATTGAGGCATGAATCCTAAAATATATTAGTATCCAATCAGTTCAATATGATTAATTTATTGCATATTAATTATATTATAATCTTTTCTTTACATTATTTGTAACCTCAAGGGAGGCGTACAGCATCGCATGTCTGGGTGTGACGGATGGCGACTGGAGGGCGCTGGGTCGCGCTGCGCTCCACGACCACAACTACGACATCGCCAAGAAGTGCTTCACCAGGACCAAGGACATGAGGAGTCTTCAGCTCCTGCAGATTATTGAGGTAACTTGGCTTAACATCAAAGTCTAGCGCGCTAACCTCCCGGGGCACAATGAAATAATTATTGTTAAAACGCGGGCTTTAAGTAAGGAAATGTCTTGACATTTCTCTGAAAGTAGAACTCTTTCGATTTTCGAGCTTTCAAGTTATTAAATTTCTATTTTATACTATTCTTTGCAATGCCAAATTTTTCACGCTATTTCTACCTTTCGCTAAAACTACGGTGGATTTCAGCGGGGAACATGTAAGAGTTCTGCTCCTATCAAAGAAGTCAAACTTAATAAATAAATGGAGCCGTACCACACTGGTGGAACCGTATAGAGGTTGAAGCTTCGATCTGCCTCTTCCTGCCCATTGTTTCTTGGAAAAATATTCCCTATTTTTCACATTCCTTAAAAGAGACTTGGTTTTATTCAGTAGATCTATACTCTGAAGGCCCACGTTCTAACGGAAATATATATAAAATTTGTACCTAACTTTGCACATAATTTTGTTCTGTACGACCAGGAACGCGGTCAGCAAGGCAGTGGGGATCCGACTTTGGCCGAAGCTGATATTTTGGCCCACGAAGGAAGGTTCTCGGAAGCCGCCAAACTTTACCGCAAAGCTGGCCAGGACAGCGCAGCCATGAACATGTACACCGACCTCAGGATGTTCGACTTGGCGCAGGTGACAATTTTGTACACATATACACCCTCAAGATGATCGACATAGCGATGGTTTTAATTTAGAGCAGATATATACGCCGACCTGTGACGGTTCAGCATGACGTAAACCAGTGGTTCCCAAACTTTTTCAGGCTGGCGCCCCCTTTGGCTCCCTAGTGAATTTCTATCGCCCCCCACAGACATACGCCTCTTTCTTGAAATTTAGTACGCTGCAATTTTAAAAGAGAAAGGCTAAACAAAAATGTGCATTTCACAAATAGAAACCCATTTAGTGAACCACTGTGTTTTTCAGCTGTTTTAACTGTTTCAGCACTAGAAACCTAGGACGTCTCGGGCGAATTTACGGCCGGACTTGTAGCCGGTCTCACGACCAATCTCCAAATTCAATTATCAAGTAATATCTCCCAAACTAATGAACGCAGCTCTATGAAACTTGGAACACGTATTCATCAGAACCTAACGGTGATGTTAGCTCGTAACTTTTTTTTTTAATTTCACCTTCGAAATTTTAATCGAAATTTGAACGAAATTTTGAATATACATGCCTAACTACCAAACGGTAATTTTTAGCTTATAAAATTTTGTTCGATTTTACCTTAGTTTGCGAGTTTTTTTTTTCATTTCACCGTCATTCTTGATTTCACACTTCCTTATATTCGGCCCGTATCGCCGGGTAATTTATCACTTAAACTCGCGGCGATCAAGAAATTTCTTCTAAACTACTGAACAGATTTCAAGGAAACTTTGTATATAATTACCTAACCTCTCAACTCTGATGTTTAGCTGGTGACAATTTTTATTTTGCTTTCGTTCGCGAGTTATACAGATATAGGAGGAACGACCGGCTTTTCTACAGGCCGGTTTAACCAAGAGCCGTATACGTATAGCCGTATAACTCGCAAACAAAGGCAAAACGAAAAAATTTTAACGAGCTAAACATCACCGTAGCTGAGGTTAAGTATTTAAATACTAAATTTCGCTCAAATCTGTTCAGCAGTTTGGAAAAATTTATTGATTACTATGAATTTAAACACGTATTGCTGTTAGTCACTAATGAAAGGGAAATGAAAAAAAAAAACTCTCGAACGAAGGCACAATCGAAAAAATTTTCAGGAGCTAAACATTACCGTTCGGTAGTTAGGACTGCAAATTCAAAATTTCGTTCGAATCTGTTCAGTAGTTTTGAAGAAATTACTTGATAACAGTGAATTTAGGCCCGTATTTAGGCCGTAAACAAACGATGGCAAATTCAAACAATTTTCACGAGCTAAACATTATCGCTAGGTCCCAATGAGTACGTGTAGGTACTAAGTTTCATCGAGTTAAGTTCCTTAGTTTGAGAGATATACCTTGAACATCGAATTTGGAAATTGGTCGTGAGACCGGCCGCGAGTCCGGCCGTTAATTTGTCCGAGACGTAAACCCAGGAGAGGTTAAAAAACAGATCTGGGTGACAAAACCATCGCTGGGAGTCATATGCTGCACGTGTTGTGTACAAATCGTCAAACAAACGTTCGAAATTCTGACTTCGACTTCGGACTAACGCCCCCCTTATCGCCCCCTACCGCCTTCTTCTTCCTTACCGCCCCCCAAAATCTTTCCACCGCCCCTAGGGGGGCGATATCGCCCACTTTGGGAACCACTGACGTAAACTATTTAAAAACGTCATTATTTAACAAAAGTAATACATTTTTTGATATTCTGGTATAAATTGTATTAAATGTTTCCGGTTATCAGTTTTATTTAAAAAACATTGGAATTGGAAATTTGGTAATGACAAGGGTCATAAACTTTGCGGCAGCTTTGAATAATTATTCTTTAGGGTTGTTGCATAAACATATCACCGCAACAACCCTAAAGAATAATTATTCAAAGCTGCCGCAAAGTTTATGACCCTTGTCATTACCAAATTTCCAATTCCAGTGTTTTTTAAATAAAACACTGGAATTGGAAAAAATGAACGCTTGAAAAATGAACAACGCTTGAGTTTCTGACAGGAATACCTGGGCGCGGACGGCACGATGGACAAGCAGCAGCTGATCAAGAAGAAGGCGGACTGGGCGCGCAACATCAACGAGCCGCGCGCAGCCGCCGAGATGTACCTGTCCGCTGGCGAGACCGCCAAAGCCGTCGAGATCATGGCAGAGAACGGCTGGGTCGAGATGTGAGCAGGAGACAATTTTTATGGAAATTATTTTTTGTATACCTTGATAAAAAAATTATTCAGAAAAATTAGGGAAACTCTGGTTTGATGAAACATTCTTGTTTTATTTTGTTTTCCATTCACACTGTGAAAAAATCTTTGGAATTTTAGTTCATTCTGATGTGGGTTAATATCAATAAGTACATGATGAATATCAATAAACTCATTCTCGATTTTTTTTATTCCTGCTCGTCAGCGATGCAAACGTTTGAGAGAAAGAAATGAATGTAATGTAAGCAAAATGATCAATCAATTAATTGTGAAAAACATTTTATTGATTCGATAATTATTCATGCAAGGCTCGTTGATGTGGGTCGCAAAGCGGACAAGGCTGACCACCAGACGCTGTCGCTGTGTGCGCAGCACTTGCGGCAACTCAAGGCTCGCACCTACGCCATCGAACTCTACAGGTTAATTTACTTACTTAAGATTTTTATTGTCATAATATTAAATGAGCTATATGCACTTAACATAGCATAAAAAGATCAATCAATATAAATTGCAACATCGTAAATCTCGTGCTAGGCAAGGAGAAAATAGTGGCACGCACTTGCGTCGTCGAATTCTACAGGTTAATTTACTTCCTTAAGGTTATTGTTGTTATAATATTCTGTGAGCTACACGCACCTGCGTCGTCGAATTCGACCGGTTAATTTACTTCCTTGAGGTTATTGTTGTCATAATATTAAATGAGCTACACGCACTTGCGTCATCGAACTCTACAGGTTAATTTACTTCCTTGAGGATTTTGTGTAAATAATACGTCAATGAGCTACACGTACTTGCGTCATCGAACTATACAGGTTAATTTACTTCCTTGAGTTTTTTGTTGTCATAATACGTCAATGAGCTATACGCACTTTCGTCATCAAACTCCACATGTTAATTCACTTTCTTTTACTCTCCTTTTATATTCGTAGTCAATGGACTGCAGGCACCTACGCTATCGAACTTTACAGGTTCCGTCACAGTACCAAAACGATGGACGGTCGTCCATTAAAATGTCTCATTAACAGGAAGATGTGCTTCATCAGTAGTCAATAATTGCATCGAATTAGAATAAATAGGGTCTATTTGCAGTTTTCCTCGACTTTCGTTAAAACATATAATCAACAGGAAGATGGGCGAGTTGCAGTGCGTGGTCGAGCTCTTCGTAGAGGATGAAGATTGGGAAGAGGCGTTCGCGTGGGCTGAGAAGCATCCGCAGTTCAAGGAGTTGGTCTACGTGCCTTATGCCACCAGCTTGGCCGAGAAGGACGAGTTCCTCCTCGCGCAGAAAGGTGAATAAAATCAGTCCGAGAATGTGTTATCACCGCTGCAATGCAGCATGAATGGAATGAGTTGACAATGATGACTTAAGTTTGGAAATTCCAACCAGAAAGTGGTGGTTTATAGACATTTAATCTCAGTAGCGGGGATACGAAGTTTGTAGAATGTGAAGCTCAGGTTAAGAGCTACAGTACCTATAGCTGCTAACGGTTCATCTTTCTTTATTACATCCTTATCAAATTTTAGTTCAGAGTTAGCAAGCAGGCAATTTTTCCAGATCCATCATACAGACAAGTTATAAAATATAGATTAAATATTTGGGCATCACAATGAATCTTGCTTAGAGATAGTTAAATTTCGAAGTATCAAAGTTTACTACCGACGTCGGGTGAGGTATAGCTGGGTACGCGGACGACCGCATGACTGCAGTTAATAGCGTTTTCTTGGATGATTCTACAACTAATGGTCTAATTAAAGTGGTAAACTAAGAACATCTTAGTATAGTTATTTTCTTAAAAAGTACGTTATTAATATCAGAAAAATATATTATGTCCTATAGCATTCCATAAAGCCGGAAAACCTGGCGAAGCATTCCGTGTTCTGGAGCAGCTCACGCACAACGCGGTGACGGAGAACAGGTTCAGTGACGCTGGCTACTACTTCTGGATGCTCTCCCTGCAGTGCCTCGAACACCTGCGTGACGACCAGACAAAAGGGTATACTAAAAATTTTCTAAATAACTTAGGTAGTTAAAGTGTAGTGTATGAAAATCTATCAAGAACAGGGGAGAGAAAGCCGAGATTTCTGGACACTCGCATTCAAGTGCATCATGGCTTTTAACTCAATCACTGGGGTGTAAGAAAGTGCATACTTTGCTGCTTCAACATTATTGTCGCTAAACTAGTAAATAAATGATTAAGCCAGTTATCAATGCATTAATTGAAAGATGATGGATGTGTCCGTCAGTCACAAAGTTTAATCTAAAAAAACTAATCATGTCGACTCGCTCTACACATCAAAATATCTTGCTAAGCCTAATGCAGGTGAATGCGAGTCTCTTGAATAATTAACTTGAAAAAAACTTGACAAATTCCAACCACTCTTTATAACGAATATTTAATAGTATTTCATTGTTAACAGTTCTGGAGAGGATAAAGACGCGGCTGTGGAGGATAAGAGCGAGTCTCGAGCCGCTTCTCCCGACGCGTTCCCGAGACCAGCGAACGCGGACCAGAAACTTGCCGAGGCTCGCGAGCTCGAAAAGTTTCACGACTACCAACGCCGCGCCTCCATGTATTATGTGTACCACACAATACAGCGTTACATGGTACGTGAAACATACAATAATAGCCTCCATGTATTGCGTGGACCACACAAAAGAGCAGTGCATGGCACATATATGGTCATACATTCTACAATCATACACAGATAAAAGCACTGTGTTATCTTTAATAATAAAATTGTCATTGATTTCCATAAAATTTCTCTATCTGTCGCACTCGGCAAAGCCAACGATACAATAGATTTATTATAAACGATAATAAATAGATTACGATAAAATCGATTTAATATAACGATATATATAATAGATTTAAACAACGATATAAATGATTTATGACAATAGCACCTCATTGGATTACAATTAAAACAAGAAAATTTATTTGTTCTGTAACAGGACGAGCCGTTCACTTCGTACATGCCCGAGGCTCTCTTCAACATCTCCCGCTTCCTGACACATGAGCTAAACGTCATACAACCTCCGGGCATATCGAAATTGTATCCTTTACTACAGAATATTCATCTATTTTTCAAATACTAAAATAATCTGAATATATTTTGGAAAGATCTTAAAAATCAAATAGAATCATTACAAATAAAAACGCATTATAGCAATTTGTGTGTGACTAAATTATTTCGTTTAAATTATATTTGATTGCCAGGGCAGAGATTAACGAAACTTCGCCAAGTTCACGTAACTTTTCGTACTTACGTTCAAAAAGTTACGTATGGCGTAAGTCAGTCAAAATTTGGCATTAACAAAACTGTCTTACGCATGACTTATCTGAAAAGGTATTATCGAAACCATCCAACTAACTGACCAATCAGAGGCTTTGGATTTGCTGTTCCTAGCAGGCTCAGTGCGCAGAGCGCGTGGATGGAAGGAGGTTGTGTCGTGTCAGCGGCATCAGCGTAGACTGACTAGGGTGCATATGGAGAAATAAGTGTGACGTTATCCAAATAGCAATGCACTTGTTATGATCATTCATCAAAATTTCTTGCAATCAGGGCAAAAAAATTGCACCATTCCCATTCAAAACTAGAAGACTTTTTAGAGAGACCTAGAATTTAGAAAATTTTATGAGTTGGAGTTGTGACTGTCAGAGAAAAAAAGAAATATGTATACGAAGCTAAAAAAAATGGTTGGCTTGTCAACCTCCACATAATTTTGAATCAAAAAGGCATGAAGATATTTTGAATCAAAAGGCATAAAACTCTTGGACATGAATACCAACATTTGCTTGTAAATTGAAACACAAGAGGAAGACAAATTAGCTTCTGGTATAAACTCAATCAAATATTTTTTCCTAAAAGCACTAGCACGATCCCATATTATACCTAAGTCTCATTATTGACAAAATTCTATTACAATTCAACTTGCTGCTAGTAAATTAATAGTCTCATATTGCTTCAACACTCAAAATTTGTACGTAACTCCGCTTACGACACCTCCGAGCAGGCGTACAGTTATGCACAAATTTTTGTACGTAGCTTCCCGCGCAAATGTTTCGATAATAACGCTCAGTAGAGTCACGTCTACTTAGCTGTACTTACGTTAAACGTTAGCGGCTACGTATACTTAGCATGTTTTGATAATCCGGCCCCTGATCTGTTAGTCGATAACCTTTCTGATAGTCAACTCAAACACACAGCCGCAAAACAAGAATTTGTGACCGAGTCCTTGTTTGATATTTTCTAACAACTTTTATGAGCTGAAGCCATATTGATTGAATACAATGGTGTGATCCTTATATAACTTTTGTGGATTCTAACTTTATTTATGCATTAAAATTTAGCTTTTGCTCGATTACGCACAGAACGGACAATACCACCATCGATATATCAGTCTGGGGCCGTATTATCAAAACTTCGTAACTTTTCGTACTTCCGACAAAAAAGTTACGTGTTACGTAAGTATACCCTAATTTTGGCATTATCAAAACATTCGTACGTAAGACTTAGCTAAAAGCGTACTATCAAAACCATCTGGCCAACTGACCAATCAGAGGCTAGGGATTTGTTTACATTCTGTGAACTTCGATGGCGGGAATCGATGCCTTCGATGGTATCGACTATCGAATGCTGTCTGTCTGTATTGAGTAGGTATTGCTCCTTGTTGGCCCAGAAAAAGTCGTTCTAAAATAGTTGTGAACTCTTTTTAATTAACAGCGTGAGTTGAAGAAGAAATCTGTGTACGGAGCTAAAAATTATGGTTGGCAAAGATATAAAGTACCGACTAGAAGGAATGAATGAATTGAATTTTTGAAAATGAATGAAAAATTTTTTGAAAGAATGAATTGAATTTTTTCCAATAGCACTGTTTAGCACGATCACATATTTTGATCGTGCAAATGTTGCAAGATCAAGTAGTGGAGCCATCACAAGTAGAGCCATCATTCTATGCGTGTATAATCCGCGCTGTCGGATTAATGACAAAATTCTATCACAAATCAAGGTGTTGCTCCTTGCTAGTAAATCAATAGTTTCCTATCGCTTCAGCAGACACTCTAAACTTGTGCAGAACTCCACTTACGACAACTCCGAGCAGGCGTACAGTTACGTTACTTATCTTCCCGCGCAAATGTTTTGATAATACCACCTCTAGAGCTACGTCATCAAGTCAGTACTTACGCCTCTCGTCGATTTTGCGTACTTACGAAGTTTTGATAATACGGCCCCTGAGCGAGAAGGTCAAAGCACGTTTTCAAAAATTCAAAAATGAATTTGTTCTCGTTTATTTAATTCTATCTTAAAAATTCAAACTGTCATGAGATAAACTGATTTTTTAAATAGTCGCTAACGTGCAAAACGGACAGAAATAAAAATCCATCCGCTCTTCAGTCTGCTAAATTTTTCAGCGTTTCTCTGAATAACGAAGAAAAGAATAATACATAGGAATGATTTAATTTTATCTTGAACCAGACGACTCAACATGTACTTAGTCGTGCATAAACTGTCAGATATCAAATTGAACTATAGCGTTATAAAAAATTTAAACGGTTGATAATAAGTCAAACATTAATCAATTGCTTTCGTTTTCGTCAAACTTATCGGAACCTTAATAAAGGCGCATGATTGTTTCACAAACCACGATCATTTATAACACATAAATATTGTCTGATTCCTTAATAACTTTCTGCTTAGCTCAACAATGTACACGCTTGCTAAGCAGGCCCGCAATCTGGAGGCCTTCAAACTCGCTCGACACGTCCTCGACAAGCTTCAGCACCTACACATTCCTGAGCGATTTCAGGTCAGTATGTCCAATGTCTCGTTGTTCTTCATCTTAATAATGCATTGTTTATACATTTTTAATGCAGAATTTGGGTAAGTTCGCTCTCTGTGCCTTAGTTATTTGTTTAGTTGAAAAGCGTCTGAATTGGCTTATTACATTTTCAAGATGTTCTCGGGCATTTTTCGGATCGAATCACTGTTACAATAGCACTCAAATAATGTCATGAGTGGAGTAAACATTTAATTTCATTCCAATTAATTAAAAAATTTTGAGTGGAGTAAACTATATTGAAGGTAATATCAGAAAATGTTCATATAACAGGAGGATGTGGAATTAGCTGCTCTCAAGATTCGCTCGAAGCCTTTCCAAGATAACGAAGAGCACCAGCCCCTCTGCTACCGCTGCTCCACCACCAACCCTCTCGTCAACGTCACCGCCGGCAACCAGTGCATCAACTGCGCGCATCCCTTCGTGTACTCCTTCGTCTCTTTCGGTATTATCGTTGTTCTCGATGCTGCCGCTCAATAATTCTTTATTTTAAAGCATATTTATATATATTTTTAATTAAAAAAAGCATCAAAAGATTTTATTTATCATTTTAATATTTGGTATTCTTAATTTCCGAGCAAATTTTTTTGCGAGTAAATCATCCTAACGAATTTTAGGAATCAAATTACGCGCTCAAATTTAATCAATATTTAACGTAATTCCCCTTTGCTCATGGCTAATAATTTTCTCGAAGGTAATTTTTGTAAACAACATTTCAAGATGATTTAAGAATTTATTGATATTCTTTTCGGTAATACACTTCCTTATTTATTATATATCTCGATCACTGTAAATTTTGAGTGTTTGATGACTAACGAAAATTTTCTTCAATGTTACTCCTCTTATTTTACCTAGCAATCCCTACGGTGTTCAACTTTATTTCATCTTATTGAATTGTAAATAGTAATTCCCGAAACTGGAACCAATTCAGTCCTGGATCCCCAATTTCACTGATGCGTCCATAGCTGAATTCAAAGCCGTCGGCTTACTGAGTGAAATATTAATTTGTATTGTGGACGTCATTGTCGCATACTCGAGCCCGCTCTTCTTAATAATTCTTGTTCTTGTTGAAATGGGTAACGTGCTGAAATAAAACAAATGGGTATGGGACTGAAGTGACAGAAATGGTTATGGAACTAAAGTAATAGAAATGAGTATCACACTGAAGTAACAGAGATGGCTATAGAACTGAAGTAACCCGTTGTATTCGCACAGAGGTCCTGCCTGTGGTTCAATTTGTGCTCGCTGAGGGCATTACTGATGAGGAAGCAGTTCGACTTATCCAGCAAGTATGATAGAAAACATGTTTCCAATTTCCCTGTTCCCAGACAATCGTTTATAATTGTTAAGAAATTGTTAAGTTTAACCTTAGTTTATAATGTAACATACAAATGCAAAATTGAAGCCCCTTTCATGATGCTTTACCTCGTAAGGTGAAATTAAGTAAATATATGTAATAGATAAGGACATGAAGAGTATTTATTTGTCATAAATTTATTTATGAATATTATTTCACATACAGGCGGGCGGAGATTCTCCGCTGAAGTCAACGGACGCAGAAAAAGACGAGGGTGAGGACGACGTTTGGACAGCTCCTGAGGAGGGCGACGCAGAGCGCATTAACTTGGAGGGCAACAAACTTAACCCCGACGACCCCTTCTCTGCCAACCTCAATGCTATCTACGTCAGTGACTAAACCATTCACTCGATAAATAAACACATAATAAAACCTATCAATCAATAAATAAACACGTAACAAAACCTACCAATTAATAATAAACCACAAAACAAAACCTATCAATCAATGAATAAACGCATAATAAAACATTTCAATCGATAAATAAATACGTTACGAAACCTACCAATTAGTAAATAGTCACAAAACAAAACCTATCAATCAATAAATAAACAACGAACAAAACCTTTCAATCAATAAATCCACACAGAACATAACCTATCAATCAATAATTAAACAAGAAATAAAACTTTTCAATCAATAATTGAACGCAAAAAAAACTTTCAATAAACGGTTTAATCGCAAATGAAACCTTTCAAGCAATAATTGAACAGAAAATCAAACCTCTCAGTAAATAATTGAACTCAAAATAAAATATTTAAAGCGGCAATTATTTAACATGCACTTATTTTCATGTGTATCTTGTTAAGATGGCTCTCAAGTTTTCATTTTTTTAATTTATACCGATTCAGACAAATTTTCAACCCTTTTTTCTGTCGAAGATAGTTAAATATTAGATTAATGTTGAATATAAATGCTTTTAACATTATCAGAGTAGGGATATGGCTAAATAAATATTGCATAATGTATCGCAATTAAAAAATACCTACTGCGTTTTCTAACTTTTTAATAAGTAATATTGATCGAAAATGTTTTAATTTTGCAACAAATTATACAGAATATTTCTATGATATTGTAAATTAACATAACTGTTCAAGTAACATATGCTACAGGTATCAGCGGTATATTTCATTAATATGATGGAATCAATTCCTGAATGTGTGAGACAATTCCTGTGTGAAGCACATTGGGTGACTCCACTGCTTTAGTACAGTTGTATCGGCGCTGAAGAATAGGCCTAGTTGGCCTGTTGCGTTTTTTAAAAACAAAAAATTCTATTCGTTAAGATACGTACACAAGTTGGTAATGTAAATAAATATATTCAAATATAATAATATAACACATAAATATTCAAATAATATAAATATAATTGCAGCCAGGATCAGAGATGGAGCCTGTGACGCTGAACAGAGCGGCGCTACAGGCACAGGATCCACAGGATATCATCATCTGTCGGTGGCCTAAACCTCTGCGCTTCACCTACTACAAGAACCTAATGCCGGACGTACCCATCACGCACTGTCAGCACTGCAATAAGGTGGCCGTCCGGTTTATGAAACACTTTCAGATAAAATTTTTACATAAGTGAATTTTATCATTCAGATAAATTTTTTACACATTTTATATCCGCTTCGATGCTGTTGTGCATTACTATTTACAATTAAGCAATATTATTGCAAAACTGTAAGGTATAGTTGACAGGTTTTTAAACACTTTCCGATGGAATTTTTATATGCATGGTTAATATCCGGTTTAATTACCATGCTTTATTTGCAACTAAGCAATATTATTGCACTTGAACAAGGTAACTGCCCGGATTTTTAACTTTCTGGTGCCAATTTCATTTCCATTGCTCGAAAACTGATCAAACAGAGGAAACTTGCCTTGATTATGGATAATATATAATTTTAGATATATAATTCAACTGTTTGCACGCAAGAAATAATCTAAGCTAGTTTGGAAATTTCGACTGCATGTTTCTCAGTCGTGGTGACCTGTACAACACGGAAAAGCTGTATAATTACAGTTTGATGACTAACTTACTTTGCATACTATTGTAAGGAAATTCAGGGAAATATTGTTATGAAATTTAAAAAATTTTGCACCTGCTATTATTTGCAGGTAATGAATATTATGTAATACTAATCATAACGATCGATTCATTTTTATAAGACATTAGTTTGCAATTGAAACATTTTGGCTGCCTCTTTTTGATCATGATAATGAATTATTTGATCAGAAAAATCGTGTTTTTTTTTCAGCTGTTCCACACGGACGACTTCATCCTGCAGGTGCTGCAGAAAGGACACTGTCCGTTCTGCCGGACGCCGGCGCCTCACATCACCGACACGCCGGAATAATATATTTTCTCCGTTAAATCGCACTTTACTATTTCGATGGTTTTAAATAACAGAAAGACGGACTTTGTAGCAATGCTGACGCGAATATATTGAAATTTTGTGTTGAAATGAAAAAAAATAAACACGAATGTGTTTTTCAAACGCACGTAATAGAAGTTCTGAAACTCCTATGATTACCTGAAAATGTTAGTCACAAGTGAAAAATATAAGGTGATTTAAGATTTAAGGAGTTAAAAGTGATTATAAACCTGTGAGGGTCCAATATGAACATTATGAGAATTAACATTTAGCAGTTACTTCTTAGGATAGCCATAACATTGCATATCACAATATACTAAATTATACTCCAACCGCCTGAATTAAGACTCCATATAGGCTTTTTAGAGCTAACGTAGACTGCAAATTGTTTGTCAGTCTAATACTTAATTGCATTTGTTGTGTGAAATTCAATTTCTCTCTTTGAGCCGGTTAAAAATTTAACTTTGCTCAAAGTTGAATGTTTACTGAATAGTTGCCATGTTATTTTTATGTTTGCCTTTTGTTCGCACACGAAATTTGTTAATGGAAAACACGAATCAATGTGCTATGAATAACTTGTAAAAATCGCTTGTATGCAGCGCACCGCAATAAAAATCGATTTTTGAACTATTTGCAAGTATTTTTCAAGCTGAAATAGAGAAATTCGATGAAAAGAAAGTTCTGTTCGATATATACACCACTCTAAAAAAATTTTAGAGACTTGTGCAAGATTAGACCTAAAAAAAAAACGCACAACACCACAAAATGCTGAAAAAGCAGGCATATTTGAAAATTCGAAGCAGTCAAAATCTGTGTCTGCCTTTTCGCGTAACTTTGGTCTTGTGGTTGCCAAAAAACAATATAAGTTCAGAAAATGGGTAAAATTATGAAACTCTCTTGGGAAGCAAACGATTGTATTCCGGTGATCGAGTCAATATCGGAGTCATCCGTACCAATTCCTCTATTAGCAATGAACTCTCGAATACGGCCGTGTAATTGATGATGATGTAACTGGATGCCTAACCTGCTGTTGAAATAATACGTAGACATTTTTTTGAAGGTTCCAAAAAGCATTCCGAGCGTAAAACAGGTAAATAAAAATGTTTGATTTATCATGACGCGTACGTACACTGTATATTGGAAGGTATTAACAATTCACATAACGCGGTGTAGAAAAATATAAAAGGATATCGTCTCAGTTTACATTTTTTTCCTGTTCAGTGGAACGAGAAATAGAAATACAGTAAAGTTCATAACATGTATTTTCGGAAGGAAATAATGAGTGAAAATAATCAAGTTTCGCGGTAGAAATTTATTATTTTGCCCTGATTTGCAGAAATATTGAATCACAGATATGTCTTAACTTCCAGGTACAGATAATTAAGCGTCCGGATCAACAAACGGCTTATACTCGTATATTATATATATCATCGTTTGATATCTTAGAATTTATTGATGAGGCAGGCCGGCTACTCAGCAAGTATCCAGTTGACAGAGAATGGTGACGCTGAGGTTATTTATAATCAACAATTGTTATCAGGCTAGGTGTTTATTTATGCCTTAGATATAGAGTTAGATTTTTAGTACAGAGTTTAGTACGTCACATTATTGATGCTCGACTTGACATTATGATAACTGACTTGGACTAGACAGTAATTGCGCATAAATATGGAATATAAGGAATATATAAATATGGAATATAATATATTCAATCAATCGTCAGCTATGGAAAGATCGGGTTCCATAGGCCGGATCCTTTGTGAATCAAGTCACGAAAAGTTCAAGAATCGGCAACAGGCCATGGGCCTATTTCTTCAATGCCGACACTTCTATTCTATTCTATAAGATTAATAATTATCGGCATTTTTATTTTATTTACGAGAATAATAATTATCGGTACACATTAGAGGTATTTTGATCTTTGTATAGTTTTCGTTTTTTTTTGTGCGAATAAGGTAATCCTAAAATTCATTAGGCCTCGACAGTAATTTTTGCAAACACGAAATTATGATTTAAATACAAATTTCAATTATAGTCATGTGTCTGCAACCAATTCTTTTTGTATAATTTTCTATGATATCCAGTGCATACGAATTAATTAATAAAGGTGTTGCACTATTTCACCTAAATTCCATATTCGTTTGAGAATACTTATGGAAGGACAAATAAACGTTAGAATAACAGTTTCATTTATGTACTTATTTATATTCATATACATTTATATACTTATTTATATTCATATGCATATATAATACTTATTCGAGTCTGAGTTAAACCAGCCAAGAATGTTCACACAAAGGAAATATTTTGTCGGGATCTGTTTTGCCAATAATAGCGTTGTAACATCAACATCATGCAGCAGTCGGTCGCCAGAGTCCGGTATGGGAGGTTGCCACGCATGAATTTATCTGTTTCATCGACTGAAACTTTTGTACATGAAGTTAAGCTATTACCGTACGCACTTATAGACTAAATACAGCGCAATGTTTGTATAATGAATCATATAATATTATTTCCACAAAATATGTAGATAATGCTATTTAACTATAAATATGTATACTCGTATATCGGAATGACCCTACCATTATATTAAGTAAAAACCAAGGCTGATATTTCATTATTTTGTGCAAAGAAGGAAATGATGGTGCAAAGTTTACTAATATAAAATAGACAAGTTTAGTGCTCGAAGAGAAAAACTTTCCAGCTCAACTAGTAATGAGATCAAAACCCACTATGCATTCACACAACTTTTTGCTATTCTCATTACAATCATGTTGAATCTTTTCATTTATTGGCATCAGAATGTCTTATGGAATGAGCCGATTCAATGTCAACTATAAAATCTTTGAATTAATCAAAAAAAGTTTAATTAATTTTTTAATTAATTTTCATTAAATTATTTCAAATTAATATCATTATTATTTAAATTTAAATAAAAAAATTATATTAAATACAAATAATTAATTAGTTAAAGTAATATTAAATTATTTCTACTTAATTAAATTATTTAATTTAATTAAATTATTAATTAAATTATATTAAATGTAAATTAAATTAATTATTAAAATTTATTTAAAAATTAGTTTTTATTTAATTAAAAAGTAAAAATTATTTCTCATGAAAAACATCCAAGTCTAACGTTTGTGACACAATGTTAGGTTAATGCTCAGCCATTCTTCAATTGTGCCTAGTAATAAATGAGGAATTATTGAGCTGTAGTAAATACATATTACCGGCAAATGTTTGACTTATGACCTAAGCTGCGATCTACCTGAACCCATGCATTTAAAACACGTAAACTTATTTAATTTTACCACCGCTGGTTGGTTACTTAAATGTTCATTTTTAAATCCGTGGACTTCTGTCACATCGAACATTATATATGTTCGTTTATTCACAAGAGAACAGGGGCATGCTTGTGTAAAGATTTTTACACACAACTTTCGAAAAAGTATAAATTTCAGCTAATATGCAGAAATGCATTTCAACTTTTGATTACACGGAAACTGAGAGGCATCATCGACAAAATTCCACGTCCATTTCAGATAATTATTTAAAAACGCAGTATGAAAATACTACCAAAAACATGATAAACCAAGGCCCTAAAGGTTTCTTGTGAGAGCCCGTTAAAGTGAGCAATTTCGTAAGCAATAAAAATGATAATATGACTCGAAAATAACAATCTTATGAGCAAACACTAATGACATCAGGGATCACTTGACAAAATAAACCCGACATTTAAAACGAAAGCAGGATATAACTGAAAGTATGGCGTGATAAATTCACATCAATATCAATGATATCACTGGTTAAGTCTGCTAATAAAACTGCTAGAGAAGTTGATTTTGAAGTCGGACGGCAGCTCGCTGAAAATATTTACACAATTATAATCAAGACAATTCTCTAGATTTCAAAGAGAACCGATGGTAGATATAGATATCTCTTTCTTGCACATAGAGCGAATACGGTTTCATAAAGTCTACTGCAAAGTAAATAATTGACTGAATTATTCGAACATATATTTGACTCAAAATTATACACATATACATTCTATTTTCAAGTACGCTGCAAATGTGGTGTTTGACAACTCCGAATTTCTGCGTGCAAGCCTAAATCAAAAACTTTTGACGAGAATGATTGAATGTTGTTACATATAACACAGGCTATAATGTCATCCATTGTACTGCACGTAAATACATCAACTAAGAATTGGTTATTACAAGAGCTGTGACTGAACAATGAAGAAGGTCACAGCTAAATGGTAGGTAGTGGTTGGGAATGCTAAAACAAATCATTAGTGTTATGTAATGTGTAATTTTGAGGTAACTAAGATAACCGAGATAACAAATCACTGCCATGTTCAAAGACGAAATATTTTCAATAATTTGAACTGATGAAACAATAATCATTAATTTACACTATTTAATTGGACGACTTCAAAGTTCGATGATCAGATTGTGTATTTATGCCTAATATTATAACACTCAAATGATTGAATGTCTACTATAATTATATTCATGCCATCTTACAGAAGGCTTTCTATGGACTGAGAAGAAGCGACTAATCGTTTTCCAGTCCAATGCATGATTGGCAGCGATGAAAAATTACGTGTAATTGATCACAGTTTATAATGTCATGCGACGTGGTTAATTCATTGCTGTTGATTGTATTTCATTTATAGAAAGCAAAAACTTAACTAAAAACATCCAAACATCAAACTGAATGATTTTTCTCGATCTGGAGCGGCATCAATAATAATTATGTTTATTATGTGTCCGTATGCGCACGTACGCTAATTGGTCGGAACGAAAGTTATTTGTGACGCAAATTATGCCGAAGAATAAACATAAACCTGCATTTACCGGCTTGGGTTTGAGCTTCTTTAGCTTCTGCTCGTTTCGTTTCAAATTGAATAGTCTCCAAACTTTGATATACCGTGGATATAGGGTGTGTTTTACCTTCCATGATATGCATTTGGAATTCGATTTCATTCGTAATATATTTCAGCTTAATGGTTTTCCATCGTGCATTGTGTATAGTAAAATCAAACGCTTCTTATCTAACAAATTTTCTGAAACTGTGACTGAATGCGATAGTAAGAAAATTATTCATTGCACATTGCCCTATTTTGGTAGTGCGTCTGAAACTATGTTTCGAACTGATGATGGAGCTGGACTCCGAAACGTTTTCAATATCGATATGGTGAATTTTCTTGGCGTTTTCTTTGCTTTTAAATTCCTTGTGAACTTGCGATTTAAGCAGACTAATGATATAAGTACTTAAGAAATTAATGCATTAGTTTGTTGCTGTGCCTAAATTTTGAAATATGCTGAAGAAGTAGTACCGAGCAAATTAGACACAGAATATTTATTAATCATGTCTGGGTCGGCAATGTTTCAGTTATACGTTTCATCTTTAAATATCAGTCATAGAAACTTAAATTGAAAACATGTCTGTTGAATAATAGGTGTAGCAGTCACGTTCAGATAAAGTTTCTTTTCTCTAGTATTTTCAACAACAGTTACGCACATGACAGCTTCATGGTAATTGGGATCCCACAAGCTTTTTAAAAATGAATCAACATTCGAAATTTGTTTCTTTCAGGAGTCGAGACGCATTAAGTTTTTTCCATGACAGGCATTATGGTTTTCGATTAGTGAATCAGAATTTTCGTGCCATAATATGTTATGCTTCAGATTTTACTATGCACTAAACAATACGTTCATCTGCCCTGCAGCCGCGACTACTGGTTTGGTGCGAGATGGTCGTTATATTCCTGTAAATGACTGGTTAGCTCTTTTCGATTTATCTTGGATGAAAATTACAAACTTCAGTCGAATGTTTTATTTGCATGCTTATTGCTGAATTGGTGGGCAGCCTCATCAGGTTTGGACGGTTTTTTGACGTTGATTATTTTATAGCTACAAACGAGCGTTCGAAATTGTACTGACGAGTATTAGTTGCCTCGACCGCATTATCCACGAAAGGATTACATCTAAGATACTTTCTTTGGTGGAATCGCACACGACCAAAAACACAACTACAGTCATCATGGGCACTAAACACTGACGTGAAAAAAGTCGTATGTCTTGCAGACGAACCAAATCACGACGGAGCCAACTATATGCTTCTTGGAAAAGTTACTCCGAAGTTGTCTCAAATACACAGTTTCCACATTGCTGTAGTATCTTCCTATGTCGTTAGTTACGCAACGATCATGACATGGCATCTTTCCTTCGCGTAGTTGATGGTGACACAATAAGTCATTTATATACGTAGAAATTATGTGCATGGACGAGTATTCGTCAAGCATATGAACAGTATCGAATTAATAAGTTTCTTTACCCGTGTGAGACAAGAAAATATCAAGTAAGAAACAGGGTATTATGAAGAAATGAATATATTGAATTATATTCCAAATAATAACGTTATATAGAACGACTGTAGACAACTCGCTCTTGATAAGAAACATAGACACAAGAAACGATGAAAGTAAGTGTACATTTATACTGTTCTGGCGCAATAGTGATCAGGCTTTTCGTCGTTGCAGGGACAGAGGGAACCTTGCTGTCGCTTCACCTCCCGCCTCTCCTTTTGAGCGCAGGTTTTCAAGAAATTAATGAGAATAATCATCGCGGATCTTCGCTGGTTTTCAGATTTCCGAGGAAATTGCTCGGCAGATTAAAACAGGACGCTGAACTTGATCGGTCGAACGAGTGTGGGAAGGGTTTGGAACACGCGAAACCATGAACTTTCCTTGGATTTACAACATAAATGCTTATATTCCATCCGTCGGCCCACACGGAAATGTTTCAGAAATGTTATCCTGAAAACACACCCCTGTACATTTGCGGGTCAGCCTTCCAACACACGCACCGACGTTGACAAATACCTAAAAACTAATTAGCGATAGGCCGGCTCATAATTCGATCAAGGAGAAAAATAGCTAGTACATATCTTAACAATTCTCGCCACTTCTGTTGTCGTTTCACGATCATAAGTTCTCACGGCACACCAATTCCAAGAAAGAAAGTTCGCTTACGTTTCTGCTTTTTATCAAGAGGGTTTTTACCTTCTATACATACCACCTAGCTATCGAAGATGATTTTTCAAAAGTCGTTGTAAACTGCCTAATATTGCTCCGACACCAGGGGTCCGAAAATGCAATATACAGGACAATAAAATTCCAACTTCTCCGAAAACTACATAATCATTTGCCACGAAGGTTCATATTAGATACGAAACAAAAAAAAAAAAAACGTGCCACAGACAATCACTAGTTGCTATGCTGCTATTTAATCGCAGAATTGGTGCATGTGCAATGCTAATGAATTACTCTTTCCATCCGTAAATGTCCGAGGCGAAACTGCTCAGTGCCGTCACATAATACTTGTACTGCAGTGAATCAGCACTAAGCTTGCTATTAGCGGACAGCACTCAGCTTGTTAGTAGCGGATGATGCTCGAAATAAAATTTCGGGGGACAGTCGTGACGTACGAGGACCCAGGTATTTCATTATATATCGGTTATTTAATGGCTAAAGATTTTCTTCGGGACTCAGACAAACCAAGATTAAATCCAAAATTTATTAACGTTCTCAAAAGTTTAAAACATTCAGGCAAAAGTGAATAATGCTTGTTGGCGTGCATAATATTAAACATTAGAGCGGAAATACTGTCAAGTTAGAAGTTATTTGTACAAACATCATAAGATTGTATTTTATTGGGCATTCAAAAAATAGAGATTGTCAAACTGCAAAATTGTTAATACTATTACAATTCGTTGATGATGGTGCGTTTAAGAAACTTTGGAACACTTTTTACATTACAAGAGCAATGAAAATTCTAATAAAAGGTAAACTAAACCAAAGCAACTGCTAAGAACAACAATAAGAAACACGAACAAACTCAATAGAAACGAAAACCCAATATACTATGACAACAGTCAGTCATCTCGCCATCGCGAAGTTGAGAGTACGCGTCAAAAACATTGCAGACGCACGATGCATTGACTTCACCTGCGTGTTGCGTCGTACTGGCGTCGCAAGACGCGGTCCGGACGATGGTAGCGCAGAAGACTTGGCCCGTTGCCATGCAAGAGATCCAGCAACAACAGGTGCCGCGGTCGCGTTGCGTCCGGCATGCGACGGCGGGCTACTCTGTTCGCGGGTTCGAGCATGTCGAGTAATGGGCCCAGATAGACGTTCGCATTTGGATTCTCCACTGGACCTCCACCTGCTCCTTCAGCGCCACCATCATTCGCTCCTCCCTCTCCTGCACCCGCCCCTCCCTCTCCTGCACCCGCCCCTCCCTCTCCTGCACCCGCCCCTCCCTCTCCTGCACCCGCCCCTCCCTCTCCTGCACCCGCCCCTCCCTCTCCAGCACCTGCATCCCCTCCTCCAGCACCTTCCTCTTCTGGACCTGCTCCTCCAGCACCTGCATCCGCTCCTCCAGCACCTCCCCCTCCTGCACCCGCTCCTCTCTCTCCTGCACCTGCACCCGCTCCTCCAGCACCTCCCTCTTCAGCAGTACCTCCTGCACCTGCATCCGCTCCTCCAGTACCTCCCTCTCCTGCATCCGCACCCGCTGCTCCAGCACCCGCACCCACTCCTTCAGCATTCGGTTGGTGTTGGTTTAATGTCGCTAAAATTGGCATTTCAGTCGACACAGACGGGTCAAATCGGTCGGAATTCGAACCTTGTATTGAACGGACAGTAGGTTGTTCAGTAGCTCCACGTCTTCCACATGGCCGAGCCTCAGCTTGTAATGATGCGGAAGTCTCAGTATTAGGAACCCCGGACAGAGTTCGGCGTGACGACACATCTTCATCTTCGTCTATTCTACTTATCCGGCGTCTACGGGACACAGGAGATATCCGTCTAGAAAAACCGAACGTCGACAGTACTTTTATTTTTGCACCCGACAGTGGCTCCAGCTTTGAATTGACTTTAGGACGATGAGCAGGAGAGGCGAGAGAAGAGATAAGTGCTTGCCGACTTGGAGGTGTGGCTGGCAACAATTTTTCGATCTTACGAGCGGGACTTGTGGGGCATGAAGGAGATGTAGACCGACGGGCAGCAGGTGGCGACTGAGAGCCTCGACGGGCAGCAGGCGGCGACTGAGAGCCTCGACGGGCAGCAGGCGGCGACTGAGAGCCTCGACGGGCAGCAGGCGGCGATGGCGGCGACTGAGAGCCTCGACGGGCAGCGGGCGGCGACTGAGAATCTCGGCGGGCAGCGGGCGGCAACTGAGAATCTCGACGGGCAGCGGGCGGCGACTGAGAGCCTCGACGGGCATCAGGCGGCGACTGAGAGCCCTCAGGAGGAGTCCTGGGTCCAATGCGCCGTGGCAACCTCACTGCCTCCTGCCAATTTCGCCGCAGTAGCGGATCGATACGAACTCTACCAATAAGGCCTTCCTCGGCTCTTTCATCTTCGTACCTGCGAGGACGAACAGGTTTCACCGTTTTACCATCTTTTCTCTTAAATTGAAACTGCAGTACATTGTTCGCTGTTTTTTCGTACATTGATGGTTGCAAACGCGCATGATAATAGCGCCTGTAGGCCGAGAAGGTGGTGTAGGAAGTCACGTGCACCTTGCAAGCCGGACACTCATTGCTGTTGGAATGTTAACAGATTAGCAACCACAGACAAGTGTCAATAATTTGGTTCAATGTCGTAAAATTAAATTCTTTATGGAGTCTAGGTTTCTCATTACTTCAGCATTAGCTGATCTTACCCTCTTATAAGGAAATCCCGGCAGTTGTTGCAGATAATGTGTTCACAGTTATCGAAAATAGTGAAAGCGTTTTCAGCTACCGCGTTTTCACTATGGCAAATACAGCAGAGCTGATTCAAAACCGCCCGCTTCAGATCATTCGGGGAACTGAATGACAACAGCTTTTGCCAGAGGTTAGATATTGGTCGAGAATTCGAAAAGACATTTTCGCGTTTGAAACTGAAGACGTTAATGCAGAAATTTCGAATTGTCTCGTGTCGCCTCATGACGGCGAAGAAAAAATTTTCATTACCGTAAATGTTGGTGACCAATGCTTCAGTCGCGACATCAAGAACGTGACAAAGCTCTCTTGACTCGAACGTTAACTGATCGCTCAGGAAAAGGTCCTCGCCAACACTCAGCAACATCGAGGCGCGCAGGGCGTGTAGATAAATATCGATTACTTCTCGTGAGAGGTCATGAAACGTCATACAATGAAAAGGGTCATCGTCAGGTTCTGTTGTTGCAACTTTTTTCTTTCCTTTCTCATTCAAGATAAGCTTGAGTCCGAGTTCGACAATATTATTGATGGAGCGGCTTTCTGACATTATACGGTGCAGCTTGTACAAGAAACACAAGTCGTTTTGAGGAAATTGTCTGAACAAAGCTGAGTGATAGAAGAATCCTTTTTGAGGCTTTTCATCGTCTCTGGTCAGTTCCGGAGTCTGAAATGGAAACGAGGGCAAGGAAATAGTCAATACTGATGAATATTAAGGATTACAACCGACCAATTCAAGCATTCGAACCTTCAAGCGAATTTAGAATGATGTAGATAAACAATTTCACAAATCAAAGTAGTTTTACAATATTATGACATGCATCTATAAAAAATGAGACGAGTGTTTGATTGACCCACTGACTAATGAAAAATGAATGATATCCATGAATGCACATTATGGACCCATAATATTTGAATAGAGTGCGAATATAAAAGGTTCCCTGGCGACAAATATTAGAGTGCGTGTCATGAGCCTTAGCTGGGATACATCGAAAACTTCCTCTTACCATCACATCTCTCAGGTGATCATAACATGGCTGACGACCTTTTAAGAACGTTAACAGCTCGTTGATGCAACTAGTAATTCGAATATTCCTTTTACGGTCTTCTGCTTTAATTGCTTGGCTTCTTCTGAATTTAAAGAGACGCTTGTTGATCTTAGATATATGGTTAGACATATTTGACAATTCCTTGTCCGATATGAGAATCTCTTTTCTGCTTTTCAACATGAACAGATTGTAGAGCAGACAAAAGCTGAAGAGAATGAGGACATCTCTAGTTTCTTCAGGTGTGAAGTGTTCAATTTTCTCCAATCTACACTCTTTCACCATGAAATAGAATTCCCACAAATTGGCTGGAGGATTTTCGTCCGCCATGTCTACATAAATATCAACTAAGCTCCTTAATTTACTTTTGCTACCGATAAAAGATGCGGCGAAAGGAGCTCTGGTGCTGGGATGAATAGTTTCGTAAGCTGGATGCACATTCTCTCTCCGTGTTGAGACCTGGTCAACGTCGCTGACATGAGGACTTTCAGTTCGGGAAGAAGACGTAGCTCCATCTCTAGGCGAAGTAGAATCGCTGGAAATTGGGGCGGATGACTCTGTTGGAATGGTGACTAGCCTTGGAGAATCAACTGCCGGTAAAATATTTTCCGAAGACCTGTTGCCAGTAACAACTGATGCGGCTGCACTAGGAAGTAAAACGAGAGCGCGAAATATGCTTTGGCGTAACGCAGTTTCATCTCGCTCTTTCAACTGGCGTCTAGAACCACCTTCTTCCGACTCCGATTCGGATCTAATCTCTTCAACAGTACGAAACAACTCTTTGGCATCTTGGGAAGACGGCTGAGTGGCAACTTCATCATGATCTAGAGGAGCGTCTTCTTGTTCGTTTGATGTTAAAACCTCATCAGGTACCACACTTACAGGTTTTTCGAGCAATGCTGTAAGATTTGGGCTTTTTAAACTTTCAGGAGCTATTGATTGACGGTTTTCCTCCACAGACTTAATTGTTGGAGCTACCTCATCGCCAGATGAGATCGCTTGCGAAGATCCCCTTCCTCCCGACTGAGAAGTAGTCGACGGCCAATCAACCCCCGGAGAATCCGAGCTCGATTTTCCTTCTGACAAGAGAAAAGGAAGCCATTCGACACTCGTCGACGAAAGTGTCCGCTTTTCAGGAGACCGGCTTGATGACTGTTCTTCGGTAGAAGAGTAATGCCATTCGAGGGATGGTGTTAGAGGAGACGACACATTGGACAAAGGGATGCGAGACGAAGGTCGAGATGGCAGAGCTAACGAAGGACTACCAATAGACACTACCAGAGACGAAGACGCTTTCTTGGACTTCAGAGCCAGCGACGATGGTCGTTCATGGGGTCGGATGAAAAGAGAACGATCAACTGACATAGTACATCTTCGCCGCCTCGCAGCTGCGCATGCCTCCTCTCCCACCTCGGCGGCCAAGGAACTATGACACGCCTTTGAGGTTGGAGTTTTGACGCTCGGAATTCGCGTCGGGATTGAAGTGGTCTTTTTTATTTTCTCTGGTTTATCCATGAATCAAAAGCAAGATCTTGTATTCACGAGTAGAAGTTATAGGATTTCGTCATACGCTTACAAAAAAAACTGCAAGAAAAAAATACTATGAGCGATGAGAAGACAGCATAGCAAACTTGTGTCAAGCTGGGATGGACTAGCTCTTTTCACTTTTCAAAAAATACACTATTTCGTATGCGTGTTAACGCAGGAATAACTAAACTCAGGTTTTCCACGAGTTACTTTCCAGATGCCCTTATTTGTCTAAATTCATGTACCTAGTTTGTAGTTTATACGTGGGATATTCTTCAAATAAATTTTGAAATGTCAAAACGAAGTATGACATTCTTAACGTACGTAGAGGACTGACAAATTTTTTTATACTATTCCATATCTAGAACTACTCACCTCAGACTGCCTAATAACTATATTTACTTGAAGAGTATAAATCACTTCTTCACCTAGGCATGAAAGCTCTAAAAATGGCATGTTGATGACAAATGGCCTGCAACGCGTTCTGCAATCTAATTACGTTAAACTGAACGATATAAACGTACCATTTATTAGGAATGTACCATTTATTCTCCCTAATGTTTACCAGCACCAATACTACACTCGTCAATCACCAAATAGTCGTCAATTGCAGCACTGCTACTTCTTTAGCCAATGATCGCGGAGCAATTGAAAGTAGTGCCTTTGCTATAGAACTTATAGAAGAAAACAAAGTATTTTCTCTGCATCCAATGACAACTAATGTTAAGAGGAATGAAAACTAGAAATAGCCTAATTTAGTATAAAAATTAGGTATTTTTGCAATTTGAGGAATTAGATTACGTTGATAACTTTTTCATCAATTGCGAGGAGCGATCCAACAAGATTTCTGGTCTGGTTCACTCTGACTACACGCAGTCGCACTCCACATGAACTTCATTCCATCACCCAACGATCTGCACGTAAATAAAATACCAACTTACAACGGTCAAGTAGTTCAACTTAGTTTTTGAATGTCAGATCGTGACACAAGAGGCATAAGCCGACTTAAGGTCAACGGCCGGCTAGTGTATGGTTCTCTACCAAATTTATAAACTTCAGTCTTATCAAAATGAAAATGGAAACAATTTCTAAGTTAATTGTATAAATTCTTCGAAAAGTAAAATCAGAGAAAACTCCACGAAAATTCATACTATCTTTATAGAAAACGTTTGTGCTATAAACGTTTTGCTCCAAATATATCAGATTGTGCTCCATCGTCAGGTCGAAAATTCCCGAACACATGAAAATCACTAATTAGGACAGTCAGGATTCCGAAAAAAACCTATACGGCAAAGCCTATCTATTTAAAATTTCAAGTTGGTAAGAGCTAAAAGCTGAATTTAAACTAGGCCTCAGTTTAAAATTATAAAATGATTGCAAAATGTGCAAATCGCAAACATTAAAATTGAAACACAATTTTCAATGGTTTCATGAAGATACCACTGAAATCTGCTTGAATTCTCCGTTCAAGGACGTATGCAAATGACTTCGTTATAGATTTGTAACGTAATTTTCTTAAACCTCTTTTGGAATTATCTGTTCAGAAACTTTTTTCATATGTGCTGAGAAGTTTTACATGGGTCTTCCGCTCGGCTCAACTTTTGCGAATATTTTTATGTGTTTTCACGAGGTTTTTTGGCTGTCCAATAATTGCCCTCTTGATGTTAAGCCAATATTCTACAACAGATACGTTGATGACACTTTTTTAATTTTTAAGCATCCCTCTTACGGCAAACTCTTCTTCGATTACCTAATTTTGTAACATAAATCCATCAAATTTAACATGGAGATTGAATCTAACAATAGCCCGTCCTTCCACGATTGCAATAATTCTGTCTAAATTTAATGGCCACTTACAAACTTCTGTGTCCCAAAAATCGACTTTCACAAGTCTCAGAACCAGCTTTTCCAGCTTTTGTTTTTTTTTTCGATTTAAGATTTATTAGCATAAAACACTTTTATATCGGAGCTTTCGTATTTGTTCTACTCTCCATGCTCTGCACGCTGAATTCGAATTCATATCTTCTCGCTTAATGGATTGCCGACTAATCTGATGTTTACCAGAGTAAAGAAATTCATGTCCGAGCGGTAAAATGAGGTCGCTCCCGAGTACGACAGTAGGAATGTTGTTTATTGCTCTCTTTCATACTTCGGCCCTGTATCCGAAACTGTATGTCAAAGGAGCTGAAACTTTTGTGCTCAAAGTACTTCCCAAATGTTAATTTTTGTGCTTTATAAGTCAACAATTATTTTACAATCGTTTTTTAGGTACAAAGATATCCTCCCTATTCACATGCGAGCGTCCCTAGTATATAAATACAGTTGTGCAACTACATATGTCGGGATGACGTCTCACAATTTTTTATTCTAGTGTCGCAGAGCATAAGGGCTGGAGTTGTAGAACTGGTCACTTACTATCGCGCCCCCCTCATTCGGCTATGCGCACTCACGATGAGCAGTGCGATGTTCCAATTTCTGGTAGTGACTTCACGGTTTCAGGTTCCCCTTCCGGTGTTTCCGATTAACGCATTTCAGAATAATTGCATATTCTTAATCAGAGGCCTAATTTTCAGTCAGCTTTTTAGCTCCTACCCACTTGAAATAGTAAATAGATAGGTTTTACGTTTACTTTTTTTTGTAATCTTGACTGTAATAATTTCTGGTTTACCTATATTCTGTAATTTTTAAACTGACAATAGAGCTGGACTCCGAAACGTTTTCTATACTTATTGAATGAATTTTGTGGAGTTTTCTTTACTTTTTAGTTTAAGTATACGTTGATCAATTTTTAACGTTTTTATGTTTTTAAGTATACGTAGATAAATTGGGTAGGAGACCCTAACATCCGGACTGTGATTCGTTTACTTTCCCTAAAGTATCGGTTTTTGTGTCACGGTCGGAGTTCGTGGTGGCGATACTCCGCATACAATAACAATATGAACTATTAATTCACGTAGAGCTATTGCTACTAAAAATACAATGACGCATAATAATTGGCACACATCCATGTAGGATTAATATCTTTATCCGTTGAGAAGTTGTGTTGTTAGGGATGGAGATATTGTCTTCTTGGGAAGCGTGTTGCGGGAAAAGACATACGAGAGAAAATACCTGACATTGCTCTCAATTTTGAACTTGAATAAAAATGTGTGTTTTTACAAAAGTGGGTTCTCTAGTACGGTAAATAGAAATGTAATTCCACGATTATGAGCAAGAAACGAGCTTTAAAGACAAAATTTTGAAATGTTTTGTTCACAATCGTATATTTTTGTCGCTAATTGATTAAATTAGTGTCTTGCATGGAAAACAGAGTAAAAAGTGGAAATAGATGCCTGTCTATCTAAATATGAGAAAAGACAATTCAAACTTACGAGTTCAAAATATAAAAAATTCTTTTAGAGGGTGATTTAGTTTTAATGACTTTGATTCGTTCACTTCTCAGTGCAATTCAAAGTAAAAACATGACTCGAGACTAAATTATAAATATAACAGTGCAAAATCCATGAAAATTTTTTCTTTATATATTCGAAATTATTCTTGGGTAATGATTATGATTTATAAGTGAAACGGTCTTAGGATTAATATTTTTTCTATAGGATTGTAGGATTAATAATTGAAAGACACGTTCAAGTTAAACGAACAAAACATTCAACACGTGAATATTTATCACAAACAACATTGGCTCTGTTGTGAACGCAACATTTGTTTAAATTTGGTGTCTTGGTTTTACGAGGTTCTGCCTATTATCGGTTTTATTTATTGTCTGTAGTCTGTTGAATCAACTACTAAGTTAAGAGGAGGAACCAATTTTAGGTAAGCTCAACATTCGCGTTCGAAGATATGACTGTATATTTAAATGTCTTTGTACATATTTGAAATGTTTATGCTTATTAAGAAAATAGCGCTGAATGATCAAATACTTGTATTGTGTAAATACATACTGTATGTTTTTTTCCGGTTTCCTCACAGAAGTTGTATTGTCTGGGAATACAGAAATCGAATGACCCCTGCATGACACGCGTATTCAATTGGTCCTCAACTAGATAAAAGTTGCGCTCTAAAGCTTTAAATGGTCCGCAGCTGGCCCTATGTTAAACTTAGCGGCAGTAGAGACAATAATTTTGATAAATTCTTGCCTAAAAAAGGATTATACAATTATTGTCATTCGATCAGTCTAACTGTTTTCTTTTCATATGATTTCTAGAGATTGAGAGATGATGATAATTATAAACCGTGCATAAATTAATTCAACTAATTGCATTAAATTCAGGTCTCAGAAAGGTCTTGCAAGGTCAAATGAACACAGTCAGGGAAAAGAAATATCAATAATAGAGAAACTAAATATTATCTCAAGTGAAGCTCGACATTGGCTTAAAAAGGATTCTGATTCTGAAATCTGGCCGTTCGTTTTCTTTCAAGAATTGACAGGAATATGTAAAAATGTATATATATTGTGTTCAATATCGAAAAGGAGCTTTAAATTAAATCACCAGCTTCGAAAACTATTGGAATTCGTTGAATTTCGCATCACTCGGCGCAGAGGCCCGTGTATTTTCTAGATAGCTTCTTGCATCTTTTTTTGCTGCTGTATGGCGGCTGCGGGATGCCATTTATGTACATGTTGCCGGCGGGCCCGTAATTGCAGATGTACTTAACGCAGTTCATATTATTCCAACCGGCCCAGGTACACTTTTTATTACTGCTGAAGACACCACAGCCAACTTCCCGAGTCTCGGACCATACAACCTGCAGTCCAAGTAAAAATTACATGTTTTGTTATCAGTTACAATCTAGAGACATTTGTACAAGAAAATTAATTGTTGTGTCCACGTTCGTTTCTTCGCCAGCAGAGCCTTATTTGCAATAATATTTGACTCCTTCAATAAGTACAGAATTCGACAAATGACTAAAAATGAAAGCTTTTTCACATCCAAGAGTAACTCAACAGATCATACAGGATGCAACGTAGATAATATGTCGTGTTGCTTCATCGGGACAAATACCGTATTTATGAGATTTTTCTACACCGCAAATATTGTTAAGACAGATTTTATAGTTAATGCCATCCAATTTCAGTGTGCAGTCACCTGCGTGTAGTGACCAATGACGCCTCCGTTGCTAGTCATGTCGGTGCTAACCACATCCTTGACCTCATCGATCCAGCTATCAATGGCTGCTTTCCAATTCGCTGACTGCCGAGGTAATAGTAGATATAATTTGTAAAAATCAAATGAGCGAAACCGACGACAAAATGACACATTTTTTCTGCTATTGTTCTCGATTTTGGCATTGTGTTTAATTCTCTAAGTGTCTATATGTTCAACAATGTAGAAACGACACAGAGTGGCATGAAATACGAACAAATAACATTTGATTTTTTCATCCATAAAGGCCAACATATAATATTTCTTACCGTGATCTTTGCACTGGATCCGCTGAGGTATAAATTCTGGCCAACGGAGTCGTACCTCGGGATGCGACTGCAGCGAGTCACTGAAGAATAACCGACGAGTTCAGACTGGCAGTCGTGCCCTAGGACAGGCTGCTCGGCCCAGCGCTACAATAGAATTGGAGACACGGATATGGAAAGACGGATTAAAATGACGGATTAAAAATTCGTCGGACTTCAATCCGATTAGACGACTTTATTCCTCTATTAGAATCCGTCGAGTAGACCGGCGGGTTTTTAACGCAAGGACTAGATGTTATCAATCAGAATGTTTGAAAGCACAGGCTTACTTCTTGCGTGTCAAGAAGAAGAACTTGTTACAAGAATATAACAAATTATTTGCATTTTATACAATTACATGGAAGGAATTGGATTCTTGCATCGAAGATATTAACAAATATTGGAAGAGCTGCGTTTTTCAATTGGCGATAAAAACAATTTAAAGTTCAACCAATCAAGAAAAAATTGGTGCCTGCTTAATTTAGTTCTAATTGGAGCGAATTCATTTAGTTATCGGAGTTGGAATTTTGAGTATAACGTGACACAGATTCTTTTGGTTTCGTTTAAACGATAATCACAAGTACCATGAAAAACGTAACCGTGCACGAAAAATAATTTTCATGAGAGTGGTCGCAGTCAACCATCCTCATCATTCTAGATTTTAAACAGTTTACCATATAAAATCATTGATGTGTTCGACAAATGATTTATTAGAATATATTGAGAGTTTCACTAAATATCTTTCGAGAGTTTCCGACCTGCGCAGTTCGTGCGAGGTCGTCATTCCAGGTCAACTCGCGGAGATTTGTGCCAGCAGGCTGCGGACCAGGAGACCCTCGAGTCTCTTGTCCCCTCGAAATCTGAAAAAAATATAACTCGATCAGTACTCACTGCAGTGAGTGACAGAGAGCGCATTTTCTCGTCGACGAAAACTTGAGGTCACGGACAGAAGGACGGACAGACAGACAGACAGACGGACATGGCGAGCACAATAGTGCATTTTTTCCATAAATGAGAAAATGCGCTAAAAATGACGCCACAAGATGCTAGTGGGACGAAATTAAAAATGAAAAAACATAGCTAGTTTAATATCTGGCATTGATTTACTGCTTTTTTTCAACGATGATAGGTGGTGATGAGATTAGACAACATAAAACTGAGGTGGTTGAATTTGTGAATAACAATAGAATCCCAAAAATTGAGAATTGTGCAATTGATTACCAATTATGTCAATTATAAAGATTTGCATTGAAAAGATGCTCTTGCATGACGTTTACACAGAAACATAACATAAGTAGCAATTTTTTATATATAATGCTTAATCACTAAAGAAATATCGTTTGAATTATTGTATTAAATCACCTTATTTAAATAAAAATGCGCAATTTTACTTTTCATGGTGAAATGGTCGTTTGCAAGCAAGAGAAACAAACATTGGGAGCTCAGCAGCGGCTTCTAACCACATACACGTCCAGTGGTATCATGCGTGGTCCTTTATATATATATTATCAAACGGGGAGGTGTCAATTTATCATCCGAGTCATGCGAGCGTAAGAGACAATGTCTGCAACTGACAGTTGTTGATCCTTCCCTTCTTATTTTTTATGGCATAATAACAGTCTGTTAAATTTTTAACGCTAGATAATACTGTGAACCGGGCCCAAAGATAGGCAGATGTGAGTCATTGTGAAGAATTAATTGTAACTGAAGAACTTCAGCAAGCAAGACTGATGAAATAATTACTAACCTCACATATTACATATTCATTATTATTGGCAATTGATGAATCGATGAAATTAAACTAGTTAAGAAAATATATTCTTACAAAAGTAATCTAAACTAAATATTCGCTTCGATCGGTCACACAGCGTTTCACCACCCTAGCTGCGTTGTTATGATCAGCTGCTAGAACATCAAAAATTTAATAGGTAACTTATCTATTTGGGGGTATCAATGAAATCAAGTGACGCGAACATTTAATTCGTTTCTGACAATAGCAGAAAGGAGTAAGTGGTAACATAGCTATATTTGAAATTTGCGACCAAGAGCACACCATAAAATGCAGCCTGTGTCATTGGCTCGCAAGAAGTAACTAAATACTCAATAATTGACAGATTGATATAAAACTTTCATGTTAAAATATAATCCTTCTACATGAAAATATCAGCTAAAAACTAAATTGTGATTCCGTGTTTCTATTAATTGCCTCGTTGCCTTTTAACAATTTATTCCTGTAGTTTCCTCGCATGACAATTGGCCATCGTCAGCTGAGGTAGATTGACCCTTAAGTTTAACATCGGTTCATGGTAAGAAAAAGTTTGTTGTGCCGTAGTGTGATCATGTAATGAGTTATCGTCCTTGTTTATGCATCACTGGTTGAGTAGCACCTCTGGATGAAATTCAAAAGATCGCACAAGACACCAGAACCTTTTCTAACTTTGGGCCAATATGCTGCACCTTACCCCCTCTGACGGGACTGAATTAAGTGAAAATCTCATTAACAACGAGTTTCTATTTCAACACACAGTTAATGCAAATCTGGTTACTTGGTATATAGGTCATAAAAATTTATGCCCTACCTTTTGTCGGTATTCGTTATGATATTTAACGATAAAAGCCTTGTCAGCCTCCGTAACTGCGCATGGTCCTCCATTGGCATCAGCGGGGCAGTTCTTGGCCGGGATGCAAGTCGTGTGGTTGCTGCCGTACTTGGCACACAGCGGATCGACGGCTGCTTCGCTTGCTGCAAATAAAAAAAATTCTTGCGTAGTGACTTTGTTTTAGTACTAATAAAAACATTAACAATTCATTTATGCAGCAATATCACTATGAAATAAGAATAAAATTTATTCAACATTTACGACAACAATTTTTAACATAAAAATTTGGGCGAGGTATTAGCGATAGTAACATTAATCTCCTAGACAAAATTATCGTACTAGGAAAATACGAATAATGTTTGTTGTCCTATTATTTAATTCAGTCGTGGCCGTTTTAGCGTCGATGCATTTGCAAGAAGATGCAGGATAATTATCTTTTGGTAGGGAGCAACAGCAATAATACGCGGATAAACTTTGGAGTGAAGGAGGCAAAATAAAATTGCAAACTATTTTGTGGGAACAGCCGCAATGTAAGGAGTGCTTCATTCCAACTATTCTCTAATTTAATAATTAATAATAATTAATAATAATAATAATATTAATATTATTATTAATATTATTATTATTAATAATAATAATAATAATAATAATAATAATAATAATAATAATGATAATAATAATAAAATTTCCAACTATTCTCTTCTTACTGATGTTTTCTATCAAAAAAAAAAAAATGTCAGGTCTCCTTGGAAAGTCTTTGACTATCAGAATTAAGATCAAGAAATAAAATTTCATCTAAACATCAACGCATAGATTAGGGGTTAAAAACGTTTCTACTCACGGAGAATGAAAAGATATATCCCAGCGATCACGATAGGAGTTTTGGCAAGCATTTTAACCTGGAGAAGAAAGAAAATTTGAATGAATATTAGCAGGGCCTAAAACAGGGGCAATATATAAATAATAATAAATTATGTTTTAAGTGTAATATTGACTGACCCAGAGGTGTACAAAATTTTGCTATATATACTGTTATGTGATCATCAGAGCTGGGCAACGCTACTTTGAAATGTAGCGGCGCTACCGCTACCGCTATACCCACTAGATTGTAGCAAGCGCTACTGCAACCGCTACAGTAAAATGTAGCGCCGCTACATTAGCCGCTACAGTGGCCAAAATTATTGGAAATCTCTAAATATTTATTGTTCTGCTATTGGGATTTACTCAAAAACATTTAATGACAATAAAACATTTTCAAAACATGTCATTGCAACTTTATTGCAATTAACCTAACCGAACTAGTAGGGTAACATGGGGCAGCGAGCCCACTGCGGGTCATGGGCCCATAGCGGGTTTCTCGTTAAGTATGGCAGATATTGGTCCGTGTTCTCTACCGCCGGTCGACAGTTTCACTGGGATTAAGTGTACGGATTTACGTTTTGCTAAGTGTTTGCGTTATTAAGTTATTTGTGAATAACTGTTTTAGTCCAAATAAAAATTTTTTTGCTGCTACATAAATTTTTTTTCGATTACTGTAGATGAAGCTTTTGAAATTACTGTGAATTATATTTTCAAAGTAATATTTATAGGGAAAATTTTGAGATCAAGTTTAGACTATTAGATTTTAAAATGAAATGTTGACACGATATAAATAGAAATGATACCTAGTGGGGCAACGGGCCCACGCGTGTCACGGGGCAAAGCGCCCATGGTGAAGTCTTGTGTTATACCTGTCTCTTATACACATCTAGATGTGTATAAGAGACAGATCGAGGATGAAGTTCATTCTCCTATCACTGTTTCCAACCCCTACCCCTCATCCCTCTCTCTAAACCCCCCCATGCACGGCCTGCGTATCTGCTCTGTACAGCTCCCTGCCGGGCAATCCCAAGTACCAGCGCTAAAGCAGCGCAGAGTTCCGTCTCTGCCGCGCTGCTAGAATTTTGTCTCTGTATCAGCCATGGCGCAGCGCAGTTTTAGGGATAGATGGCCGGTTATAGTTTCACGGCTCCATCCTGCTAAAGCGCGACCAGCCCGGCTAAACCCGGCGCCGGTCTCGGCTCAAAATTTTAACTGGGTATGTATCATGCTGGTTTTTAAATAATATTTAAAACTATTAAGTAAAATCTAAAGGCTTTATCTATAAATGTAGCGGTAGCGCTGTAGCGGCAAAACCTCGTATCGCTACTTATATATGTAGCGGGCGCTACCGCTACCGCTACATTGCCTTAAATGTAGCGCCGCTACAGCTACCGCTACTGAAAATGTAACGCGCTACTGCCCACCTTTGGTAATCATGTGATGAGTTACTGACCTAGTTAGTCTATGTTTCACTGGTTAGGTAACACCACTGGCCTGTTGTAACTATAAAGCCTAAAACAATAGTTATTATAAGTGAGAAGGAGTACCGTTGAATACCGTCAGCTAAAATCCAGAGTAATGGACATCAAGTAAATTCATCTGAAATAAAAACGAACATGAGACTTTTTATGCAGTCATGCTTTTTCATGAATACGAGTAGATGCTTTGCATAAGAAGGCAGTATATATAGTTTCACTTTATCCTCTATTGCTGGCCCGTTCGCAATGGACGATCCTGCTATAAGCTGAATTTTCAATGAATTAAAATAAGGCAAATAAACTGCGAATATTTATTCAAATTTCACAATCTTACTTGAAGATATGTTAGCTGAAGAGGATAAAAAGCGGCACATATCACGGCAAAATGTTTAACCAAGGAAGCAGACATCAACGCTGACCGTGTCTCGATCTCTTTGTCCCATATCTAAATTCTTAGACTCAGTGCAGTCACCCACCTGCTCCTTTGTTTATGACAAAGCAAAAACAAAGACCGCCACCTTCCACGAATACTTAGCTTACAACATGGATGAGTTTACAAAAACAAATTTTCTAATCAACATCTTCCTTCGATTTCACGTGTCAAATGTGTGCGATAGATTTAAACTCTATGACGACAAGAATGCTGGAAGTGTTTTTTAAGTGACTGAGGCATCAAAAGTTAATAAAAATTACAATTATTTTATATAAATTTCAGTAAAGGTTAAAACCTCCTATAATCTCCTCTTAAGTGGAGCCTGGTTATTTATAAAGCAGCAACAATATCGCTGTCATAGTTTATCGTAATATTTTAGATCTTAAGTAGGATAGACCTCCATCAAATTTAATATTTTTTCCATATTGTACAGCATCAAAAGTAATACCTGTTTCGTTGTAAAATTAGTTTTGCATTCACTGAGAACTAAAGATATTCCAGTTATCACGTTGAAATATTGGGCGAGCATTTCAACCTGGATGTGTACAGTTTGAAAGAAATTACTAGCGACGGAATGTATGTAATTATATCTAATGAATACACTAACTAGACATGACAGCTTAATTAGAGGTACAGCTATTTCCTCTATCGTCTCCATGTTAACCGTTTCCCGTGAACCAGTTAATTAACAACCTTTGATATAATTAATTTTAAACTATAATTTAAATCTCCACGCATTTTCATAGAATATTATTTGCATATCAGGATTGAATCCTCTTTAAATTCTACGAATTCTCTAAAAATTGCGCACACCGCTGCTCACCAAATTTTGTTGTTGATACAAGCGTGAGGCACTGTTCAACAGTTTCGGCACCCTGACCAATAACGAATGCGATATCAACACAAAAGTTATGCGTACAATAGAATCAGGCGCAATTAGAGATAACAATATTACAATTTTTAAAAACGATATTTAATTTTGAGTTAAATGTTTTATATGAAAATCTTATTTCTGGAAGCCATAGAGATTAATGAAGCAAATCTCTTATTACCAAGAAGATTTTTTATACTACATTTTTCTAGAAGCCTCTATCCCGCACAGAGCTGTCAAGGAGATAATTTTTTACTGGCATTTTTGACGAAGAATAATTGCTCAAGTATTTACTTGGTATCACCTGTGACGACGAACATTGTTTGAAGTTCATGGGCTGTCAAAGCGAACGAGACAACGTCGGACCTTGCACAGTTTATTCAAGTGGTTTGTCCCATGAATCATGAGAAGCCTAGCAAGAAAAACGTTCAGCATATGAAATATTTTTGCAGGACATTTAATTTTTTTGCGCTCTATTGGAAACGAATAATAAAATATTTCTCATCTTTTCTAGATAGACACTGAAGTTACAATCATAATTTGTTTGTTCCGATCCTGTATTTCAACAGTAATTCATGAATTATTATTAAGCAGAATGCAGGAACATGTCGCATCGACTTTTTTAGCATAAATTAAAGCCACGTGCAAATAATTATACTCTTTTTCAGTCGCCATGCATCTCTCATCGAGTAGGGTACACGTAAGCCATAATTTTAAGCGCTACAATCAAAGGCAAGTCGGTTTCCAAATAACAAAAAGCCAAGGTAAAAAACTCAACAAGAAAAAAATATGAATACATAACGTGAATACGGAATAAACATACGGTTCTTCTTCCTTTATCGGTTACGAGAGCTCTTCATGGTCCGTACATTTTTTGTCACCCTATTATATTGCTTTACCTGTCCAGGTATTTTAGGCAGTAAAGTCATCGTAAATTTTGGAATGACTTATGCTGCGCATAATAAATATCTGGCATTCGTTTCCAACGCTTTGTTGAACAATTGCTGAAGTCTTTCAAGTTTAAATTCAATATAGATTTTTATACCTTCTTAATATCGTTTCGAGCATGCCCCAATCCTTAGTTTTAAAATATTTCTTAGGTCAATTATTATGTTGGCCTCTCTGGCACGGAACATCAATGCAAGGTGAAGTTTTGCTTTTCATATTTATTATTATGTTCAATAGGCAGTCCCTGAAATTATTAGAACGCATAAGTTTTCTGTAAAATTTCTATAAATCTTCAATTTCTATTGAATATTCTTCAGACATCTCTTTCTGACAGCGTTTATCAGATGACTGTGGAGTTGCGAATTCCATTGTATTCAATTTGCTGAGAATAAAATTGTAGAAATGTTTACTTTAGTGATCCCATATTTTGTTACGATTTGTAGTGATGTGAAAAATGAAAAACTCACGCCATGCAAGATATATTAATAAACTATATGCTAAGCTTGAAAATAAATTGGAGCGAATCTAAAGCAGGGACGTTTTGCTTCAAGATCAGGATGTTTACTTTTTTGTATAAAGCGATTTGCTTCAAGGAAGTTTTGAACAATTCAAATTTGGAATAGGAACAAAAACATCAACATAACCACATTTTTCACGTGTTCGAATCGAACACTCGCTCAAATGGAGTGCAATCGTCGAAATTCTAATCTCGCCTATTACTTTGCAAACGTCTCAAAAATTTAACATAAAAATTATAAATGTTTACTAAAATAAAATAGTAAAAAATGTTTCAGAGCCAACAAATCTGATTGATACTTCCACTCCAAGAACAATGACTGAAACTCATGGATTATTTTCATCACTCGGCGCAGAGTCCAGGGTAGTTGGTGGACGGTTTCTTGCAGGCTACAGTGGTGCTGTAGGGAGGCAGAGGGTTTCTGTTCTTGTCTACCATGTTGCCTGCGGGTCCGTAGTTGCAGATGTACTTGGCGCAGTAGAAATTATTCCATCCGGCCATCCATGCACACTTCTGGTTATTGGTGAAGACTCCGCAGCCAACTTCTCGAGTCTCATGCCACACAACCTTCGTATAAAGACGCAAATGGAAATCCGAAGAGAAAGGAAATCCGAAGATATTTTTGCTATGAATTTATTACAACTGAATGTTCCTTTATAAAGTTTGATATCACCACAGTGTAAATTGTTATCAAAGATCGTAGTCAAAATTATTTACCTGAAAGCAATCACCGTCTAAATTCCAAAGAGAAAGAGGTGCAACATTACACACGAAGAAAGTTTCCAGTCATTCTAAGGCTTTAAAGCAAAAGTTAACACACGAGGTTGCTGTCACCTGAGTGTAGTGTCCGATGTCTGCTCCGTTGCTCTTCATGGCGGGGGCGACGACGTCCTTGACTTCGCCGATCCATCCATCAATTACACTCTGCCAATTCGCTGACTGCAAAGTAATAACCACTAAGTTAGAATGATACATTATATTTATATGCATCATGCATGTATAGTACATAGAGATTTATAATGAACAAAACTGTTAAATTGCGTCTCTCTATTTCAGTATTCGTAAAAATATTTAGCATTGCTTACTTTGATCGGTCCACTGCTTCCAGGGAGGGCGAAGTTCTGACCGACGGCGTCGTAGCCAGGGACGCGACTGCAGTGAGTCACTGCCGATAAGCCGACAAGTACGGCCTGACAGTCATGGCCCTTGGCAAGTTGCTCGGCCCATCGCTGAAATGGAATAATGTCCCCATTGAAATAGTTTGAACTGATGAAATTGATTGCGTCTCCAAAGCCTAGTAAAATTATTATTTTGAAAAAGTTGAATTCAAATGCCTCATTCAAGTTACTAAAAATTGTATTTGAAGCTGATTGATTCAGTTCGCAAATGGTCTTCAATAATTTTGTTTGGAACTTGTTTTAAAACGTACAAACTCTATATAAAATATTTTGGTAAAAACTATGGGTATGACATTTCTGTAGAAGTAACTAGTAACTATTTTTAACTTAAAAATCAATTAATCTCTTTCATTTAGACATATCTATGCATTCATCAAATGCTAATTAAATTGGCGCACCTGGGCACCGCGAGCGAGGTCATCGTTCCATGTCATCTCGCGGAGGTTCGTGCCGGCGGGCTGTGGACCTGGAGACCCTCGGGTCTCTCCGCCCCTCGAGATCTGAAAATCAGTATGTAAGTAGCCAAAGTATTTCTAAATATTACTCAAATACTCACACAGGGCATTCGAATGGACTTGGGACACGAAACATTTATTTCTCCTTGTCACGGAGGGTATTTTGCAAATTTGAATCCTGGTTTGCGGTCGATTTTTCCATTTAGGCTGAAGAATTATAGACATAACTGAGAGGTATATTAAAACATAGTCACCTTTTGCCGATATTCGTTATGATATTTAACGATAAAAGCCTTGTCAGCCTCCGTAACTCCGCATGGTCCTCCGTTGGCATCAGCGGGGCAGTTCTTGGCCGGGATGCAAGTCGTGTGGTTGCTGCCGTACTTGGCACACAGCGGATCGACGGCTGCTTCGCTTGCTGCAAATCAAACAAAATAATACGTTTATTGTAACTTTTTTTCGTGCTAATAAACATATTACACATTATTACATATTACATATTTTATTGCTGAAAATAAAAGTTTAAAAACCGTTCGAATATTCCTAGACTTTTCAAATTAAACTTTTAGAATTTGAAAAAATTACTAGTATAAGTATTACAGGAGTATATCGGGAAAAATTATTTAGATGATATTTTTAAATGCACCTAATACTGTTAGAATAAAATCATCGATTTAGTTTCAGACGAATATTTCATACTCACTTAGAACGAAGCAAGATATTCCGAAGAACGCGAGTACAGTTTTGGCAAGCATTTCAACCTGAAAATGTAAAAATTTAAATATATCACAAACTGCCGTACAAAATTTGTAAAAATTTGTATATAAATGTATATTGAAACACAAACTCGACTTTTTAAGATTTTCAACACAATTTCTTGTAGTTACATGCATATAATTGAATGAAGGAATTACATGTACAATAGCAAAAATCGGAAAGCATACAAACGAGTTACAAGATATTAATCAGTAAATTTCGAGGAATAATTACAAGGAACATTTCTACAGTTAAAAACAAAAAGCCATCCTTGGTAGTTATGAAAGGTGAAGAATATTCAGGCTAAAATTGGAACATTCCGAAAGAAACGTAATAATAATAAAAATAACGTAGAATATCAATAATAATAATAATAATAATAATAATAATAATAATAATAATAATCATAATAATAAACGTAATCGTGATTTATTATAATCAAATTAAAAAGCACGACCTGTAGAGGTTGAAGAACTGCAGTCAGGTTATTGAGTGATATATGGTAAGCACGGAACTCAAGAACTTACTGAGAAGAGACGAATGCTGCACCGGTACAAACGAGCTTAGTCAACCCGTAAGTTACAATGTCTTTGTTCCAATTAGCGCCGAAGATCTTATACTTTTCTCTCGATCAGGTTAAAATTTGGACAACTGTCACCCTTTAATGAAAACCAAACAAAATGACATCTCGAAGTGTGCCCAAGTGTGTAAACGACAAACGTCGACCAAGGGAACTATGTCTCATGTCTTTGTCACGTGCGATATGTAGCATATGGAGTGGAATGGAAGAGTACGTGTAGCTACAGTAATTTGTTCGATCCACCTTTATGTTGCGTTTCATTAAGTGTGACAATCCTTGTAAACCCCTGAAAAATCGCACATGGCGATTAATTTTTATATGAAAGAAAATATTCTCGCTCTTTGACGAATAATATGATTTACGAATAAAATGGCTAAAGTAGACAAGTAGGCGAAGCTAGACAATTACTCATTAGACATTGGATCCTTTGAGAAATACTTCAACGGTGAATGTTTGCCATCATTACGTAAAATCTGCATGCATGCTGAAATCACTTTATTTGAAAAAGTTGGATATAATAACATGCATAATTTTCATATAAAGCTAACACATAATGACATTAAAAGAAAATTAAGCTCTTGATCTGTATTTCACTCCTTTTGATTAAATTCACCCTAGCGGGAATATACTAATCCTGTGTAATACAAAACACCATCAGATGTTAGAGAATAGTCACTCGTGACCACAGCCCAATTTTACCAGGAAATATCACATATTAGCGATAAATATTTCAACATTGAGATTGAGATGAGCACTTTTATTCGAGTAATCCTGCCCTAAACTCAAGACGGACAATGTCGACGGTTTTATCCACCAGCGCGATTATTAGTCAGTAAAATATTCCTTGAAGCATTAAACCGGTTGATATTGACTCAGAATTTGTCTTCTAATCCATCCGAAATTTGATCGTGTTTGAGGGAGCCTGACTTCTACCCGCATGCATTGTTATCCGTGGATTATAATCTTTGAACAGCGCTCTCTATGCAACCAAATTAAACACAGTTGGCTCCAAAATCTAAAAATTCGATAGGAAATTGCATTTATTTCCATAGGTCACCCTATATACTTGCATTTCTCTCGCGCCACCTACACCTTAGGTATATGGACCTCCTAGCTGGACACCAGTATAATTAATTTATATATTTCATGTATGTATGATTTCTCAGTACTAATTAAATGCACCAATGAATGTTTTTATGTGTATTACTGCACTAAATCGGAGCAGCTGAAGCGAAAGACCAAACTGTTTCTCATGTAAAGGACGAATTGCAAGGAAATACAATACTTTCACACCTTTTGCATATCATCGGTTGTGTTTTGAAGAATGTTGAAGTTTCGAAAGTATCTAAAACAGGCTGGCACAGTAGTTAGTTCTACATTTTCAGCAGCCGGTTGAAGCGGAAAGAATTCAATGTAAAATTAGTGTGGAAAGGACTCTGCGTCCCAAAAGAATATGTTACTATAGACTTCTAAACTTAGCATTAATAATGGAAAAAATGTGAAAATCGGGTTGGTCAAAATTAGAGAAATTAAAAAAATTAAATCAAATGCTAGCAATATTTCTTCAACAATTTTATTCGGTTCCAGAAGCCTTTGTTCTAAATTGAAGAGCCAACAAGACGATTTTCCACTGAAAATTTTGACGAAGAATAATGGCTCAAATAATTGTTCAGCATCACCTGCAACAACAATGATCGTGTACAAGAAACGGGATGTCAAACTGAACGAGACAAAGAAAACTTGGCACTGTTTACTCAATTTTATCTTTCCATGTGCCTAGGGGGCCTAGAAACGAAACATTGCTAAAATTCTCCCCTTTTTCTTTGGGCGACATGTACACTTGTCAGTATAACAAATAATATGAATCATGTTCGTACAGTTGATTCACTTAGAACAGCTACACGATGAAAATTCTGATGAATCACTGTTCTATTTCTATGACATTGCTGAACGGAATACGAACGGTAGCATTGAATGAGGTACTACTCAGACTAGGATGTTGGAAAGAAACTTACACAGAGCTATATAAGAAATTTTACACAATTATCTTATTCGACAGAATATATTAATTGCTTTAGTTTGCATAAAAGGAGACCAAATTTCCAGGATTTTATTTAGTTCGACGTCCAACAAGTACACAAATAATTGAGAACGATAGATGCAAGTTATAAAGTTGAACAATAAAAATACAAAATTATTGTCTTTGCAGTCCATGGCACATGTACCTAATTTTATTACTGAAATAATTTTTTTACGAACAAAACTTGGTTCTAGAGCAGATAAAATTACCGGAAAAAATAATGAATTGGTGATATTGATTCAGCAATACGACGAAGAGCTTTTGAGGAACGTTGAACAAAATTAAATTGTTACTTTTACAATGTGCCCAATATCATAAAATTTGCCTTGAATAATTTAATCAAAGTAACAGTTGCATTGATAATTGCAAACGAAAGTTTGCAATTGACCACAGCTCCATCACTCAAATTTTGGAATGAAAATTCAGGCACCGAGCGAAGTTGCATGCTTTAATATGCAATTTCTGAGTGAAAAAACTTGAAACTCTAACATTGCTTTCAAATCTACAGCACCTTGTAACGCTCACATCTTTATGGAGTTTTGATACTAAACTTGATTACTTCCCTAAGCAATGGTAATTTACGAAATCTTCCGTTATTTATGTTGGTAAAAACTTAAGGGAACATTAACTTGAAACATTATTGGTTCGGTAACGAATTTTGTCAACTCCTAAGTGAACGATTCATGTGATGTGATTGTTTTATTAGATGCCCAATTGAATGTAATCGGTTCATGTACCATGAAATACTAAAAAATATGTACGATTACATGTGATAAAGAAATTTTTCCATTCAACAGTAATATGAAGTATACATGAAAATTTTCGGATAATCAACTAAGTTTTTAACTTGCCTAATTCCAAATTTCGTCCAGGTGTTTTCAACAATGATTTAATTTACAAGTAATTTACCTATCACGGAAATAGTTAATCCCATGACTCATGTTTAGTAATCTCCCTCAAAACGATTGATGCTCGTATGTAGATAATTCCGAGTACAAGTTAACTTAAAAATACATAGAAACACAAGACACCCCGAATTTTGTAAAGTTTTGAGATTCATTTCTCATAAAACTCTTATCAAAAATTTTGAAATCGTTTTGAGTTATGAACGGTGATGTCCTGTATTACTTTCAAAACAATTTACTAGTAAAAGACAGTCTCAAACATCAATAAAAGTTTAACTGAGAGGGTTTGGCTGGTTTACTGTATTGAATGCTGTATTTCAGATTGTAAGAAAATTGTACAACGCAACAGTAAAATATTGGTCAGTAATGGTTGTTCTTCCTATCAACCATGGGAAGAAGCACATATTGATAGGCGATGATAAGAAAATCGCTGTTGATATTGCTTATTTTATAATAACTTTGCTGGCATTTTGCTCTAGATATCCAGATATCCATAACAGTTCTGTCTTACCAACAACATCCTACAATTAATGTGCGCATGTTACGTTTGAATTTATTCACATTCAAGGGCAAATATTCTGATGTTTGCTGCTTACTTCGAACTGATGCAAAACATTTAATCACTATCTGGATTTCAAACTGAATTTATATTTTCGGTTAATATTGTTAACTACTGGAAAATTGTAGATTGTGACAAATTTCAATTAAAATATCAAGTTAGTAAATTTAATTTTCAACCTCAGCTCGAATATTGGCGGGAGTCAAAGGCTGCAATATTTTTAATCGGCGTGGGTAGAATTTTGATAATTAAAAATTACAAGCTCTAGATCTTAATGATAGAACCCCATTAAATTTTCGGATATATTTCATTTAATTTAGATAAAATTTGAAAAATATCCTTCCAACTATTTATTTTTTCGGAGTTACAATAGCATTTACTTAAAGTAAATAATAACTAATTTTTTCTACATGAACATAAATTTTTGAAACAGTAGTAATTATCCTGAAATGTAACTTTAAACTTAATAATATTCTGGGAAATTCGTAAAGCTCTTAACCCTAAATAAACCATTTAGCTTACAATAACAGCAAAATCTCCACAACGATCGTTTCTAAACAGCAGCTTAATAATCCATATCGTTTATCGTTATGAGCTTGCGAGCTAGAATATATGACCGTATTTATCTAACGTATTACGACACTGATTGATGGACATCTCTCTTATCTCTCTTAATTTGTCACTTAAAAAAATTTTACACATTAATTATCGTAGCGTTATAAAGGTTACAATGACATTAACGTTTAGAATGATAGAACGGAGTTGTCGAGATTACATCATGCCGTGATCAGACTCCATCTTGAAGTAAGCTTCACTGAAGAGCTTGAGGTCGTTGCCTATTGTTCGGAGCAGTTCCTTGATTTGGTACTTGGAGTCGAGCGTCTCAATGGACTGCGTGTACGGGTTGTAGCGAACTGAGAACGGCCGAGGGATCGTCGCTGCAAACTCACTGAAAGTTAAAAAAAAATTCATTTCATGCAGGTTCAAAAATGTTTACCGGATTCTCATTAATGCATTGGAGTTTAAAAATATAACACATAATATATGATATGAATGAATGACTTCGTTAATATATTTGCATGGGTATCATTCCAGGAAATTGCACAAGAACTCGAAAAAGATTGGAAATGCGTTGTAGGCTCAAATCGCTTATTGAAATTTACAACAACCGCTAAAAGATTTAGAAGCTGTTTTCATGCTGATGATTACGTATAAGAAATTTAAGAAATTAATTCGCAAGAAAATATTTAAGAGTGTTCATAAAAAATCATGAGAACCCTAGAGGAGCGGACGTGGGAAGGAGAAACATATCTCATGAGTGATATAGCAAGCGCCAAATATAAATATTTGTGTCATTTATGTTTCAGGACAGCAGTCTAATAGTAACAAGATGGTCAATTTTCATTGAAGCTTAATTCTGTAACGAACCTTATTTAGCAATATTGACTCAGCTGATTCTAAAACACCTAAACTATATGGAACAAATGTAACCTGATGTACGTATGTATCAATTATCCGGAAACTTACATCATTTTCTGCTGAGCATCTTCGAAGCTTTCAGCTACGTAATAGAGCGGCTGGAATTCAGTGATAGGATACTTGGTGACGCCAGTCTTCTCAGGCTGGAAGGGTAGGAACTTAGGAGCGTCGCTCATGGCGTGCTGCAGTTCTCCAAACGACGACAACAATCCTGCACCATAGGCCTTGAGCTCTCCGTTCTGGCGGCACACTCCAAACTCCACGGTGAACCAGTAGCACTGTAATGTTCAAGTTATGAAAGGTTAATGCTGATGTAGGGGTCGGGTGTTTCAAAGTAACAAATATAATATTAAATGCAAATTAAAAAAGTCTGCTGCTTCGTGACAAGAAATATACGTTTCTTTTATACCTTGTCACGGAACCACGTAAAATAATGCAGAGAAATCGTTTGTTCTGGAACAAGTTCCTCAACAAAGAGGCATCGGATATGCTCTAAACGGTCCAATTTTAAAGTAGTTGGAAGGTAAAACAGTAAATTAATTATTATAACTTACAGTGGCGAGTTTCTCAATGTAGTCATCAGGGGCTCCGAGCGATGCAAGTCCAATTTCTTGGGAGAATTGTGCAAAATTTGGGTCGGCGAAGAGCGGCGCATGGCCGAGGAGTTCGTGGCAGACGTCGGGCTCGGGGGTGTACATGGGCTTGGAGGGATGACGGATGTATTGCGTGCTGTGGAATACCCGGAATGCAAGGCCTGAAAAGAAAAAAAACATAATTTCATACCATGAACGAGCTATTTTCACTCATCTAGGATATGGTAGTTTAGAAGTTTTCTCTTGAAATAATCGAGTTTTGTGTCAGCCTCAATTTTCACTATTGCTAAAGGAACGGAAGACATAAGCAGTATCTTTTTATCGTTAATACATTCATTAGTTATTCATAATTATTCATAATCTTGTTGATGCTGTTATAACACTTATATTTACGAGGTTGTGAAAAATGTTTGAAACACAGTAAATAGAATTCAAGACGTGTTGCTTTAGTAATGTGCACGAGAAAAAAAAGTCAAACGATTTTTAGCAGAGGATAAGTCTGTCACGAAGTAAATTCAACCAAAACACAGAAAATTAAAACGAGGCAAATAAATATTTTTCTGTTCGAGTAACAACTGAAGAGCCACGGACTCACCAGCGAGGAAGTCCCTGGATGACAGGAGGCCGGCGACAGGGCGGAGTGTGAAGCCAGTGCAGTCTGAAGCAGATTTTAGAATAAATTAATTACTTGAATGAGTTAACCTTAATGAATAATGTTTTTTCGACAAAAATCTGGACCCGAAATTAATCTTTAAATCGATGAGAGCAAATTGTTCTGATCTGTCGAAGATATTGTATTACAAATTTTTCCACTGATTACGTGGAAGGTAGAACTAATTGGAAATTTATAAATGCATTGGCCATTTGAAAATTTGAGACGAGTTAAGAAGACTCCATGTTAATATCGACGTTATACTAAATTTGCTGATAAATTTTTTTTTCATGATAGATTCTAATTACTTAAACCTTTAAGAAACCCAAAGATCTCGTAGAAATTTGAAAAAATTAAGCCAGAAAAAATTCAAGGAGCATCATAGAAAATATTCAACACCGGTTTTTGAAATTTAATCATATTCTACACTGTTCGCCTTATTTAACTCTGTTATTTATTTTGTTACCAGACAGGGAGGTCGGGCAAGACAGGTAACGGAGAATGCCTCGTGAGGTTCAGGTACTCGCATTACAGTATAAAGTGTGGGGGATGAAGAACACTGTATGCCAAAAGTTACCTTTCAGGAAGTCGGAAACATCTTGCAGTTGCGGAATGTTGTCTTCCCTGTAGCCACAATTCTCTATGAGCAGCGGGAAGACTTTATTGTGTTCAGCACAGGCGTGCTTTTTGTACAGCACAGTCAGGTTCCGGAAGACTTCGCCCCAGGTCGCTATCTCTTCAGCAGTGTAATCGATACGCGGGATTTCTTCTCCACTGGAGGAACGAGTACAAATTAATTTCTAAGGCAGCGGTTATTTTTTTTTTTTGGCAGGAGTAAGTCTTAAAATAAGTTAAATAAAATCATCGGTTTTTGGTTTTAAATCGCTAGCTTTTTAACTGACTTAAATCTAGTTAACTAAGTTAACTAAAGACTCTTTCCAAATTCTCTATTCAGGTTTTATTTCTAAACTAATTATAATCCAATTTACCAGATAACAATTTTTTGCTAGGAATAAACTAACATTAGGCTTTCTTTTGCCTTCAAATCTAATCCCATTGCACTGTAAAAACTCTCTTTGTATTTCATGAAGCTCATGCTCTCACTTGAAAAAGATTGTTCTTTTATGAGAATATGTCATGACGATTATGATTCTGCTTGTTACGCATTCCGACAGAAGTTATGAGTAATGAATGAGCCGCTTCCCAATCTAGATAAAACCTGTTTTAATACAAAGAAAAATCATGTCAATATAATCTTACTATCGGTAGTTATAGGCGATATCGGCGAAGTATTGACGGCGTTCGCGGTAAACCTTGTCGGTAAAGCCAGGGTGATCGGCGTCGAGCTCGTTTCCGTAGGACAGAATCTGGTTGGCGAAACGGTCCAGGTCCTTGATGCGCCGGGGATACCACGGCACAGTTTCTAAGGAAAATTATGGTTTCACAATATTGCTCGACACGAAATAAATATATCACAATCTTGCTAGGCATGAAATAATATATCACAATATTGTTAGGCACGAAATAAATATATCACAATATTGCTAGGCACGAAATTCGATCAAAATATGATAAAATTGATGGTACAGAGATGCAACTTGATAGAACGTCATCTTGCAAAAAATAAAATTTTTCGTAATTTCCATAAATTTTAAATTTCACTCTACTATCTATGAAGTCACTAGTGTTGTTAATTTTTATCGTATTTGAAATAAAATTTCATAGGAAAATTAATCTTTGGCTCACCTTTGCTGCCGCGGTGAGCTCGGGACACGACCTGGAAGTAGTTGCACACGGGCTTGAGGCGGTCGACGGCAGCAGCGAGGTGACCATTCCGGGCATCGCACTCGACTACGAACTCGTAGTCGGCCTTACGCTGGCTTGGTCGCGACTCGATGTGTCGCAGGTTCACACCTTCCTCCTACAAAAAGAACATATTAATGAATTTTATTCTATTGCATTTAAAAATACTGAAATATGAGTGGAAGAGTGGAAGGATAATCTACGTTGAAGGAAAAGCAGAAGTAGGATCTGCTTTGAAGTACATGCAGATCCGAAGTGATTTAAACGTCTAGCCACAGAAATACAAGAATGTGAAAACGAATATCGGGAATTCATGCTCAGTATGAATTCAATAGCTTTTATTTTTATTTAATAGCACAGAGCCAAAAGTGGGACGCACTCGTGATTTCTCTACTGATTTCCTGCTTGAAATAATTTAATAAAATAAGTAAAATTCAACTGGAAACTTACTATATTATCTTATTTGAAATATCTAAAATTTATCATTTAAAGTTTACTAAATTGTGCTTGAATAAGCTTTAATTCTTGTTATTTGACGAACATCATGAATAAATTTAGCACGAAAATTACAATCGGTTGTCAATGGAACGTTTCCAGGCAAAAAAATAAATATATAAAACAATAAAATAAATAAAAAATAAACTCTGTGTGCATTTAACATCAGGTGGTTATCAAATATCAGACCTCGGCAAAACTCTGCATTACCTCAAATATTTTGAGAGCGCGAGCCAGAGCCCCGACTTCCTCCTGCATGGAGAAGATGAGGAAGGTGCTCTCCGTGGCCGCCATTCCCTCCAAGATGTAATTCCCGCCCTCCATCAGCTTTGGCGACTGAAATAAATAAGTTAATTATAAATAGATAATAAATTAAATAATAAATAATAATAAATAAAATTAATTCTCTGGTCTTTAACAAAACTTGTTTAAGACTTGCAGGACTGTAGACTTGCAGGACTGAGATAGTTTTACTCATAATTCTGATTAAAGTTTGCTTATTAAGGTAGTGAATATATTTGTCGTTCTACGTGATAATTCAAAGATTAGTGAATAGAGTAAATAGTCTAAAAAAATTTCATTTGATTATGCACTGATCCTAATCTTATGACTACATAACACGGTTGTAGGTGAAGTCTACTGACTGAAATTTTTAATTCTCTCCACCAATGAAGTTTCACACCGTACTATTACAAGAAATGAAAATTCCATTAAGGAAAATTAGATATAACAACGGTTTCATTAAACTTTTGCCTGTATTTGAAATCGAATTTCTCACCTACTCCTCAATGAGATCAAATAGAAAAAATATAAAAAATAGGGTCCTGTGGTATTTGACGTAAAGTTCAGCGGCTGTACTTGCACTATATAAGAGCACCGAACTATGGAACTTCTTCCAACTGAATCGCTTTGTGTCGGAGAGTGTCTTCTTATATAGAGGCTCGAACACCTCGGGTTATCTTCTCCCTAATATTAACGAATGACACTGGGGAAAAAAGAACATGTAATACGCAGGTAGGAATTACCGGAAATTTGCCCGTCCAGCAGCAGCTGCAGTCGGTGTGACGTCAAAGAGAGGATGCATTTCGACAGCGCAGGAGATTTTGAGCAAGATGTTCAAGTGTGCATAAGTGAGCAGAATCTCTCGTCGCTCAATTCATTTATTTAAAATTGATTATAGGAGTTCGAATTGAACGAAAAATTTCAAATGTTTAGGTTTCCATTAGTGAGATGGTTCCTGGTATAAATAAGTCATATATTTTATCAAAACCCCCACATCTCTATTCTTCGTGCTCAAAACAAATAGGTAAAGGTGTTGGAGGTTTGCAGAATTAGACGTAAACCATAGATGAAATCAAAATCATAATTATTACTTATACAACGACAGTCACGATTTTACTGTTGCAATAATTAATGTGTTTTGACCACGACTGTTTCCTGAGCGGGAGCTTCTTTTCGTTGCGTTATCCAAAAGGTTTCCGCTTTAAACCAGAAACGAATGTTGTTTTGTTCGTCAGGCACAAATTTTCCTGTTGCGATAGTGAGATTTTTACAGGAAGCTTACCTTTATTTTTTCATATCTTTTTTTGCTGTAAACAAATTAGACTTTTCCAAACATGGGAGCTGCAGCCTGAATTACCCAGAATTTTATTTGAGCTCGGCTGAAGCTCGGCTGTAAATCCTAGAATCTCGAGGAGTCCAGTTTATTGTTCCAAGGAATAAATTAACAGTTTCCTGAAGTCCCAGGCATAAAGACGATTAAAGAGAAAAATCGCATATTGAACATGTATACATTAAAGATAAATGAATTTTACTTAATTTTTGAGGAGTATGAGTTCATAAATGAAAGCCAAGCTAACAAAATTTTATAACCCGATAGGCTTATTAGATGGAAATGTAAATATTAATTTTATGCTTCGCAGATCAAATAATTGGCATTTAATTACGATTTTAGAAACGTGTCCATTTGATATTTTATTCGTCTTTAATTTTTCTCAACTTTATTATATATGAATATGAGAACGGTTATATTGCGGTTCAGAGAACTTTTATTTAGTGATCTATTATTTGGTTAACCCCAGGCTCTATGAATAATAGTTTTCATTTTGACCCCGTAACGCATAAAAACCTTGTAGAAAAATTCTCGTCTAGAAAAAAAATTGCTTGCTCGCTGGGAAATAATTTGTTAACGATAAAAATAACTGAAGGGTAGGTACTTTTGTATCAGTGCGTTTGGAATCAGCACATTTCAGGATGAAAACAGTGTGTTTAGCTCTAGTGATTGAGTTCGAGATGGTCAAATTTTCCGATCAGTAACGTCTGTTGCAAAATTTGTATATGGATTTTTGAACTATCAATAGATTTTCGGTCAGCGGAACGAGGCTAAAATTTTTTCCATTTAAAATTTAGTACAATAATATTGGCAAATAAATGCGCGATGCAGCAGCGCAACTGAAACAGATCTTTACCTCGATTCTTATTCATTAAACTGGAACCTTTCAATAATTTTTAGAAATGAATAAATAACATCGAGAAGCTTATTTATCCTTATTCTTGATGGCTACTTCCCCTGCTTCATTTCATTTTAAATATAATACCACATGTGAGTTTTACCTGCCACACTATACGTTGTGTATCATGCCATGTACAATAAACGAAACACTGCAAAGAATGTTTCGTTATGTCATAAGGTTGCGCTGGAGTTTGAGATTACGCAGTTGGGATAGCTAGAACTCGATGGGCTAAGGCTAAGGCTTAGGCTAAAATAGCTAAGCTCAGTTCGAGGAACCAGTTTCAGGGCTAAATCTATTCATACTCAGGTATATAACTTGACGACCAGCAGGCTGGCAAATTCTTACGCTGCGAGCAACTAATTTGGAGGAGCTGCATATGTAAGTTATGGCCATGCATGTGCAAAAAATCCAAGCTGGTGCCACTCGAGTCTCCTTGCAAGGCTTGCAATTGGAGTCTTTAAATGTTCCCTGAAGCAATACAAGACCGTCGAGTTGAGCCATCCACATTCTAGCAGAAATTTTTGAAACGTTTACTAGTGCCATTATTGATTACTTTTGCAACCTCAAACGCATAATTTCTCAAAGTTTTCACAACTTACATTAATTTTAAAGGTCCCTAAATCCCAGATGCAGTTGGGGAACAGAATAATTTCAATCCATCTGACTTAACCATTACGCAAAAAGACTTGATGTGGACAATCAATAAATATTGCCCATAAATTTTGGCTAGTTAGGTAGATTTTTTTGAAATAATAAAAAATTTGTACACTTTGATGAATAATGTACATGAGCAGTTTACTTTCATCAGTTTTACAATTAAAACAAACATGGAAAAAATTTGTGCCGATAAAAGAAAAATGTATTTGCTGGCACATAGTTCGAAAGAATTATTCGTGTGAAATCGAGCTGAAAATCGAGCAATACGACATCAAATTTGCAACTCTTCTGATTTATATGTAAATCTTTTCCCCCCCCAAAAAAAACACTACCTAAAAAGACTGCAGTTCTTCATTCGATTGAGGGTTTTTTATGGTTGAGTTTTTTCATCAGTCTAACTACATTCAGGGAACAACTTTTTTACAGTGGCCGTTGTCCGGTCAATTGCGTCGTACTGGTCATAAAGGTTCAGAAGGTTCAGCCTCTGGAGCTGACCAATCAGACCCAAGGTAGCCCCGTCACTCCCCTGTATGCATGAACAGCATTGGTCGCTTATGATGAAGGTGAAAAATCTCGTTTATTTTGTAAAACAGAGATAAGAATTTGGCCAAGTTGAGAATCCACAGAAGCTATATGCAAAATTTCAACTGTGTACTGCGCCAGGGAACCTATATTCCATTTTATGTGCAATTCCTGGAAGGAAAACTATAAAAATTTCCAGTTATGGCTCGGGAAGCGAAAAACATATTATTCAATATTTATTATGAAAAAACTCGACTTGAGGCAATTAACATTCTTAATTTGCCTAATTTTGAGAGGAGCGAGCACTGGTTTGTGATAAATAAAGATTGGTGCTCAGTACCCATACGAATTAAATCACATTTTGCTCGAAAGTTTGCATTGAGGGAAAAATAAAGCATAGAAGTTTTGAAATATAATTTATTTCCTAACCACACAAAGGTTCAATAATATATTCTGCGCAAGGATTCCCTACGTATTTTATCCTTCACAAATCCCGTAAATCCCGCAGGTAGCAGCGCGTTTGTATAGAAGAGCTTATGAAGGCCTCTGTCGGCCATGCAATAATTTATTGACAGCTGCCCATAGCGCTCTTACCAGGCGGCACGGTGCGTCAAGGTTGCATGGCACCTCAGCCGAGCGAGTTGCAGCCGAGATCTTAGTTCTAGTCGTCGTGCATTTTTGTATCATGTTTTTTTGAATTTATGTGTAGTGTAGGGATTTTAAGAAATGATAAGCTATAATATAATGTATAAATTTGTAGGGCTATTCGCGCTTATTCATTGATGTAAAAACTTTGATAACGTACCTAGAACGATCTACTCAAGTTCCCGAAAATAATGCTCAAATATTTCTCGGTTTCACGAAATTACAATAAACTAAATATTTCTTTGCAGTAACAACTAGTAATTATAGCACAATTGTTAGGGAAAATATGTACTGAATTTGACGCCACTGCACCCACCTGTCCCAGCTTGGTGGTGGTCGTTCCAACGTCACCATTGGTCTTGGCAAGTCCAGCGTCCATGACGAAGATTTTTCAACGCCTAATGTAAGAAACAAACTGTTAATTATTAGCCTTCATCTAACAAGGAACAAACAGCCAAATGAGTTTAATTTCAATTTTTTTAAGTCAAATTGTTTCCGAATTATATCTCATCGTAACGCTCTGAAATTAGTAACGGAGAAAATTCCCGATGTAATTTCTGAAATATATTAAATTACTCGATTAGAATGAAACAGTAATTTAACAGCATCGCTGCATCTCAAGATTGCGTGATTTAATTAATTTTGTTTCCATTTTGAACTAAATGTAACGGCGAATTATAATATAAAGTTCCTGATCAAAGATTACAAATATTGTACAGATTTTTTAACGAATGAGAATTATTTTTATTAAAGTTCCGTGAGAATAGTCACTTGATATTTTATGAGTAGACTTTCAAAAAAGATCATTAAAAATGAAACTAGTAGAAAAGAATTTTCAGCATATTTCTTACACGCATTTGGGTAATTATTATAAGGCGGATGACTAAAGAACGACCGCGTAAGGAATTGGAAAAAAATGTGTTCTTCGAAATAGAAATAATAAAATATTAGATATTAAAAAAGAAAGTAATAATATATGTATTCAAGGACTAATAACATTGAAAAGAATAATATTTCGTAAAGAGGCACAAAGAGCATCACGGGAAGATCTAAGCACACGATAAGCTTAAGTTATCGGAGAGACATGACCACAATTTGGACTTCACAAAAAGCTGTTCCACAGGTGCAGTTAAATTATGACTGAGACGCAGTCACGTACATAACGCCTGAAATGATCTGCTGGTTTAAGTTCGAGTGGCTCTGATAAAGCTAGAGTACTTCGAACTTCTTCTTATCGAATTATCATTAAGACTTTTCAAAACATTTCATGCGTTCGATGATCTTCTATGTTAATTTAAAAGAGTCTTTGATGAAATCTCGTCATAACCACAATTTCCATTGATAATTTATTGATCTTCATGATAATGTTTTTTAAATGAACTATTGAATGAGGAATGATAGCAAGTCTGACTACTATTTTTAGGCTTTTAAACCTTTCAGCATCAACAGGCGATTAAATATTATTAATTACCGAAACCCAATTTCTTCATATGCAATTACTCAATCGAAATTTAAATTTTAATTTATTCGCAATCAATTTTAAGATAATAATAGCAAAAACCCAATAATTCTGAAATACACACCGATGCTTCTTTATTTGTGTTGTCAGACACAGAATTGATGCATAAATTGTTTTATAATTGATTGTCGTGGTGTAATTTTAAAGTAAAAGATTCAGTTAGTTTGTATTGAAGTATAGTGTAATGATCAGTCATGATGCTGGAAATATTCTTGATTTCAATACATGGGACTATTTGCTATCTCGAAATCAAATTAATATCAAAATATCAAATTATCTTGAAATTAAAGGGATATCTAACGTAAATTACGTACAGAAATAGAAATAAAGTAGAAATATTACCTTGATGAACTAACTATTAATTAAAGTTGCCGAAGATGGAGCAGTGGAGCTTTGATACTCTTCGCTGGTGCACCGCTGGATCACAAATGGCGCGTCTCGCATGGATCTGCGTCGTAGTTAAGAACAGGTCTGTTGTGAAGCCTCCACTCATATTAGGTGGCTAAAATTGCCTACCTGGCCAGCTTCTCCTGGCGCCACATAATTGACGGGGAGTTCGTCTCGGGTATATAAATGACTAGAAGTTCGTATCACAATGCATTGGATATCTTGAACACTAGAATTTTGAATAAAAATTAAAAATAATTAAAGTTTGTTTTTAATTTCGTTCCCACTTGATCGTTAATTTCTCTGTGAACGTCTAAAAAGAGTTACATTTTTAGGCTGTCGTGTGTTTTGAGACTCTAGACTTCATTTGCTTGCACGGAACGAGATAATTTAGACAATAAATCGGCTGGTGGAACAAAATCTCAGTAACATCAACCTTGTATTTTCAATGCCAGCAGACAATTCAATGGTTATGTGCAGAACTAATTAGTTCAAAAGAGCCAAATTATATAGTGTTTTTTTGTGTTTTTTATTAAATAGTGTGTTTTTTATTAAATGCTATTGTCGCATTAGTCCTATGAAACTCTCATGCAACTAATTTGCTTTGGATGATATTTTTTGTAGATACTGTTTGAACATGCATAACAATAACGCTCATAAAATTATGATCACGGATCATATTTTTTCTAATTTTATACGATCTTTTGATTTTCATTAATTTTCAACACAAGTGTTCTACACAATATCCCTTAATTAACAAAAAGCAAAAAATATTTGAAAATATGAGATAAAATCATTAGGACTATGTTATTTCTGTGAATTTGTTCCTGGGTTGAATTGAATTATCTGAAAACATTTTCGCATTTTTACGCGTAAAACTCTTTGCATATGACACTATATAAAAGGTCTTTCCATTGATTACCACTTACACGATACTCAGCACTCTGCAAATATCATCGATGCACTCATGAATTTCGAACACTGATGTGACGGAACATCTCACTGCTATGAATTAACTACCGAAAAGTCAACTGATAACATATAGTTTTGATTAAATTGGTTGCTGCTATACGGTCCTCATACATATGTATGTAGCAAGCCTACCTACTTCCAGAGGTTGCCGAGCGTGGATTTTGAACCGAGGATTACAGCTGGACGAGATTCGAACCCTGTACACTGTATCTGATTACCGACTGCTTAAAGTTTTGCTTCACATATGTGAAAAACTGTTGAATGGAATTCATTTAAATTAGTTAGCCCTAAAACTTTTGAAAAAAATTTCGCTCAAAATTGTTTATTGGGGCGATTGCAATCTGAGGTTTTGTATGATTCCTCGCCATTAAACGTTTGGGAGAATACTTATTGAAATTTTCCATGAAATCCCAAGAAAGTGCTTAAAAAATTAATAATAATAATAATTGGAAGGAGTATTGTGGATAATTTTGCGGGCTAAAGAGTAAGTATATACGGCAAATTAACTATATTTTAATGAAAAGGTAATAAATGAGTGTGAGTGCCAGTGAGATTATCTGTAAACGTACATCTGAGAAAAATAAAGCATTAGCTTCAAAAGAACGATGAAAGCACACTTAAGTTCTTTGGAGCACCATATGAGCGATGAAGCACAAGATGAACTACGATGAAGAACAGCTAGTGGAGCGTAATTGTCTCCTTGCAACTAAAATAAAGAGCTTTTATTGAGCTGTTTCTAATTAATGTGTTTATGATATAATGCTCATATTATTTCATTTTAGTAACCTTGCCTAATTTCACATCGTCCACAGTAGCCGGATTTCTGTACAGGTTTGCGCTGCAACGATTGTTAGGAAATAGTCTACTCAAATGCAGGGTTGTGCTGCATAATTAAGTAATCAACAGAACAGTTCTGAGTAAAGTGTGAACAGAACAGTCTTGCAAATTCTTCCCCTCATGTGATAAATATAAATGAGACTCGAACAAGTTGGCCATGGCCTGTTTTCAATATTAAGTGTTGTGCAGAAAAGACGCTTCGGAAGCGTGAACGTTTGAACTTTGCGAAAGGCGACTATGATACACTCCGTGAAACGGTGAATGCGGCGAATATTTCGGACTGTATTAAGGACATGAATGTGGCTGATTCATGGTCGTTTCTCAAAGACACGGTTATGTCTGCAGTTAATGCTTGTGTACCCAAGATTACGCTTGGAAGAGTCAAAAAGTCCCAGTGGATGAACAGTGCAGTTAAGACTCGGCTAAAGACCAAGAAAGAAGCCTACAAGCGTTATTTACGAACTCGCAGCGAGTCTGATTATAACCTGTATGCCAGAGCTCGAAATCAAGCTAAAAAAGTTTGTCGCACTGCAGTGAAAAACTTCGAAAAAATATTGCTAAAAATGCAAAAAAGAATCTGAAAGCCTTCTTTTTGTACGCTAATTCGAAGAGTAAGTCAAAGGACGGTATTTCTGATTTGAAAGTAGACCAACGAAAGATTTCCTCTGATGAGGGCAAGGCTAACGTTCTTAATCAGTTCTTCAGCAGTGTGTTCACAGATGAGGACTTGAACAGTATTCCAGATATTGAGGAGCGCCCAGTCGGCTCGAAGTTAACATGCTTTGAAATACACGAAGAAGAGGTTCTCAAGCGCCTGATAGCTCTAAATCCCAACAAGTCATGTGGACCAGACGGTTTCCATCCCAGATTGCTCAAAGAATTAGCAACTGTTCTGGCCGGCCCATTGACAGTATTCTTTCAAAAAACCTTGAACGAAGGAACTTTGCCGTCCGACTGGAAAGAAGCTCAAGTAACACCATTGTTCAAATAAGGTGACAAAAGCAGCCCCGGCATTTATTATCTACGTTGAACGATTGGACTCGCCTGCTGGACGAAAGGGAGCCAGTGGATGCATTGTACCTCGATTTTGCCAAAGCATTTGACAGTGTTCCGCATGAGCGGCTGTTGCGTAAAGTGAAGTCCTTGGGAATTGAGGGAAACGTACTCCAATGGATCAGAGATTTTCTAGTAGGTAGATGACAACGTGTCAGTATTAACGGAACCATGTCAGACTGGGCATCAGTGCGCAGTGGCGTGCCACAAGGAAGCGTCCTGGGGCCTATTTTGTTCGTTGCTTTTATAAATGATCTGCCAGAAGTAGTGTCCAGCGTGTGCTCCATGTATGCCGACGACACAAAAGTTTATAATTCAGTGAAGAATACGTCAAATAATGCACAATTGCAAGATGATCTTGACTGGGCTGATACGTGGCAGCTGCGGTTTAATGCTGACAAGTGTAAAGTACTTCACCTCGGGAAGAACAATGAACAGCAAGATTACAGTACGAAAAGACATGGTTGCAACGAGAGAGTAATGATTGAAAAGTCTAGTGTGGAAAACGATCTCGGAGTTTATGTCGACAAGGAGCTGAAATTTTCTAAGCATGTTGAAACGCAAGCTAACACATCCAACAAACTTCTTGGACTAATCAGACGCTCATACGAGTTCCTAGATGCTGAAACGATGAAGCAGTTGTTTGTTGCCGTCGTACGCCCGAGTCTAGAGTTTGGAAACGTTGTGTGGTCACCGAGATTTGAAAAAGCCAGAAATTTAATAGAGAATGTTCAAAGACGTGCAACAAGGATAATTCCAGGCTTGAAGGGCAAGTCCTATGAAGAAAGATTAAAGATTATGAAGCTTCCAAGCCTCAGTTATCGACGTCTGCGTGGGGACCTCATTGAAGTATACAAGTATACTCATGGTCTATACTATATACAAGGTCCCTGAAGGGTTACTAGAATTTGAAACAAGAACCAACACCAGGGGCCACGGCTATAAGCTAAAAAAATTACGCTGCAACTTCTCCACGCGACAAAATTTCTTCTCGCTTCGAATCACCGACATGTGGAACAGCCTCCCCGATGACATCGTTGGCGCTTCAAGTATGAACGCGTTCAAGAACAGACTAGATAAAGCTATGGTCAGATTTGAAATGCCTAGCTCCTTATCGAAACCGGTGGAAGTCTAGTAGCTACTTCAAACTATCGCCAGTCATGAAAAGATCCGGTCAAATAACACGAGTTTAGATCTACATGTATGAACAAGGCACGAAAAGGAAAAGAATCGGCGACAGGCCACATCAGGCCTACACTTCAGCGCCGACATCACTATGTTATGTTATGTTAAGTAATTCAAGTCTTCAAAATTCCTGTCATCAATGTTGCTGCTCAACTGCGTGTGATTAATTTCACGATGATTCATGCAACGTTTCTTCTACGCCCTGCAAAAATTTCTGCAAAGCTTTCGTGGGGGAGGGGGGGGGAAAGCAGTAGGAGAGTAGTCCGCCTTTCAATATTTTCGTTTTGCAGATTGAGAAAGCTAAGCCACTGGAGAAAATAATGTGTAAGTTCAGAATACAAGCCAGTGAGAAATTATCTGCAAACGTACATTTCTCGTGGAGTACATCCAAGTCTGTCACGCTAAGTGTTTATAATAAAGAGGTATCGGTTGGATAAGGCCATGTTAGCCGGGTGCCGATTTAAACATCACCTTAGAATATTAGAATAGAAGTGTCGGCGTTGAAGAAATAAGCCCATGGCCTGTTGCCGATTCTTGAACTTTTCGTGACTTGATTCACAAGGGATCCGGCCTTTGGAACCCGATCTTTCCATAGCTGACGATTGATTGAGATAGCTGCTGGACTTATTGCCTGGTCCGTAATTTGCTAGGCATTTTAAGACTGAACTCATACTCGGAGCGTCAACGATGTTATCAGAGAGGCTGTTCCACATGTCGGTGACTCGAAGCGAGAAGAAATGTTGTCGCATGGATGTGTTCCAACGCTGTTTTTTTATTACCGATTTTGATCAGATTATTTACCACAATTACGGGTCTCGAACCCCTAACTCGTTGCTCAAATTTTGATTTTAATTTCTGATACACACAAGACCTTTATGTGCGTTGGCTGCACGCAAAAAAGCTTTGATTGTGATTATTATTCGAGATTAATGTTGCTGCAGCTTATCAATTGCGTCACGTATAGCTAAATAAATTAATTCTAGCAAAATCATCAGAATACTGTTGTTATATTGATAGATTTGCAGATCAACTAATAAAATTTGCCTTGATTGATAAAAGAATAATTCCATTTGATGAAATCCTGATCATGAAATGCAAACCAAAACTCGAGCACAACCAAAGGCAAAGCTTCAGTTAAAAAAAATCAAGTTGCTATCAGCATCATGGAAGAATTTTGACCGATGCATCGTTCGTGAAGAGCACGGAACCCTTGTCTAAATCAACATCGTGGAGAATTTCGACCTATTTTTGACTGATACGTCACTGACAAATTCTTGCTAGTGAGGCGGTGCATGATTGGCAGTCGAACAAATAATGATCGAATTGTCACCTTTTATCAGCTACAACCTGGAGTCAAATTGTTCGATTAGTACAAACCGATGAGATTCATTATTCGTTTAGCAGCAGTTTAAAAAGGTTAAACTCCTTAGTTAGAAACAGCGATGGTCATGTTATGCACACGGCATGTTTGGGCGAGACTTGTCCAGCTCAAACTGGATGAACCACTCGACCTCACCGCCCGTCAATTTGAACTGCATACAAAAAAATTGACAAGGCACTAGGAACTAATTTTGAACTGGAAATGAAAAATATCCTTCCAAGGAAAACGAAGACCACTATTATTTTCTCTCAATTTTACTGAGGATGACAGTACAAGCTATGGCAGGCTGCAAAAGTCAGCGCTGAGTTTTTAGTTCCTAGTAGCAATATACTTATAATTACATAGGAAGGCAAGCGCGTGTGAGAGGTCAGGTGCGACGAAGCATTTTTGACATGAAGACCAATTTCCTTACCAAGAATTTTCATCATTTGGAATAACATTTTCCGATTAAGGGACGGGTTATCAGAGCTTTCAGATGAAAAAATACATAAGTAATGCAATAAATTTCCCACGTTATGACTTTAATAAGACCAAATATAGTAGCATTTTTTGATGAAGTAACGTGAAACAATCAAGGGCATGTAATGTTCGAATCAAAAATTAAATATTGTGATTCATGAAAATGCATTTGTTTTATAAATGAACTCTGCGATTAAGCTTCAGTTTCCATTCATATTCAATACGCATAAATTCAGACGAGATTCGATTTGAAACAAAAAACCAATGAATAACGCGAATAAGCAGCCTTTTCAACGTAACATTAAATTGAATGCAAATAAACTGAAAACTAAAACCACAATTATCCATCAGAAATCTATCCCACGTAGAATGCGCTTGCAATGAAAGGTAATAACATCCCAGCAGTGAATTACACATGTATTACGAGGTAGAAATCTACGTTGCTCCATGTGATTATATCAGTTTTTCAAGCATGACTACCTTAGACAACAAATTTTCAGGTTTTTCTCGGCATACAAATGCGACAACTTCGAGCAGCCACCAGAAGCTCTGAGGAGCTGAGCTTCTGATGGCACTACGCGCGTGCCTAATTCCATCAGGAGCTGAGCCCATGATGGCACTAGGCGCGTGCCAAAAATGTTCTAATGGATTTACAAGATGAATTTCATTTGACCTTAATTCCAAATCCTCTTCGTCATCACTTGGATCAAGATCTTCGACGCCATTATCTTCGTCACAGATATCGTTATAATCATCAGGAATATCATCAGGATAATCATAAGCAACTTCTGAGTTTTCGTTCTCACTCGATATATCATTACTTGAGCTTGGAGGATTCTCGTCGATATCACAGAAAGTTTCGTTCGAAATATTTTTTTTCTTTTTCATGCGTCTCGTAGAGAAAGAATTTTGAACCCAGCTGAGTTGTGACCACTTCAAGATTTCATTACTCATGGACTTGACTTGAACTCGGAGTTCAGATCCAGAAGACGCAAGAGCTGCCTGCACTGGCTTGACGTTACTCAAAAAGTCAAATTGGTGACACTCAAACGATGTTCGGCAAATTTCATCGGCTACCTGTCGTATAAAAAAATTAGTTAACATAAACTTAGTGCTTGAACCACAACAGGCTAACGGCCCATGTTAAAGCACTAAATTTTGTGCACTGCGGACACTATTTACAATAATGTTACAACAAGCACGGCTAATCTGCGAGTTAATTTCATGCTAACAGTCGTCCAAGACCAAAAACCTTGCACTTGATGGGAAATAATATCCAATAAGCACAATTAAAACTCCTGCTAGAGAACACGAATTTATCACCTTAACGGTGTGAATTAATGTATCACCTCAATAAACGCACTGATATTTGAGTACAAAGCTGAACACAGCTTCGCTTCACCAACACACCTGCTTCATGTCGTCTTTGTCTGCTCTGACGTCATTGAGCCAGCAATGCTTGTACTGCTGCGCGACGCCGGTCAGGTGATGGTACGTGACATTGAAGAGACGTTCCTCGTTGAGGAGCTTGGTAATGGATTGGTCATTGGTACGCAGCAGCTGATGGAACAGCGGGGCTAGCGAGTCCTCTGGAAATGAGAACGAGTATAATATAGTTAGGATTCTCATGACCGAATTGTTATGGCAATGCATTCGTAGTTGGGCATATCTTCAGTGAACAACAGGTGCTCCTACAATTGCTTTCATTTAGTCAGTATATCTCTCTACACTAAAATACTTCTGTAGTGAACATTATTATTACTATTATTATTATAAATACGATAATGCAAACAGTAGTATAGCACGCCATGACATTATTAGTAGATTGCAGTTAACGCCAAGTAAATTTTACAGGATTTATCCCCCTGTTCAAGCTATGCAGTTGTTTATCTCCATTAAAATTACCTCTCTTGGCAGTAGATCTGGACCTTCGCCAAAGTCCTTCCGACCAGAAAGAGTGGACTAAAGAAGACAGGTCCATGGAGTGGTTGAGAGGTGGTCTCCTGAAGGGATGCCTTGGTCCACTCAGATCTACCGTCTCATTGAACCACAGTAAGCGATTAATGTGCCTGAAAACGATGAGCCAAGTACGTTAGCAACAATGGGTGACGGTAAGTATTTTGCGACTCGATCAGAATATTAATTATTCAACAGCACAACCACTGTAACTAAACATGAATATTTAGTTCACAATAAAATTAAACTTCATAATAAAAGGATGAGTTTCATCCGGCAAATGAGCTAGTAGGTACTGTTATAAACACTAGATCAAAGTGCTCATCAATGATTGGATCACATCCATTATTCGAGGTTAAAATACCTAACAAGATAGACTGGTGTTATTATGAATACAAGAACAGATGAAGGACATTCCTTTAGGATGGAAGACCTCAAACACAACTAACTAGATGATGGATAAATACGAGTGAGAACACAGTAAAAACTTTCTCCAGCCTTTAAAGAGTGCTACATCGAAGTCACATGGGTTTTGTGGGAGAAAACCGCGACAGAATTAAATACAAATAAGTGGTACAGAACATGATGTAAATTTAGTGAGTTAAGCTTAAAGCAACTGATGGGGTGAGGTCATATTAATGTCTACATTAGGGAAAGAAGTCTTACCTGTGCCAAGTTCGCCAGCAGAAAAGTCGGTGTTTAGAGCCGTGGCGCCGGAGTTCCGCATTGATGCGCAAAACTTGACACGAAAGTTTATCTTCTTGCACGCCATCCAAGCCCCAGGACATCTGACGGTAAAAGATAAGACTAGACCTGTCATTTGACCTGCCATCTCCTCGTGTCAATAGATTTCTAAGCAATCTTTTTGAAACCCATTTATTTACAATATCAAATCTATATAAAATCATGTCGGCGGTAAATATGCGATGAACCAATTTGAGAGGAAGGAATGGAGTAGCAAAGAAGTACGTATTTCGAAATAGTATCATCGAGCTACTTTAACCCTCAATCGCCTGACAAGAGTAACCGGAGCAATATATATTGTCACAAGCCTACTTCCCAAAAGGATACGTTCTAGTGAGCGCAAAATGACTTGCACTGATGGTTGCCGCCACGTACGACAACTTTAAAATGTTCTCTGTTGCGCACAAACGTCTGCAGGTTGCTACACTCAATAGTTTACGTATAATTTAAGTTGAAAGCTATGTTCCCGGAGAGTGACATACGGCGGTAGAGGGTTAAATTGTTGTCATTATAAATGAAAGTTTTAATAGTAAAGCAACATCAGAATAGTGAACAAAATAATCATTCTCCGCATGACTAGTAGACTAATCGTCACCTTAATTCACTACTTTCCACGAGTACAAAAAACACAATCGCCCTAGTTGTAAACAAATCATGTGGCTCGTAATAATTGTGAAGAATCATCTTTATTTTTTGTTCCACATTTTTTCTACAGATACACTAATCTTCGTCAATGTTTATCATATTAAAATGCTTGGTAACTTAGAGTTAAGAAGTTCAGCAGATAAAAGACTGAACTTATCACCACAAAATTCCGTTCATAAAGTAAATACCTTCAGAAGTAAGACTATGATGGCGGCGACGAATGTCTCAGGAGAATGCACTTCAAATTTGTAAGGAGATTCCAACTGGTCTATCGGCCACCGCTGCACTAGCGCGCTCACGCTCGGGGCCAGGCTTTCTGGAATACAAATCGGATATGATCATAAGGGTTTCACTCAAATCTACAAGTAATCAGGAACTGAAATAGATTAGTTCTTTTCGATCAACGTTTGAACTTCATCATTCTGTTGAATTTTTAGATGTTTAATTAGAAAAATGAGCTTTTTCTGACTCAAATAATGTGTCATTGCATGAGGAACTTACAGTTATGGGTTATTTAGTGACAGTAGGTAGCAGAAAATCGCAAGCAATTATTGTACATAATAGAATGATTGCCAATTGGAGAACGAACAACTGACATGGCGGGAAATATGAAATTTCGACGAATAATTTTAAATCCCACTTGCAGATTAACAAGAAAAAATGTGCGAGAAAGAAATAATACAAAAAGATTCATGCGCGCTAACATGCAAATGACAGACTAGGCAAACAAATAACGATTTTCAGAATTCAATTGCTATAAATAGATAGATTTTTCACTGGAGCTAAAAAGTTGTGGCTAAGTCTTCTTTTAGCGAAGCGAAATAGATCGTTTCTATTGAAGGCAGGCGAAATAAGTGCTGTGACTAAGTTAGTAACATAGACGGTACTATTATGTTGATGACAGACTTGGCAGACAGAGGATGTGTAGGAGGCGACTGGTGACGACGTCAGAGCGCGGCAGAGGAAGAAGCTGAGCATCCAGCAGGACACTCAATCTGTAAACGAGAGTCGTCTTAGGACTAGGATTCAGAATCTTATGATGATTGAGAGCTGGTGGAAAATTGCTAATAGGATTACTCCTGGAATCTCATAGGTAGCATCCAAGAGGTTGAATTTATCCGACGACAATTATTGGAAATTAATTTATTGAACAAGATTTGACATGGTTCCTGAAACCTTATACCGTACATAGCTTTCAGAAGGTTGAATTGATCCAATGACAATTCTTGGAAATTAATTTATTGAACAAGACTTGGCACTCAGGACTTGTCTTTGTTACTCCTCAATAATGGGAAAGTTAAGTAGCCAAAACATACAAGCCACCTTGGTTGCCTCAACAGGTGCTCATTGTACAGAGACAATAAACTCTGAAATGCATCGAAATAACGCTAGTCATACAAAAATTGCATCTTCCTAACAAACGATAGTCGAAAAAATTACCAGTTAACAAAATTAAATTGAAAGTTTCAATGCACCTAATTTGAAGAGAACAACTACGGTTTACACAAATAAAAATGGAAATTCTCACTTGATGACAAGTCGATAGACATGCCCATGCCACGGCACGCTCTTGCACTGTCGCAGTTGGTAAAGATCTAGGCGGGTCAGGTCTATCATGGAGTCCTCCAGTAAATACGGCGCTGCCTGGTACGGTAAGTGGTTCGAGTTGCACCAACTGGAAGTGAAATCTTCATATAATTTTCTGACAATATAACAACGTGAATATATTAAGAATCGGGGAATGTCGAATAAATATAATGATTGAAATAAAAGGTAAATACAAAGTTTTGCTAATTATGGCCATAAATATATAGCTTTAGAATCCTATCGAGCAGTTTGAAGCCACAAAACCCTAATTTAGAAACTACCACGCAAATCGACAGCCAGGAGCCTAGAAATTGACTAAACTGGTTTGCTTATTCGCGAATTCTTTGGTGAAATTAGAGTGATTAAGGATGTATAAAAAGCATATGCCATGAAATTTTATCGCCACTATACCTAAGTTACCGGTACCAACAAATATTATTAGTATATACAGAAAATATACTAAGAATATCAGTAATTATTATTAGTCGTTCATAAAACTGGTCGCACAATATTAAATTCACCATCAATGAAAAACTCAAGTTCAGCAGGTGATATATGAAGTTTTAATAAAATTTCACTGACGTTTCAATTAACAAATAAAGCAAATGCACTCACTTCAGCAAATCCAGGAGCAACATTTCTTCTCCATTGACTCGGCAAGCGATGTAGAGCAAGGCCACCAATTTGGCAAAAGTTGGAGTGTACGGCTCGAAATATTTGTACTCGTGCATGTCTCTTCTGCTGACGAACCTATTTCGTCGAAGACGGCCACGCTTAGCAGATTTTAGCGGAGTTTTCTTTTGAAATAATTCATGTAGATCATCCTTCAGTTTTTGAATTGATGTGGACTTCTCCCTAATAACGTCAATTATGCTCCGGTCCTGGTCGCCGACGCTCGCATTAGTTGTTTCACCGTGAGAAGTTTTCTGAACTTTCTCAAGAGGCGCATCGTCATGAGATTTGCCATTTGGGTCATTATCATTTTTCCTCTTTAATGATTCACCAAATGTTTCACTTCTTACAGACCCGAACAATGACATTGCTTCATTGGCCGCCCACTTATTTGTCGTGTTTATGGGCACATAATGCGTTGTGTTGCGTTTCGGTAAACTTGCAGCTGCGGCCAGGAGCTGATCTGGTACTTGTACAGAACGAGGTAATTCTTCAACCGACGAAAAAGATGCTCTCTCTTCAGCAGGTTCATCATTCTGTGATCGATCCTGTGCACTTGTTTCCATTGTGTCATAAATATGTTCATTATTGTTAAGCCAACGTAAGACAACACACGATCTCAGCACAGGCTGTGGTTTGAAGTTCCTCAATATTTCTTCGGGATCAGTACTCATGTGACTAGCTGTACTAGCGCTACTGCAACCAGAAGACCCAGAGGATGGAGATGACGGTGACGACTGAGATTGGGTGTTGTTCGCATTTGGATCGGAGGCGAGAAGGGCAATGCTCAAATTTTGAACGAGGGACTTGGCATGGCGTCCATGTACTTTCACACTAGAAAGCGTTTTTTGCTTCATGGTTTTGCGAACGATTCGTTTCAATTTGCGGTTCTTTTTCTCCTTGATTTTCTGTGATGAGCCAGTAAGGAATGATTTTCTTACAAAAGGGGCTTTTTGATGGAGAAGAATAACATCTCTGAAAGGGAAACTAGCATGAATCTATCTATATAAACACATACCGTACATTGAGGACAATTTTAATTCTTAGAAGTGAGATTTGACCAAATGCCATGTACCCAAAATGTAATTTAATAAAAGTAATGAAAAAATACAGAACAGTACATATTTCTTAACAGAAAACACAGGTTTGAATAAATGGATATAAACAAATAATACACAACAACCAACACCTGAATAGCACACTTAAAGCCTAGGAAGCTTCAGGTCATTATATATTACTATTAAGTGAATTACCTATTGAGGACGAGAAAGATGTAACAAATAAAATTATGTTGATGTCAAATATACATGAACGGACCTCTTATTTCGTAGAAGACCAACTTTAGGGGTTTTGGGCACAGATTGGTTGTTGCGGATCTTTGTCTCTAGGAAGGCTACCTCAATTTTATTAAGGTAGCCTGCCCACATGCGAAGCACAAGCTCTGGTAGAGAAGCCGAGGCCCCGAGTTTGACAAGTGCCAGGCTCCAGTCTTGCAGCACAAACGTATAGGCCTCATATGTTGTCCACTTGCTGTATGCTACAGAATAAATGTAGTTCAGTTAACATCTCTTTGCATCAAATTGCACCAAATATATTGTAGATACATCATAATACAAAATCCCTTGATTTACCTACATAATAAAGAGCAAAGGTGATGTGATGTCTCTATGATTACTGAGAAATAAAAAAACCTTTGCTCAGTGCTAGATAGTGAATTACCACTAGGTTGATAAAAACTTGCAAATTAGGCTTAGCTAAAAACATGGATAAACATTCATAGTTTATCAAATTAAGTGATGAATAAAAATTATCTTGTCAATAATTAATATACCTAATCAATTTCACATTGCAGATAGTAACTATATATCAGGACATCTTAAACTTATATCAATGACAATGCTTAAGCATGCAAAGACTAAAGGATGATGATATATTCTAGAGAAAAGAGCCTATGATTTCTAAAGTTTCAAAAAATTTCATGGTTGAATTTCTTACCAGAGGTACCGGTAGCTAGCTTGCTTGCACTTGCAGCATCAATAACTTGCTCTGAAACGTGCACAATTCTATGGCGATTTGCATTGCAGCCTATGGTCTCCTCAGCAGCAGCTACTTCCACATACTTCTCATTCTCGGTGCCACATTCAGCACACATTTGCTTCCCAACATTGATGTTAAATTCTTTGCCACCACAAACATGGCATTCCATTTTATTTCCAATTAGGTGACAATAATAGCAGCAAATAATTTATAAATTTCTCCTTAAGTAAGCAGTTATAGGTGAGTAATTATTCATTCAACAAACTAAAATTGTAACTTCAACATACTATAATCAAGAACTTAGGCCTCCTGTTTGAAAAATGTGGAAATGAGTAAGAATTTATCATTATAAATGCTTTGTTCAATAGAAATCCATATAAAATATCAGCCAATGTCAAGCTGCCTTTGAAAAGGAGAAGATCATCTAAAAATTGTGTGAACATCTCTTCAGAAGTTCATTTACCTAAATGAATTGACAACATCACTACAAACCCAAACTTGAAGTTAAGAACCTGGACTTTGACAACAACCTTTGAAGTAAGACTACTTTGAGCTCATTATATGTATATAATGTACTAGGACTTTAAGTAATGTGTTATCAGCCAAGTTGTGGGCCTGAGGGTGATTGTTACAAGGGTCAGGAAAAAAGTAATTAGTGATGGTCTCAACCTCCCCCACAACTATCCCAATCCACCTTTTTATTTAACATTTTCCTTTTTTTATTCAACCATTTATTGAAACAGCAACACAACAAGAACAATGTATGTACAGTGGACAGAAAAGAAGAAGAAACCAGCGCAAAACCAATGCACAGAGGTCTACTCAACCTCAAATAATGGTAGGTACCAGTCTGCCTGTTTTTACCAACTCTGAAAGCAAGCATAGAATAACAAAAAATGCCAGTTACAACAACTTTAACGTGATTAAGTTAGTGAATCATATCAGGCAGTACCTATGCAGTCTACTTATGATGTCAATACTGAAATTGATACTCTTGCATTAAATGCATACTTTGCCTTCACATGACATTGCATCTCAGGAGAGAGGGGGTTTGCAGGACCCCTAGTAGGAAAATCCTACTTCCAGAGGTGGGCAGTAGCACGCTACATGTAGCGGTAGCGGCTCTACATTCAAGGCAATGTAGCGGTAGCGCCCGCTACATATTTAAGTAGCGATACGAGGTTTGGACGCTACCGCTACATTTATAGATAAAGCCTTTAGATTTTTCTTAAAGGGGACCGGCTACCCTCCAACAAAACTTTTTTGTTTACAGACAGATCGTTTTAAAACTTGGTACACATATGTAAAACAGAAATCTAAGACCTTTTTGTTCATGTAAATTAAAAAAAATGAAAGAAAACGTGGAATTAATAGAAAACGGCAAATAAGGGGTACTCTAAAAAAGTTTTTAACTTTTGCAAATCACATGCTACAATGTCGAGACACATATCAAGCGATTTGTAACAACAATATCTAGCAACTGTAGAGCCCCGATTTTTTATTTTTTTTTATATCCCAGTAGCAGAAATTAGATTAAAGTTCACATCCATGTAGGGAAGGTAAAACATAAAAATAACTGTAACTTTTATTTACTGTATCTAACCCTGCGGTAACCCATACTAGTTCGGTTAGGTTAATTGCAATAAAGTTGCATTGATATGTTTAAAAAATGTTTTATTATCATTAAATGTTAATGAGTAAATCCCAATAGCAGAACAATGAATATTTTGAGATTTGATATAATTTTGGTCATTGTAGCGGCTAATGTAGCGCGCTACATTTTACTGTAGCGGTAGCGGTAGCGCCTGTTACAATCCAGTGGGTGTAGCGGTAGCGGTAGTGCCTGCTACATTTAGAGCAGGTAGCGGTAGCGCGGCTACATTTCCAAGTAGCGCTGCCCAGCTCTGCCTACTTCCATGCAGGATCACTGAAAGGGGCTTCCCACAAGAATAAGAACACTGTTTAGATAACTATTCAGAAATACAGGCAACTAGAATACCAAATTGGTCAAATGCATAGGTGCTGCAAGAGGCATAAATTTTTCACTCATGGTTGGGCTCTTGACACAAATAACAGAAATCAATCCAAATATGCATTAGCATTTTATTTGATGCAATAGAAAAAATCAAAACTATTATCAGGTGCAAAAATTTAGAAGCACACGTTTATGAACAGATAAAACAATAAAAATTGAGCAGCAATTTTTTTGCAGCTACTGTCAAACAGGGTAATAAGGGATGGTTTGGAGCATTTTTCATTGATAACTTCTTATCATGAATATTTCATAAACAAGTTTGGGCTCATTTTAAAGCTCTTTTAGAGGGCTGTAATATGGCAGCTCCAAAAAAATTCCATATGCTATTTGTAAAGTGCCAGACGCAAAAAAAAGTGTCCTAAAATACCCCTGGGAACGGGATAATCTGAGACACTTGAAATAAAACTCAATTTTAGAAAGTTTGAAGCATGCAAAGTGTACCGTAAAATGGGGTAACTTAGACCGGCGGGGTAACTTAGACCACTTTTCGTTTTTTTTTTACAAAAATCCCCACAACTCAAAAACTATTTGACATAGAAAAATTTTGTCAATGGGCATTAAAGGCCTAATACTGAGGCTACATAACACAATAGAAAGATTTAAAAAGTTTGCATATCTAATAGGTTAAAAAATTAAAAATGTGACCCACAAAAAAAAGCTATTATTTAAAGCCTGTCAGAGTACCCCCTCCAATTTTTTTATTTTCTGATTAAATAACTCCAGGTTTTGATGCATTGTAGTAGAACTCTTCTAGTTACATATGCAAATGACAAATTTTAGGAAAGTGTCATAGTTTGCAAATGGGGGGGCACCGCCCCCAAATGGGGTAATAAAAAAAGTGGTCTAAGTTACCCCATTTTACGGTACACATCAATTACTAACAGTACTCTGAAGTCCTCCTCTTCTTTTGTTGATGATGTAGATGTAGAATAAATGACATTTTCTGTAATTTTTACTTGTTTTTCTTTTATTCATATGATATTACTGTATCCATGGACATGCCATTTTACATTTACCATGACCTTGTCCACTGCAAGCTTCATATAGGCAGCCATGTAGCATTTCTTCTGTATGTATAAGCTATTATTACATCTAAAAGTAATGAAAAATTTCACACCTTTTTAATTGGGTCAAGTGAATTCACTGAAAAATTTCACGCCTTTTTAATTGGGTCAAGAGAATTCACTATAACAAAAAAATTAGATCAGTACTCACTGCAGTGAGTGAGGGCGCATTTTCTAATCAACCCCATTCGTGAAGTCACGGACAGAAAGACGGATGGACATGACGAGCACAATACCATCAAATGGGGTAAAAAGAGATGGGCGGGGTAAATCGGGACGTGTGTCCCACAATTCGTAGAAATGTTGTAGCAGCTAAAGTGCTAAACTAATCAAAATATATTGCAAAACTAAAAATAGTGGCATAAACTTCAACATTTTTACTATCTATTATGTATAAAGCTAGTCAATAAATCAAACATTTACTATCCCTAAAAAATCACTGAAAAAAAGTGTACCGTAAACTGGGGTAACTTAGACCACTTTTTTTTTTAAATGATGCCATTTTTTACTAGATAAGTTAAACTTAAATTGAAACGTGCAAAATACAGATCTATACTCTAGCTTCACTCACCATAAATTGCTGGCTCCTGCCTCTCTTAACAAAGACCATCACTTTTTTTGAAATTACATAAAGACTATGAGAGGCAGGAGCCAGCAATTTATGGTGAGTGAAGCTAGAGTATAGACCTGTATTATGCATGTTTCAATTCAAGTTTAATTTAGCTAGTAAAAAAATGGCATCATTTATAAAAAAAAGTAGTCTAAGTTATCCCATTTTACGGTAATTGACGGAATTGTCCTATCTCACTCCAAAAAAAGATGGCAGCCATTTCCGCATGGCAGGGCTACTCGGGACACCCTCCCTGAGGTAATTAGGGACACCTTTAAAAATGCATTTACAGTAGAACCTCAGTTAGCAAAGGTTCCAATTAACAAAAAAATTGATTAACAAAAAGAATTTTGATTACATTTACCTTGCTCAGCCAAAAAAAATTCACTTATCGAAAAATTAGTGCATCAACGGTCGTCACAAAATTGTACATAGAATGCTATATATATAGAATTGTGCGGTCATCATAGAATGAAAAGTAATTGACCTAAACTATGATTTATTTCTCCAAAACATATGATGGTTGTAACTAAAACATTATTTTCTGTTTCAGGTATGTTTTTCACAATCATTTTTGTTATAGTGAAATCACTTGACTCAATTAAAATTGTGTGAAATTGCCTGTAAGCTTACAGATACAGAAGAAATGCTACATGGCTGCTGATATGAAGCTTGTAGTGGACAAGGTCGTTGTCAATGCTCAATGGCATGTCCATTGATACAGTAATATCACATTAATAAAACGGTAATTATTGAATATGGTAATATAATATCAATAAAGGACAAACAAGTAAAAATCACAGAAAATGTCATTTATTTTACATCTACATCATCTACAATGAAAGAGGAGGACTTCAAAGTACTGTTAGTAATGGATGAGTACACTCTGCATGCTTCAAACGTTTTAAAATTAACTTTTATTGCAAGTGTCCCAGATTACCCTGTTCCCAGGGGTAAATCGGGACAGTTTTATTTTGCATCTGGCACCTTACAAATAGCATATGGAATTTTTTTGAAGATGCCATTGGATAGCCCTCGTAAAGAGCTATAAAATGAGCCTAAACTTGTTTATGAAATGTTTCATGGTAAGAAGTTATTAACAAATAACGCTCAAAACCATCCCTTTTTACCCCGTTTGACGGTAGCGCCTTTTTTTCCATGAATGAGAAAATGTGCTAAAAAGATCATAAAAACATACCTGAAATAGAAAGGAATATTTTAGCAACAACCATCATATTTTTTGGAGAAATAAACCATAGTTTAGGTTAATTAATTTTAATTCTATGTTGCCCAAAGCAATTCTATCTATGACATTCTATGCACAATTTGGTCTACAACCTTCTTTGAAGCAACATTTATAGACTATACCAGTCTCTTACAAGAACAAGTATTAGTAAGGAATTCTAGAGGAATATTAATTAACCAGTACAGATAGCATATACCGTAAAATGGGGTAACTTAGACCACTTTCTTTTTTATAAATTATGCCATTTTTTACTAGCTAAATTAAACTTGAATTGGAATGTGCAAAATACAGGTCTATACTCTAGCTTCACTCACCATAAATTGCTGGCTCCTGCCTCTCATAGTCTTTATGTAATCTCAAAAAAAGTGATGGTCTAAGTTACCCCAGCTCCTGGGGTAACTTAGACTGGGTGATAAAATCAATTATATTTTTTGGTAAAATAACTCCAAATAACTCCAGGGTTTGGTGCATTGTAGTAGAACTCTTCTAGTTACATATGCAAATGACAAACTTGAGGAAAGTGTCATATTTTGCAAATGGGGGGCGCCGCCCCACAATGAGGGAAATGTGACTACCTAATGGCAGCCCTGATGGGGGTAATATTGACTGGCTTGGAAATTAAGTTAAAATTACCATATATAAGACTCTGTAGAAACTGAAACATAAAGAAAAAACATAATAGGCTGTCAAACATAAAATATGTTATATATGGTAATTTTATATTAACTTCCAAGCCGGTCTATGTTACCCCGTCAAGGCTGACATTAGGTGGTCTAAGTTACCCCATTTGGGGGCGGCACCCCCCATTTGCAAACTATGACACTTTCCTAAAATTTGTCATTTGCATATGTAACTAGAAGAGTTCTACTACAATGCATCAAAACCTGGAGTTATTTAACCAAAAAAAATAATTCATTTTACCACCCGGTCTAAGTTACCCCAAGAGCTGGGGTAACAAAGACCATCACTTTTTTTGAAATTACATAAAGACTATGAGAGGCAGGAGCCAGCAATTTATGGTGAGTGAAGCTAGAGTATAGACCTGTATTATGCATGTTTCAATTCAAGTTTAATTTAGCTAGTAAAAAAATGGCATCATTTATAAAAAAAAGTAGTCTAAGTTATCCCATTTTACGGTAATTGACGGAATTGTCCTATCTCACTCCAAAAAAAGATGGCAGCCATTTCCGCATGGCAGGGCTACTCGGGACACCCTCCCTGAGGTAATTAGGGACACCTTTAAAAATGCATTTACAGTAGAACCTCAGTTAGCAAAGGTTCCAATTAACAAAAAAATTGATTAACAAAAAGAATTTTGATTACATTTACCTTGCTCAGCCAAAAAAAATTCACTTATCGAAAAATTAGTGCATCAACGGTCGTCACAAAATTGTACATAGAATGCTATATATATAGAATTGTGCGGTCATCATAGAATGAAAAGTAATTGACCTAAACTATGATTTATTTCTCCAAAACATATGATGGTTGTAACTAAAACATTATTTTCTGTTTCAGGTATGTTTTTCACAATCATTTTTGTTATAGTGAAATCACTTGACTCAATTAAAATTGTGTGAAATTGCCTGTAAGCTTACAGATACAGAAGAAATGCTACATGGCTGCTGATATGAAGCTTGTAGTGGACAAGGTCGTTGTCAATGCTCAATGGCATGTCCATTGATACAGTAATATCACATTAATAAAACGGTAATTATTGAATATGGTAATATAATATCAATAAAGGACAAACAAGTAAAAATCACAGAAAATGTCATTTATTTTACATCTACATCATCTACAATGAAAGAGGAGGACTTCAAAGTACTGTTAGTAATGGATGAGTACACTCTGCATGCTTCAAACGTTTTAAAATTAACTTTTATTGCAAGTGTCCCAGATTACCCTGTTCCCAGGGGTAAATCGGGACAGTTTTATTTTGCATCTGGCACCTTACAAATAGCATATGGAATTTTTTTGAAGATGCCATTCGATAGCCCTGCCAATCAGCTATAAAATGAGACTAAACTTGTTTATGAAATGTTTCATCGTAAGAAGTTATTAACTGTTATTTAAAACTAATCGTTCAAATCTGTCCCGAGTAGCCCCGGTTGACGGTATCTATGCAATGGGCTTCTAAGCTACAACTCTGACATTTTGCATCTAACATAGTTTTCTGTACAGATTGAATAAAGTGAGCTGGTCCCATCTTACCCCATTGGGGTAAGATGGGACCAGGCTGGGGTAAGACAGGACCAACTGATAATTCTTATGTTACAAGGTTTTTAATAAAAGTACAAATCTGATGTTCAATATTATCCATCTAGAAACACATTAATTGATTGAACAACCACTTGTTACTGTATTGTATTGTGGGAAGTCAACTATAATATCAGTCACATTGGAGTTTTTGTCACAAGAAAACTTTGTTAAGCATAGTAATGGTGGGTTGGCTTTGGTTCATTGTAGAGCACTGCTAAATGCGTTCTGTATATTCCATTACCTAGTGTCATTGTCTGAAAATTTTTTCGAATTGGTAATAAAACCAATGGATAATAACTTAAGTGTCAGACATCATGTGTTTTCTTGCTAACTGCAGTTGTGGTGCACTTCTTCAAACATAGCTCATGCCCGCTCACAAAGTTGTGATTATAATTATTTTTCATGTTTCACACAATGATTTTTCCCCCAGCCAATCTTGCACATAGTTCTGCAGGTCAATAATGGGAAGTGACATCCCTATTTTCTCCATCATTTGATGCAATTTAAAATAGTGCACTAAATTTCTCTAATTAAAGGAGCTAACAAGTTATAATGAAGTTTGAGCCAAAGACAAAAATTTTGACCAAAATACTCCATGTACTGACTGCACAATAATACATTCATTTGAAAACTATTTTTGATTAACTGTAGGGTAATAGAGGACCATTAGTGGGGCAAGACAGGACCATTTGTGGGGTAAGATAGGACCACTTGTGGAGTAAAACAGGATCATTTAGTGGTCCTGTCTTACCCCATGTCCGGTCCTTTTTTACCCCATTTTAGAATACATGTCAGGCAGTGATGGTAGCAGGTAGGAATGTCTAGTATGTCTCAAAAGTTGCTTATTACTTGAGGTTACCTGAGGTCAATTGTGCCTTTGTTTGCAAGTTTTTTTTCATTTCACATTCATCCGTGATTTAAAGAGCAATACGTGCTTAAATTCAGTACTGGTAATCAAGAAATTTCTTTCAAACTACTGAACAGATTTGAACAAAACTTAATTTTCATATACCTAACCTCAGCAGAGGTGATGTTTAGCTTGTTACAATTTTTTTATTTTGCCTTTGTTTGCACATTATGGTATATGGCTATATGTATGCAACTCTTGGTTAACCCGGCCAGTAGAAAAGCCAGTAGTTTCTCCTATATCTGCATAACTCGGGATGGAAAGCAAAATAGAAAAATTGTCACAAGCTAAACATCACTGTTGGGAAGTTAGTTATTTATATGCAAAGTTTCATTGAAAAATTTTCAGTAGTTTGATTAGAAGAAATTTCTTTATCACCGCAAATTTAAGTGACAAATTACCTGGCAATGCAGACCAAATATAAGGAAGTGTGAAATCAAGAATGAATGCGAAATAAAGAAAAACTTGCAAACGTAGGTAAAATCAGAAAAATTTTTACAAGGTAAAAAAATCTCTGTTTGGAAGTTAGGAATGTAGGTATATTTCAAATTTCATTCAAGTCTGTTCAGTAGTTTGAAAATTTTTTGAGCACTGCAAATTTTGGGCTGTATCACAATATAACTAATGAATGTAGGCAAAATTTAAAAATTTTACTACTAAACATCACTGTTAGGTTACGACGAATACATTTTCCAGTTTTACTGAGCTGCATTCACTAGTTTGGGAGATATTACTTGATAATTGGAATGGAGATTGGTCATGAGACCAGCCACGAGTCCGGTTGTAAATTTGCCCAAGACGTCATAAGTTTGTAGTGCTGCAACTGTTAAAACAGCTGAAAAACATATTGGTTCACTAAATGGGATTCTATTCATGGAATACACATTTGTGTTTTACCTTCATTTTTTTAAACTGCAGCATACTAAATATTAAGAAAGATGCGTATGTTTTTATACATGTCTGTGGGGGGCGCTAGAAATTCACTAGGAAGCCAAAGGGGGCACCAGCCTGAAAAAGTTTGGAAACCACTGTACTACACTAACTACAGTACTACTGGTTAACTTAATACTTGACTTAAACTTAACTATTGGGTATTCATTACAAAGGGCCAGAAAATTATCAAAATACCTAATTCATTAAATAAAAGAAAAAATATTATAATCAAACAAGAGACAACTAAACAATTCTATAAAAAATCAGAATTACTATACAATTGAAACAATTAGTCCACTTTTGATCCTCCTTTTCCTTTATAGTCAGTCACCTGGCAGAGCATTCTTTCCACCTTGGGTGGAAAGCTTTTTTATAAGTGAACTTTCATTCTTGGAATTCCACCCTGTCCGGTTACCTGGTAAGCATTGATAAAATTCTATCCTTTTCCTCTTCAAAAAAGTGAAAAAGAATTTCATTTTCCATTCTTAGAAGGTTCCATTCATCAGCATCATTATCTTTGTCCAGTTCCAGTTGTACTACCAAACTAACTCTACCAAGTACCTACATCGCCTTTCTTGATTTGTTGAAGTTTCGTTTCTCCATCGCCTGTACCCATCCATCCACAAATTGTTTGTAAGCTTCAAGCGTCTTGTATGCCTTGAATTCTTGCAAGGTGTATTGGCTGACCAGTGACCACCAAACACCAAATAGTTTAGTAAATCACGGTTTTAAACAGGAGGCAGGCTTGCAAAATCTGCACATCACGGCTTTGCCGGCACTTCGTTGGCATCAACATTTTTAATGTCGAACAATTTTCCTAAATATCAGTCTCTCACTGAAGGAAGGAGTTTTTCACAACTGCCTAATCCTTTCTGCTTTTTTCTTTCTCCATTGCTACCAAAACGTACAAATGTGTTACTGTAGCCTGTAGGAGCGAGAGAGTAAGCTGAGGCGCCAGTGTGATACAAAGATGGCGGCGTAGCAACGTGGCTAAAGTGGATACGCGGGAGCTTGGCAAGCCCGACTGGCCACTGGGCATGTTATGGGTACTGACTTACTTACTTGGTTACTTGGTTAATATACGGCGCAGCACCGACAAAGGTATTAGCACCCCCTCTCCGCCTCATTTTCAGATCGAGTCCAGTAGTTGGGTCTTGCGCAGAAATTGTATTATCATTTCAGGGTCAAATGGTGGCGAGAAAAGAGTGCTCAGAGAGAAAGGGAGGTTCAGTTGCTGACAGGCTGTGCGCAAGGTGTGTTGTTGTTGAGTGCATAATGGGCAGTCAATGAAAATGTGTTTTATTGTTTGTTGGCAATGGCAGGAGGAGCATGTGAGCGGTGGGGACTTAGTGAACAGGTGACTGTGTGTGAGGAGGCATGTTTCCAGTCGTAGGCGGGTGATGGCTACTTGTTGGGGTCGGGGCAGTTCTGTAGGGGTGAGTGAGTCAAGTTTTAGGTTCGACTTGGTGATGTGGGCAGGTAGGGTTGACCAGGCAGTATGCCAAACGCTGCAGTAGTGCTTAGCAATCTTGACTTTCCAGTCTCTTGTACCCAAGGCAAGGTTGGTCGTGTTGGCTAAATTCAGTGCTGCTCGTGCCAGAGCATCTGCAGCAACGTTGCCTGCGATGCCAGAGTGTCCTGGCACCCACTCAAGCGTTAGTTTTCCGATTGTGAGTTGGCTGCATGCCTCGATGATCCATGGGACTAGGAAGTGCGTGGGTGCGACGTTAGAGCGCAGGGCTGATATACAGCTGAGAGAGTCACAGAAAACGACAAAGTTGCCAGGTAATGAGATAAATTTGATGGCGCAGTAAATGGCATAGAGTTCAGAGGTGAATATTGAGGTGTCGGGTGGAAGTTTGGCTTGCAGGTTGAAGTTTGTGGAGTAGACTGCGCAGCCCGACCTATCCTGGGAGACTGATCCATCAGTGTAAACCAGGGTGTGGTTGGAGTAAGACTGGGATATTAGGTCTTGAAAGCATTGATGCCACTGTTCATCGGAGAGGGAGGGCTTCGTGGCCACAGCGAGTGTTGATAGGGCTGGAAATCTTGGGCGGACGTAGCGGCAAGCCATTGGTATGGTGTGAATGTTGTTGGGTGTGAGCTGAAGGGCTTTGAATTCTTGATGAGCTCTGCCTGGGAGTGGGAGAGGCATGGGGAGATGATCGTATAAGGCGAACGGGTAGTATTCTAGTAGGAGTTGGCGGACAGGGTGACGAGGTATTGTGAGGATTCTGCAGCAGTATGCTGTGAGGAGTTGGGGCCGCCGGAAGCGTAAGGGGCTCAGGGATGCTTCGGCCTCCAGTTTCGCAGTTGGTGTGCAGCGAAGAGCACCCAGCATGATTCGCGCTGCAGCGTACTGAATGCGGTCTAGTCGTGCAAGGTGACATGGTGCGGCTGGGGAAAATATGAATGAGGCGTAGTCAAGTTTGGGACGCGTAAGAGAAAGGTACAGTTGACGGAGTGATACAAAATCTGTTCCCCATTTCCTTGCGGCGATGATGGAGAGGAGTCTAAGGTCTGCTTTGCATCGGATGTTTAGGGCTTCAATATGGGGACGCCAGGTGAGATGCCTGTCAGAGGTGACTTAAAACAAAAGGAATTTGACCGTTGGTGTGTATTGCAGAGGTGAGTTGGAAAAATAAAGTGGTGGTGTCAGCTGTGGGAGGTTCCTGGTGAACAGGACCGCAGATGTTTTGCTGGGAGAGACACAGAGGCCCCATTTGCTGCACCACTCTTCAACGCTGTTCAGTGCGGCTTGCATCCTCTGAGTGGCGACTGCCAAGGAGGGATGTGAGACCCAGAGTGCGCCATCGTCTGCATATAGAGAGCAGTTTACTCCGGCAGGTACGCCATCGAAGATGTCATTAATGAGGATGGTGAAGAGCGTAGGGCTTATGACGGAGCCCTGGGGTACCCCGCTATAGAGTGGATGAGAGGTTGACAGTGTTCCACCGACTCGGACTCGAATGGAGCGCAGATGTAGGAAGTCGGCTATAAAGGCAGGAAGGTTCCCACTCAGTCCCACACCACTCAGTTTTATGAGGATTCCATCGCGCCAGGCGGTGTCGAATGCACTGGCAATGTCCAGAAACACTGCGACACAGTAACCACCACTGAGAAAGCTTTCTCGGATGGACAACTCGAGGCGGCACAGGGCGTCCATTGTGCTATGCCCTGCCCTGAATCCGCTCTGATGTGGAGAAAGGTATGAGCAACGTTCTAGGATGGCTTGTAATCTCCAGTTCACCATCTTCTCCATAACCTTGCACAGGCAGTTTGTCAGGGCAATTGGACAATAGGATGCAATGGAGGTAGATGGTTTGCCGGGCTTGAGAATGGGTACTACTATGGCTTCTTTCCATTGGTGAGGAAGGCCTTTGGTGTAAAGAAAGTTATAAAACTGTAGGAGAAGTTGAAGTTGTGAGTCAGGGAAATTTTGTAGGAAGAATAGAATGCTGTCAGCACCTGGCGATCGGGAGGCGGAGTTTGTGATTGAGCGTCGTAGTTCATGTAGCTGGAAGGGTGCGTTGTACCAGGGGGCAGGTCTTCGGATGAAGGATGGGGGTGAGGCCTTTTCTCGGTCGCGTTGCGCCTCAAAGAGTGGGTCGTTGGTCCTTTCACCACTTCTTCCGGAGAAGTGAAGAGCGAGGCACTCCGAAACTTGCTCTGGTTCAGCCATTATACTGTCCTGCTGGGTTAGAACTATTGAGCGAGGGGCCGTTTTGGTGGAGAGGGAGCGGACCTTTTTCCACACCACTGCGCTTTGGGTATTGCTTGTGATGGACGAAAGAAATTTGTTCCAGCTTGCCTTCCTGGATTTCACCACTGTGTTCCGGAAGATGGCACGGGCACCCTTGAAGGCTATCCAGAGATCGACATTGCCCGGATGATTTTTGTATCGGGACAGGGCACGGTTTTTTGCTCGATGGGTCGCTGCACACTCCCTCGTCCACCAGCACAGTGATGGGTGGCAGAGTTTGCTTTCTATTTTAGGGATGTGGGCAGAAGCTGCTTTTAGAATGGAGGACACGACAGTGCCACATGCCTGTGTTGGGGATAGGAAGTTGTTGGGAAGGTTTAAGGATGCTTGAAATTGGGGCCAGTTGGCAGAGCGAGTCTGCCAGCGTGCTGTGTCTGTGTATGGCTTCGTTAGGGTAGAAAGCACTAGCAGGAAGTGGTCGCTAGTGCATGGGCTTGAGTGCGGGGTCCAGGTGTAATATGGGGCTATGTCTGCTGTATTGATGGTGAGGTCAATGTGACTGTAGTTACCACTAGATGTTAGGTAGGTTGGTTCTGACGTGTTGAGGAGAAAGAGGTTTGAGTCATGTATCCACTTGTGAATTAAGGTTCCACGGGGGTCAGAGTGGAGGGACCCCCATGAGGGGTGGTGGGCGTTTGAGTCACTGCAGATGATGAATGGTTTGGGGAGCTGGGTGATAAGAAGAGGAAGTTCGGTTTGTAGCACTGTGTTGGGTAAGTTTGGGGGGAGATAAAGAGAGCAGACTGTGAGTTTGAGTTGAGGTAAGTGTATTTGGCTTGCACAGACTTCGAGTGAGGAGACTATTGGAAGGTGGAAGTGTGGGATAGTGGGACGGACTGCCAGCAGTAATCCCTCTCCCCTACCACATGCCCGGTCGCAACGTGCCATTGGTGTCTGGCATCCTTGTAGGTTGCATAGTGTGTTTGGGGCAAGAAATGTTTCCTGTAGACATAGAACGTCAGGGCTGAGGTCAGCTATTAATTTTTGTAAGTGAGGTAAGCAAGCTAGAACTGACCTAACGTTCCATTGCAGTATTGTGAAGTTTAGCATGTGCGTGCGATAGATGAGTGCCCTATCAGTTTCAGTGACTCTGAGACTAGAGAGTCGGCTTGTAGGATTCGGCCAAGCTCAGTGATGCATTCTATCTTGTCTGTGAGTTGTGTGGCTAGGAGGAGGTGAATCATTAGTGGCAATAGTTTGATGAGAAGCTGTGTGAAGTCTAAGGCAATTGGTGTTGTATGAGTGGATGAGGTAGAGGTGGGGAGAGTTGTAGGCTGTGATTGTGAGGTTGGTGAAAGAGAAGCACAGTGCAGGTAGAGTTTCTGGTTGGGAATCTGGGAGAATGGGTAGGTTAGAAAGTGGTGTGGCTGCATACAGGGGGGTGTGTTGTGTGCGTTGTCCTTGTGTGAGCCAGGTTGAGGTTTGAGTGCTACTTGCGTGAGGTTGAGAAGCTATAGTTGGCCAAGCAGCGGTAGTTGGAGGAGGCGGAGAGGAGGCACGATCGTTCATCATTAGTTGGGAGAGGCTTGGAAATGCTTGCTCAGAGTGTATGAGAGGCGCTGGTTGTGGTTGCTTCTTATAACTTGTTGGTGTGCTGGTCCGGTGGAGTGTGCTGTTGGGCTTCCGTCCATGTAAGTCTGGGCGAGCTTCCGTAGTGTGGCTGCCAGTATTGTTGGACTCTGTTCTTGCTTTAGCTCGTGCCTCAGGGAAGCTGAGTCCCTCATCGGTTGTGAGTTGGCACGCTCGGAGCTCGGACTAGTAATATGGGCACTGACGTGAGGTTGCAGGATGGGGCCCTTTACAGTTTCTGCATTTGGGTGCAAGATGGGCGTTTGGACAGGCTTCTTGGGAGTGACCACTTTGGCTGCAGTGGGCACAGATGGGGCTCTGGCGTGAGCACCTAAGTTTGGTGGCCGTAGCGGAGGCACTGCCCACAACAAAGTGGGCTTGGGTAGTACTTGTCTACTGTGTATGGGCAGTAGCCAACTCGTATTTCATTTGGGGGTGAGGGGCTGAGGAAGGTAAGGACATATAAAGGGACGGAGGATTTTTTGGGATCACTTAGAAGCTTGCGGATCCCAACAACTTTATCTTCTTTGAGAATGGTCAGTAGAAAGTCTAAGGATTCATCTTGAAGTTCTGGTGCAAATATTTTTCCGTAGGACTGTAGGAGAACTGGGTTGACCAAGCAATTGTTCCGGTCACTGGGTGTGATTCTTCACCAATCTTCAGGATTTTGGCATCCAGCAAAATGTGTACCTGTTCTAATGTCTTGGTGGTTATTAGCAGGGCACCTGAGCGCTGATGTTCCACACTTTGGACTGGCCCACACAGTGTGTCCATAGCTTTGGCTATTCTGAATGGGTTCAGATGAGATAGTTTAGCCTGGGCATCAGAGCTGGTGAGAATAACTTGGCGGGTGCTTTGGGGCAGGTTGTGTGCATTTTCCGCTGAGTTGAGGTCTATCCTTGTGCTTGAGGCTTCTGTAGTCTTTTTGAGTGGTTCATTAGTGGTGCTCATGCTATCTTTGAATGTTTCGTTGGGTAGGGCTTGCTGAGAGTTTGAGCGGGAGGCAGGAGTATGAGGAAGGCTTTCACATGAGTCAGACAGCACCCCACTAATAATTGAAGAGGCATCTTTGTGGGCAAGGTCAACCTTGGAAGCTGTTAGCTTTTGCTCCTTGGCTGGAGCATTTTTCTTGGGCTTGGAGTTGGAGGCATTATTAGGCAAAAGGCTGCGCTTCTTGGTAGAAGAAGAAGGGGCAGGCTCAGGCTGTGTGGCTGAGCGGCCGCTGCGGCGGTAAGGCTTAGACTTATGGTGCTAAGTCTGGCTTGGCGTTCCTACCATTTCCAAAGGGTTAGCCCGGGCCGTGGGCGCCGTATTGCACCCTCGGCTTGGCCCCATGGTATGATTTATTGTGGTTCAAAAGGAAAAGGGCTCAAAGTACCTCGTATACTTTAGAATAATGTAAGTGGGTATGTCACTGGAGTGACTGGAGTCACTACACAACACGTATATGGTGCTTCGAGCGAAGGAGCTTCTTCTTCTTTTTGGGGTGTCTACACTGGGTAGACTTAAAGCCACAGGTCGACCTCGAGGACGGCCGTTGGGCCTGAGAGCCTGTATTGTGTTTAAATTCTTCTGAGTAGGTAACCACTGAATTCTTGTTTATAGTAGGTCAGTCCTTGCTCCATACAAACTTTACAAAGCTAATGAATAGACTTACCAATAATTGTTTACCCAAAAATCCCTAAGTGGTAAACACCACCATGGCCTGTTGGCCATTATTGAAGGCAATAAGTGCCCTTTTTAGCCATCCATTATGATCCATACCTATACTGTTATTGTTAGTAGGCTAACTGCAACATAAAAAAATAACACTTCAAATAGACAAAAAAGTTGAAAAAATCAAAAAAATCAAATAAATAAAAAAAATCATGAAAAATCAAATAAATCATTGATTTTTTATTTTTTCGATTTTTTTAAAAAAATCAAAAAAATCGCCAACCCTGCTCAGTATTAGGCCTTTAATGCCCATTGACAAAATTTTTCTATGTCAAATAGTTTTTGAGTTGTGG